TGCCCAGTGGGGAAGAGGGGCCTGACTCTTGCTTCCGGCTGTCGGAACTTCAGCCTCTACCCGCAGTTCCTGCAGGTCTTCAACAACTCGCCCGACGAGACCACCTTCTACAGGTGAGCTGAGTCACGTGACACATGAGATCGTGTTCTAGAGGTGAACTCTTTGAAATCCTAAACGCAAAATCACATACTATAGGTAGACTATCTGAAAACTAACGAGATGTATACGGTAGCTACTGCTGGCAACTTTCTATTTATTTGATATCTTTTGACAATTATTTGTCACCTTTCTTAAAGAAGAGGGCACATAGTAAGCAGAACTGACGGCGGATGGGGCAGCAAGGTTCTGGAATGGAGGCTGCGTACCGGAAAACGCAGCATGGGACGTCCACCCACAAGGTGGACCGACGAAATCATAAATTCATAAAAGTTGCAGGGAAGCGCTGGATGCAGGTCGCTACCAATCGATCAACATGAAAAGCACTGGGGGAGGCCTATGTTCAGCAGTAGACGTCCTATGGCGGAAATGATGATGATGATGACAATTTCTAAATCCAAATTACTAATAGTCCCGTTAACCCCTCGTGCTAAATTAATGCTTACGGTTGTCGTACACTGGCTTTACGCCACAGCCACCGGCGTCAATGCCGCTACAAAACGCCGCCACACGAAAATGTAAGTAAATATGCCGGTGGCGGCGTTTTGTGACTGGCGTGAAGTCCGTGTTATTGTCAATCAATGTAATGCTAATTCGTTCCACAGACACATGCTGATGCGCGAAGACCTGACGCAGTCGCTGATCATGATCCAGCCGATCCTGTACTCGTACAGCTTCGGCGGGCCGCCCGAGCCCGTGCTGCTCGACACGTCCTCCATCCAGCCCGACCGCATCCTGCTCATGGACACCTTCTTCCAGATCCTCATCTACCACGGAGAGGTGAGGAAACCTCGAGTCCTAGACAAGCACTTTTTGATCGCTCCGAAAATAAAATCTCTTCACGGAGCGAAATAACGCCATACAAAAAACCACTGGAGTGAAGGCCTTTCGAAATTACAACTGTTAAATTCTGCGATTTGTCTTGCCCCCTGGCTAACCTGCAAACATTGTCACAAGTTCTCAAAGACTACAGGAATTACTCTTCTTTTGCCGTATCTTGAAACTGCGTAAAAAATCTGAAATTGCTGGAACTCGGTCGCCGCAGTCTTCAGATCTAGATTACATCTGTGGTCAAGCGCTTCTAAGGGTAAAATAACTCCGACGTTTTCTACACGCTAATTCCGTGAGTGGTGGCTTGGAAGATATGCAATATATTCTCCCAGACTGAGGACTTATAGCTGTATCATTCATCAAGTTTTGAAACGTCAGATATATCATGTGACAAACTAGCAAATAGGTCAAATGTGTAACTAGTAACTATCAAGTGATTCGTTTGAGTAAGGACAAATAACTCATTATGTTTGGAACGTCAGATACATCATGTGACAAGGAAGCAAATAGATCAATATGCACTTTCGGTTTTTTCTTTGACTAATACAATGTTTATTTTCGCAGACCATAGCGCAATGGCGCGCGCTTCGCTACCAAGACATGGCGGAGTACGAAAGCTTCGCGCAATTATTGCGCGCGCCCGTCGACGACGCACAGGAGATCCTGCAGAGCCGCTTCCCTGTGCCGCGGTACATCGACACCGAGCACGGCGGCTCGCAGGTAACAATAAACCTGTAGTATCTATACTTAAGGCTTGGTATTTCTTCTAAAGTAGGTATTTCGCGCTGTCAAAATCTGCGCGCGCAATTCTTCGCCGAAAACAGCGCGTCAAAGAGCTCCCGCCACAATTTCCAGCTANGTGACATAATTATTCTTTCCATATATTTACTATTTACTGGTGTGAGAAAAAGTGAGTTATGAAAATCAGCTTTGCTACATGTATTTTCTGGCTTTCCGTGTATTTTGTTTATATCAATGAAATATGTGTTAAATTTTGATGCAATTTCTATCGGCGCAAGTACCTCCCCTTCATCAGTCATAATTCTATTAATATATATGTATATATTAATAGTAACCTAAATATCAGGTGTAAATTCCCACGAATAATATTTTCTATTTCTTGGTTGGGTGTATCTAGAATGGTTTACACCCTGTATGTTAAAATGAGTGATCTCCAAGGTTAAAATATTTCGAAGGCTTATTTAATATTTATTAGTAAAATCTTGATAATTAGTTGTGTATACTCGAGATTCTTTCTTAGAAACAATTTCACAGGTTAACTTCAAACACTTTCCCCCTTACTAATAAAAAGTTAGACAGTTGTTGAACACTGTTTTAAAATGTCATTTCCATAATAAATGTCACTTTAAAACACTGTTCAACGAGCATGTAAGTTTTATTAGTAAGGGGGTTTGTGTTTGTTCGTTCGTTTCAGCCAAATGACGACCACTGCTGGACAAAGGCCTCCTCCAAGGTTTTCCACAATGCACGGTCCTGCTCTGCACGTAAGGGGGTTTGTGTAAATAGGTAGAAAAAAATGATTTAGAACATTGATTTTAGATATCTATATATATAAAAGAAAGTCGTGTTAGTTACTTCGCTTATAACTCAAGAACGGCTGAACCGATTTAGCTGAAAATTGTCAGGGAGGTAGTTTATAGCCAGGAGAAGGACATAGGATACTTTTTATCCCGTTCGAAATAAAAAAGTCTGCTTATTTATTGCCATTAGGGCGGAACAAAGTTCGCCGGGTCAGCTAGTTAGATATAAATTGGTGGCTTATAAGCTTTTTAAACATCATAGACACTTATAAAAGTGCTTTTAGCAAGTAGGGTTTCTGCTCGAGCTTTCTCGAACTCGAGAAAACTCGAGAAATTTGGCTTCATTCGAGACGAGAAATAAATTACCGGAGCTCGAGAATTCTCGAGTTTCGATTTTGAAGCTTTAATATTCTTGAAAGCCTATTTTCTTAGACAAAAGTAAGTTTTTAATTATTTAATAGGTCAACGTTGCTTTTGGACTGGCCTAGTCTTTCCTTTTTTAAATTGATTTGATTTGCAAGTAATGATCTCAATCGAAACTAAGTAATAATGTTCACCAACGAGTATGATATTTGTATGTTTTACTCTGACTGATTTAAAGACTGAAAAATGTGTTAACTAGACAGTTACCTTACCTAACAGACGTTAGGTTAGGTACTTGTGCCTCCTCGTAAAGTTTATTCAAGTCGTTATCTGTGACAAATTAAAAAAATTATTAAAGTTTTTTTTTTGTTCATAAAAAAAACTATTTATCGTAATTTTGCTATTTGGACTTGTGTTCTTTAGAAAACAAGTGATTCATTTGTAGCTCCAGATTTTTATTGTTATTTATTCTTAAAGTAAACGTGACTTAATGACTTTTGCTATGATTATTAGTAAATATTAAATATGAAAGAAGATTTTATTTTTTGTTTGTTTCCTTACCAAAATAAGTGGTACTAAATTCTAATATTGATTGTTGTGCATAAAAGTAGGTATATTAGATTAAAAAAACCCCGTGTTTTAATTAAATTTCAACCGATTTCAGCAGTTTTCATTAAAAGACTCGAGACCCGAGAAAACTCGAGACTTTGGCCTCGAGAATTCTCGAAACTCGAGAAAAAAAATAAGTCGAGAAATCAGAAACCCTATTAGCAAGCTCTTACAAAAATTAAGCAGTAGTAGGTATGTTATGTTGTCATAGAAAACATAAAAAGCTATTCCTTCATAATCAAGTTGTTGAATGATTATTATGAAATAAATAATTATGTCGGCCGTTTGGTGTAGTGGTTCGAAACGGACTACTATTCCGGAGGTTGCGGGTTCGATTCCCGCACAGTACAAACATTTGTGTGCATGAACATATTTGTTTGTATTGGACTGGGTGTTTTCTATGTATAATAAGTATGTATTTACAAAAAAAAAAAGTATTTAAGTATGTTTATATCCGTTCTCTAGTACCCATAGTACAAGCTTTGCTTAGTTTGGGACTAGAAGCGCAGTGTAAAATGTCCAAGGATATTTATTAAATTTATTTATTTATTAAATATAGGCAGGTACGTAATATAAATTAGTTATACTCAAAAATTGCATGTAATTGATTCAAAACATTACTTTTCAAAGCTGATTATAAAATAATATCTAATTTATTTTTAATTTCTTTCAATTACCAACCTAAATAAATTGGTACTTTAAATCAAGAAAATCTTTTTTAACATTAAACTAACTTTGAAATAAATATGTATTTTGTTCTCAAGATCATTAACTTTCAAAACAGGTGCAACTGATGAAACTCACTCGCATTGCAATACAAACTTGCAACTCAAGGAAAGCTTGGTGCACACTTGCAATAACAGCAAACAATGGATACGTGACATTAATTTGGCATGAAATATTATTTACAAGAAACAATAAACCTAAACTAAAAAAAATATATTTGATAAATTGATCATATTATTTTAACTTAAATGGCCTTCTTATATGAGGATGTTTTAAGCAAATTATTATATGGCCAAGACCGACTTAAAGGTTAGGTTTTATTATAAACAAACCTATTATAATTTATTAAAATAGTTAGGTATATAATTTATGAACAGACACTCAAGGAATAGTCAAATGGTACAGTGTGCATGCAGCCTAACCGCAAGATCCAGATTTATTGTCACTTTCACCCTCCATAAGGTTATGTGAGAGAAAATAACAGCCTACTGGAGGTTTCTTACCAAGTTTATTGCTCTAAAGATTACGCTCGAAAGCCAAATACACAGGATTAGCAATATCTGATAAATGTAGCTTGATAAATCATAAATTCTTGTTTTAGCAACCAATAAATCATTTTATAATATCACAATGTATTAAAACACACAAGGCTAAAATGAACCTGTTGGACATTATCGCTGTGATATCGACTGATAATCCGCTGATACACAGTGTTATACGTAATCTAAGAGATTGGTGAATCACGAGAGGACATTGGGTACCTCAAGTACATACCTGGCATTTGGGCCCAATGAGGCTGAACACCTGATCGTTCTCGTCCCGAGATAGCAACACACTGGGCCTGTTCTCTCCCCTCGGCATCCTTTCCGTTTAAATTATAAAACACACGTAAAATCACTTTAAACATGCAACATCCGAGGTGTCAGCCACCGCGGTTGTCCAACATTTTTCCACTAAAATGTTTAACTTTTGGCACTGAACACATTCTCTGGACGACGAAAATAGCATTTCTCAAAACAAGGAAATGTTCATTACACGATTTACGACTAAATAACTGAGGAAACTTAAAAAATACTTTCTCCACATCCGTATGTGAAACATCAATCATCAAACTGAAGTTTGCTGAAGTTGGCACTTTGGCAGTTGCCAAAATGTCAGCCATTTGTTTTTTCATAGTTGACTGTGGTAGTGGACCAATGCATATTTAGTCTTTTGCCAAGTTGTCTACTTGGCCGATGTATGTTGATTAACAAAGATATGAATCGTTTTTGCGTCATCACATGAAATATGATGGAAATATGTGGCTTTTCGGATGCTTTCCGAACTTTCTTCTGCAGGCAGGACATTGTAGTTGGTATTAAAAATATATACTCGTTGCACCTTGTGCCTTGGCATGGTATATAAATTGTTTTTTTTTTTTGTAATTTATTAATATTGTTTTAACATTTGCTTTTGTATAAAAATGCTACATCGAAAATATTAATACCAACAAGCACGCAAATTCACGCAATTGCAAAAATAATAACTCATATGGTCATGGCCATTAAAACTTTACAATATCATGACCATATAACCTGAGAGGCCGTCCGCTGGTTCCGCCTTGATGGAAACGGGGCCTAAGTATTCCTTTGTGAACCTCGGAGCATTGCCCTCTCAAAAAGGCTAATTTTACCATCAGGCCGTTTCCATCAAAGCCGAGAGATGTGTTTGATTAACAGAACCGAAGCTGAGCGGGTGATACACAGATGAGAGAGCCTACTTATCTTGGTGATGTGGAAATGATGAAATCAGATAGGTTACTCAAACTCTTCCCTCCCTTCTACACTTTGGTGGAAACCGTGCCTTTAGGACTCGTTAAACCACAATAAACTTTGGGGGAACGTGGTTACCCTTTTTTCCCCACTGCTCAACTGGTTATATTCCCCACTGCCCAACTACAAAACTGCCCGTTGATACGTTCCATAATTCGCCATTAATACCGATTGACGAGGAAGGTTCGAGGGATTTATCATAATAAAACGTCAAAAGTATTTTTTAAGTTTTATTCTCTGTTTGTTTGACCACAAACTAGATACAAAACGATACAAATTCGTTAAAACTATCCTCAGGCTAACTTACATGTTGATACTATGTATTCTTTGATGCACCAGTCAATAATGTGTGTGTTTAAAACAGTCCATGCGTATTTTTAACTCATTCTCCGGTATAAACTGTCCTAGCAAATATTAAGTACAAGCCAAGTTGAACCCTACACATAAACAGATTAGGAGACATTGGATTGCACTTATTATCTGCTCAAGCAGCATTTAGCTACTTTTGATCCTACTTGTTAACAAAAATATGTTTTCTCTACATTTGTGTTAAAAATAAACAAGTTTATTTATAACGGGTAGGTATTCACGAAAAATCAGAGATGTTTATAGAACCTTGCCTTATCCTTAATAGTTCTAGAAAGTTATAGTAAGAAATACATAGTTTTTACATTCTTGAAATGGGTTTATATTAGAGTTATATGACATCGCTGTCTGGTTGAGGCACATATTGCAAAACAGCGGACTCAGACGTTAGAATTATTCGTTAATTTTAGTTCCTCATGTTAATGCTTTTATGATATCGCCTAAGCTAAGCTGTTTACAATCGGCATCAATAGAATTCAGCAATCTTGTAAATGCTGCAGATTGGTCTCAACTTGCAATAAGTTTACTATATCATGTTAGTTGTTTACTGTCAAATAGGTACAGGAGATTGCCTGATTCTAATGAGGGTTTTCGCGAATGAAAATCCGCCAGATGGCAATACGTAGACGCGAGGTCCAAATGCTGCATGATTGGTTATTTTTGACATGACATTGACAGATATGTCAAAATCCACCAATCACGCAGCAGTCAGACCCCACATCCACGTCCCGCCACCTAGCGGATCTTTCATTCGCGAAAACCCTCATTGGCCTCTCTACGTCTAGGAAAGTCTTGCTTCAGCGCGGTTTGTTATCTCACACTATTGTGAATAATTATGAATTTCTACACATTCAAAATGGTTCAGAACTACGGATAGATCTAGTAATTTCTACAGGAACTCCTTAGAGGGTAATTGACAAGAATAAGATCGAGTTCAAAGTGTATATCGCAGATTAAGGCCTGGGACTATGTTATATACACGAGATATGTATAATGTACAATGACATGTATAAGTAAGCATCATCGTCCACAAGTCTTACAAAATAATATTACACAAGTTTACATCAGGTCCATGATCCATTCAGCAAGGCATTACAATTTGTGAGCCATTTAAATTACGCCAAAATTCTTCACCAACGCCATTTTTCAGAATTCATTTTCAGGGCAATGTCATTACATTCTATCCCATAACACAACTGGATCTAGTCTATCTAGTGCATTGGTTCCCAAACTTATTTGAGACGCGCCCCCTTTCGACCATACAAAAAATTCCGCGCCCCACCTCCTCCAGTCAAGATTATTTATTGGTCGTATCGAGCAGTCTGGAATGCATTCTCTCAGCGGTCGCAGGTTTTTATACTTAAGTACACAGATGGCCTGCGCCCCCTTTAAAGGTCTTTGCGCCCCCCACTTTGGGAACCAATAATCTAGTGCGTTACATAATAAGTCAGCTCACCCAGTCAAAAGCTTCGTCAATATACCTACTCAAAAATAAACACGGCGGTTATTTTTTGTAGAAATTGCTTTAACCGCTTGAGTCCCAGACGGCATTAATTAATGTCATAACAATTGATTATCTATTGTGTCTAGATTCGCGGGCCTTGAAGGATTAATAAGCGTAGTTTTATGATAATGCCTTGCAGTTAGGTTATACCATAGAGGAGTCGTACTAAAAGGGAATCACTATAGAAAATTGCTTCATAAAATATAGATGTTAACTCGTGGCTTTTCCATAGTAAAATAATGGTAAAAATGCAATTTACCGCACCCTTTTGGTATGATTCCTTCAACCTAAAGTTACCAATGATGTCATCATTTGTATGTAACAGTTTCACCTGGCTTAGGCTATGATTGGTGTACACAAATTCTACGTTTACTATACACAATTGACCGTATAAATAACATTTTTATACAAGAAGTGACAAGTATATATCTTGTTTGACAGAATGAGATTAGAAACTCCAACGCCTGTATTCTCATCTCGCTCTTACTTTATAGTGAGCGAGTGAGATGTGGATAAGTACATGAATCATGTCTTCTCACAAGTATTTTTCACAAAGACCTATGTTTTCGGTATCTCCAATTAGGTAGTTGTCACTTAAATGTTTAGTACAATTACAAAGCTGGGTTACTAGAATAACATGAATGTATTTCGTTATCAAACGCTTTCAATACAAGGTAAAGGGACCATCAAATAAATATTTTCGGTCAGTCATTATAGTACATTTTCCTAATTTATATGATACCTAGCAGCCCAGCGTATACTAAAGACAGGTACACACTCTAACACAGAACACCGAATAGGCCCCGAAGAACGTTGAATCATTCGATGATTAGGAAGATAATAAGGCAACACGTAGATGCGTTGATTTTTCGTTAGTTTGTGCATTAACATTACAGGCCAGCGCATACATGGTGTTACGATTTGCTACAGTGACAAATGAAGATTAAAATTTAAATATAACCGACACAGGCGCGTCATATGCACCCTTCTTTAGTGTCTTGTAGTGACTTCATAACGCACCTTAAGAATGAAAGCGACTCATTTAAAAAATTTGGAGTAGGTATGTATCTAATTCTTAGCTTACAAACTGATGGCATTTATTTTGCACGTAAACATGCTATTTTTCGGAAAATATTTCGATTACCGACTCGGTCACGTGACTTATACAAACTTCACTAGTATACTCGTCTGTATTTATCACAAATCGTAACACCATGCCCGTTATCAGAGTAAATACAAATGAGTAGGTCATCTTCATAGAAACGCACCGAGCGCGGTTTGTATGTGAGCGTGCCAATACGTATACGGCGCGCACACACTGACAAAATTTAGCGTGGATTAGCGGGGTGTTGCGCCTAATTGCGTTTCAATGAAGATGACCTACTCCTTTGTATTTACTCTGAACGTTATCCACATAGTAAGTACAGTCAGTATCGAAGGAACGTTTACATTTTGTACACACGAACATTAGCTACCATTTTAGCTGGTTTCTTCTTAATCTATGCATGCTAAATAATAAATATATTGTTCTGCCATCTGAGATAAATTATAACATATTTGTAAGTCTTTCTACACTGATTGACTGTTAGCCACATGCCAATTTATACTTTGAAACATTAGTTTTTACTAGTATTTTTAGTAAAACAATACTTTATAATAGCTTTCTCAATAGATCAGAAATCATATTAGAGTTACTGAAAGTTTGACAGTTAATTAAATAGTATAAATTGACTGACAATCAGCTGACAACACAAGACTTATGAATTAAACATACAACGAAAAAGACAAAAAATATCTATTTGTACTAAGTGAAAGAGAAAAAGATATGTGCCGATAAAATTACGTATCCATTGACTAACTAATATCTATAATTTAATTAATAAATAATCATAAAGCCACTAAACAGCCTCAAATTATAAACCTGTTTGATAACTTCATCTATCACGTTCATTCTCTTACAGAATGAGAAGGATAGATAAAAGTTTAACTTAATTTACAAAGCGTTTACATTGGGCATAAGTGTTTGCAGTTTCTATTGTTAGCTTAGCCTTATCAAAAACAGAATTAAAGAAAATTAAGGCTTCTTCAAATTAGACGCTTGAACAGCATGAAAAAGCTTTTCCAATCGGATTTTGATGCTAATAAGATACAGTTATTAGTTTAGTTAGATTGCAAAACAACAACCTTATTTGTATTGGATCTAAATCGAAAATTAAATAAAGGTTTCCACATTCAATCCAAATGACCTGTCTAATCTAATTTGATGGCGCCCATTATGAACATTTTATACATCGATCTCTATATTATGACAGCTGGTGATAGCAGCATAATAGCATCTCTTTTGTATAGCGTCATTTCTTTCAAGGACATCCACGAACCAAAAATCTTGTATTTTCACGAGAATTATAGAAAAATCGATTGTCTAATAATATAATATTGGTATGTGGTGTGTTATTTTGCATCCATTTGACAGCTCAATTATTTGACTAAACAATAATTAAATTCAGATTCAATTAAACGAGTGATAGATCAAATCAATGAGAACTATCACAGAAAAAGTGCTTTTAAACATGCATTTTTATTGACAAAACCTAATTATCACGCGTTATTTCGAAATCCATTTTTTGTATATTCATAATACACATAACAATAATAAATAAAACTTAAATTATGTAAGCACCAAAATGTACTCTCGCCATAACAATCAAAACAAAATTGTACTCGCAAACAAATTAATTATAATTAACTTACGTATTATTGAATAAATTACGTTAAAATAACTAAGCGTACGTTTGTGTCTAATAAATAGGAACACAATTATAACTAGAATGTGTACATAACTTTTATTTTGGACAAAAGTATGAAAAAACGAGCTGCGACAAAATCACAAAAGTTCAGCTAGTAAATATTGAGGCCCGTATTATGAAACGATCCGCAAAATTCAATCCAAATTCAATTAGATCCGTACTTTTCAATCCAAATTCAATTAGATTCGTACTTGTGACTGTTTTCATGATAACTGAACCAATAACAGTGTAGATTTTTATGTTAGTGTCATTTCATAATACGGGGCTAAGTATTAAATAATGTTAGTTAATAAATATAGAGGCCATAGAGCAGAGTCAAAAGAGATTCTTGTTTTTAGTTTTTTTATTTAATTTTTTTTTGCATTTAACCGATATTTTATGAGTCTGTTGTTGTACACTTAATAAACTTGAGTTCATACCAATGTCATTTCAAAGTAGATATTACTTTTAACTCTTCACATCTTTAGCCTCTCTCATGTACAATCAGCGTCAAATACACTCGACATCAAATAAATCGCACCTCCCGCGACAAGCACTTTCAAACGTATGCATCCCCACTTCCCACCAATATTAGCACCATTTGAAAGCCTAGTTCTAAGCTTCATTTCATTAAAGGAAAGGATTTTACCCCGAAAATGTGTCCTTAGAAGGATCCAGAGTCACTTCTTCAAAAAACAGGTAGTTACGCTTGAGCCAACTTTTATGGCTATAAAACTGTTAAGCCTAACTTAATCGCTATCAATCTGATAAAGAGGACACGTGAGATCATTATTTGGTTTTATAATCATAAAAATTGGTCGAATTGATCCCAGAGGAGAGCCCAAAGTGAGGTCTTTTTTCAAAACACATTTATGGTATATGTTAATCATTTATTAAGAAATTAAATGTGTTTTTCTTTAAGGATATTTATTGGGCTTTCAAATAACACCAATATTGTTGGGGCACCATGATTGTGTCAGAAGAAAATCTTTAAAGTTCGCGTCGCGGAAGGTGCGGTTTATTTGATGTTGAGTATAGTTCGTGTCTTCGTGACATCAAAAATGGCCAAAAAGTTGATAACACAATTTTATTCCAATTGCAATAAAGGCGTGTTGCGAATTTTTAGCTACTTTCGGTGTCACGGACTATTTGACGCTGACTGTATGTCAAAAAATGTTATAAAAAAAACTAGGGCCGAATGAAGTAAAGTTATAGCTTGTTGAATCCAATTCATGAAAGCGTTAGAATATTTAAGTGTGTACATCATTTATTTGACAGTCCTTAAATATAAAATGAAGAAAAACTAATAGCGGTATCCCGATTGATACAATACAGACTTAAGTAAGACAGTCACATACAATAAAGTCGTAGACGCCAATCATTAAAAGTCTAACATTATTTGAACATTTTCCAAAATCAATACTTAATGACTGTCAACAGTGATATGAATTGGTAGCCTCTGTCTTTGAAGAAGAAGAATGATATTCTGATGGCAACTAAAACAAAAATGACTGACACTGGTGTCTACAACCTTAGATAACATTTACTTTTCAGATTCCATACATCCAACATTCAATAAAAACTTCCAAAAACTTACACGTCTATGACTTACAATTCTTACAAAATGCTATAACATACATCATTAATTTAAATTCGACTTCGAGCCCCTATGAGGTTACCTAATATTCTAGTTTCATTCACTGCAAAATCTACCTTCTCACCATGACATAGAAAGCTATTTTGTACACCATACCTAAATTAAGGTGGGGCTACATTACTCAGTGCTTAGTAATACTATTTACCTGATTGAGATTACTTAAGCTTTGGGCAAGTCCAGTGTTAGTCCGGGGACTGTGAGTGAGAGAGACAGCTCAACTGCAGCTGTCCTTTTTCGCCGGCGGTTCGTCTACTTTTTTCACGTCGAGATCAGTTTTCGAGGTGCCCGGCTGCGGGTCGAGGTCTGAAATAACAAATAAATAACGTTATTTTTGGCAACTGCTGACTGAAAATAGGGTCAGCCAGGATTTAATAAACTCGAATATCTATTTTCTATCTCTATCTCGATAATCTTGACCAAAAGTGTCGAGTAATGCAGATTATTTACTTAGATATCGTAGAGAAAATATTGGATTCGTCCAGCGAAGTTTCTTATAGATTAGTTTTATACAAAAGTCCAGCCAGCGGCAGCGGTCAACGTCGCTTATTAGTACCTACCTACGGTAGTCGTGTCGTCTTGGGCGACCAATTGTTATCTTTTATCGAGTCGTTGCCACAACAACCATACAAAGAGTAGCGACCGGCGCTGCTGTAGCCTTCGATTGTAGTAAATAATGCAGAACAACTTCGACCTTGGATGTAGCAAACTCACAACAAATAATAGAGAGGAGTACAAGCGGCTATCTTCCAGGAGATGTCAGAATGATATTCGAGACCCTAATTGTATTGAATAGTTAATTATTTTGCATAAACAAAGGAAGTGTTTTAGTGTCTCCCTGCATTTTCAAGACAGGTCAAGGATTTGGCATTGATGCTTTCAAATTATTTATTCATTCGAATCGAATTGTGTTGCCTGATGTTCAGACGTTACGAAACCAATGATAAATAGAGTGAAAATCACTGATTTACGTAACATGTTGTGTCCCCTGTCAAAGATCGTTCGCAGAGCAAATAAACAGATCAAATCAGATCGAAGTCTAGATAAACACATTTCCCAGATTAAGGATCCGCAGACAAACAAAGATACCCCTACCACATACGTGCCAGCGGCTAAGAAAAATACTCTTAGAGAATCCATCTTTGATTTATCAACAAAGGGATTTTCATTTCGGAACAACGTAAGCAATCTCTTTGGTATTCATGGACGCTTACGGTCGAAGTGAAACTATGGAAGCGGCTTTTAAAATGTTAAAATCGCCAATTAGTCTCGGAGTTAATTGTCTCCACAACAAATAATAGTCCTTTTCGTGCTGTTCAAACAATCTACTTGTTTCGAACGTGACAGAAATATTTACGTGAAATTTTTCAACTGAGACACACATCAATATTTATTTATGCGTAGGTAGAGCTGCCGACTAGCAGATAATTTACAAATTATGATGTTGCTCTTGAATCTTGTGACTATTAATAGACCAGCCTCCACGTTATCTGCGCAGAATTCGGGCCGCTTAGTCTGTGGCAATCGATTTGTATTTTTTATTTGGAGATATTTTGGTCAAACGCCTTCTTCGATAAGAGCGGTGTATTAAATTCTTTCTTTACTCTTACATATTAAAATTCTTTACAGTTTTATTTGTGATATGAGAAACTATTATAGGCATTTGATAAAGTAAAAACTGCTTACACTACGTATATCAGAGGGCAATAATGTTACTCATTGATGAGAGAGAAATGTCAAGGATCAAACTTGACCTTCACTCTTTGGGTTTTTATTGGCGGTCAAGCTGTAGATCCTGGCTATACAGGAGTTGCAGCGGTGGGAATAGTCCCGTTCTTTAGCGAGGAGCAACTATTGCCTTGCGCCCATTATTAAGACATTAATGCGTTTATGATTATTAGCAAATAAGTCAAGTCTTCTTTGTCCTGGTAGGAGGTGTAGGTACTAAAAAAACTGAAGCCTTCAAAGCACACAAAGTAATGAAGACATCAACAAAGGAAGGAAACGACCCACCTAATCGTAACTTCGTTATGACAGTGTTAACGCTGTCCTATACCGGAAAAGTAATTAGCAATAAACTTCTACTACAGCTGTCAATCAGTTAATGAGCTGTGTAATTATTATTTCTGATTCTTATCCCCATGTCCTTGGCTAGGACAAGGAAAAGGATAGCAAACAGAGTAATCATGACCCGATCACAATCACCGAGAGTCAACACGATGGAATCTGACACTGAGGGAGGTGACAACCATTTCCATGTACAGTCAACGTCAAATAAATGGGCAACCCAATCCCAAAGTAGCCAAAAAGTTTGCAAAAGTCTTTGTTACATTTGGAGTAAGGTTGTGTTGTCCACACTTTTTCGACACTTTGGGCGTCACAAACTATTTGACGCCGACTGTAAACTAGCACTAGTCAACCACCAAATCATGCTTAATGAAAGGAACTCGATTATTATAAATCGATCTCTTCGATACAAGCCATGTAGAGTTGAAAATAAAAGGTTAAAAAAAACCTTGAAATAAAGTCACTTACGCCACGGACATTATTATTCCATGGGGACCTAACACATTAAATAGTTTACTACGAGTAAGTACCTAAGGTAGTAATATCTGTGGCAAATCGCCGGAACTCACGGAATTGTGTCTATATGCTATAGTAATTTGTGAATTACCACGTAAACGTTTCTTTTTGGGGTTAAAACCGCTAAGCCAAAAACCGCCGTAAGGCCCGACTTACATGGACAGCTTGAAGCAGTTAGTATAGACTGCGACTTTTAAGTAAACGCACATACACACAGCAGTCACTCACAACTGTTTCCATAGTCGATACCAACTGCTTAAAGCTGTCCGTGTATGGCGGGCCTAAGTGGTTGCTTTCAAAAGTTGTTCTCGACAGCTGAATCCTGTCTTTTCAAAAGGAGTAAATGAGACTGATGACGGACGACATTGACGAATGACGTGCAAAAGTTGTTTTTCAGTTTTAGAGATAGTGAAAACTGTTGGAATCTAGCCCAAAGATTACTTGCCACACATATGCTAAATGAGACGCTTGCTTCTGTCAAAGAAATTCGTTATCGCGTGCATGACACGTGTATCCCAATAAGTAGTCCCAACCAATACACTTTTTTATTACAAAGACATTACTTAAAATTAGTTTTAAATCGCTGGCATGTGAAAAAGATGGTTTCCCCTGAAAAACTTTCATCCCATAATTCACTCGATCTATGTTTGAATGACTAAAGACTTTGTCATTATTCTGGGTTCCACCTTTTTCATATCAATATTGGTTCAGCACAGCCAGAAAATTGTAGCAATCAAACATAGAGTTACTTTCGCATTTAGGTATAACATTATTGTCACATAAATTGAGGTCGTCGATCCCTCTTCACCAATTCACACCTACTTACCACATCGTCGGTACACATACACAGTCATACGCCACACAACAACACGAGCACGTGTCCCTCTGACGTCAAGGCGATTGAACCTAACGTTATCTAGACGTCATTTCACAATTTACAATCATTAGATCGATAAATTGGCAAGCATCAGATAGCAACGTGTAAACACACGAACCATACTGTACACTATCACACAATACAGGTAATAAAACGGCTATTCACAAATTGCTTTATGCTTCACAATTAATGTCCATCAATCGCTGAATTCGACCGTATAGATAGGGTCAGGCAACGATAATCTTAGCAATCTAATCGATACGCTATGATTATGGGTTGGATTTCACTAAACTACGTCAATGTTTATAGATTTAAGCCAAACGACTACTGATAATGATCGTATTGCGTCAATTAGAGCGATTTTTGAATGCCGATGGCCTTGAGAGGATAGGATATGAAAACCTATAATCGCATAGTATTTTTCAGGCGGTTATCTGACTTTCGATCGCGACCGACACCGGCTAACGGCGTAATGCGAGACTGAGGTCAAAGCGAACGTGAGATTGTATTGAGCAAAATAAGGAAATTGCTTCATAAGGTTGTTGATATCGAGACAATAGAATATGAATTGCTATTGGCCCTCATGGTCGTATCAGTTACCTAAGAAACATAAAGGGAGTAAAATCATCTTAAGATGTTGATTGCCAATCTTATACATAATACATAATAAAACATCAACAAATCGATGTCATCGCCATGTTATCGCCCCGGGTACCAACCCATGCTACGCCGCCACTGATTAGGTACCTGAATTAAACAAGCAGCATGGTGCCTAATAAGTACCTCCTTATGAAAAACCCAAGTCACTCTGTCATTTTGGAAAGGGCAAGAGAGGTTTAATTAAAACTTTATTCAGGAATGTGTCCCTCTCACTTCAAGTGGGGTTGTAGGTACGTATGCCCTTTCCACAAATAGCATGTGGAGCTTAGCGCTTGAAAGGTAAGGACAACTTGAAAACCTAGAAGTGCGAGATGAGATCAAATTGACAAAATCTGTTAAAACTAGCATGACATGGGAAATGTAAAAGTACTCAATTCTCTGTAGACGAGTACTATGCTTACTCTATGGTGGAGATCGCAAAGTGTCTGATAGGCCGATTCAAGATCTGAAGTTTGTCGAAATCCGCCGCTGCTGGACTATTCTGATAAATCCACTCGTAAATTATTCATATTTTTAAGCACGAGGGGAACGAACGAAATAAGACTATTGGACTTTAAAAACGGAAGAATAAAGAAGGATTTAGGGAAAAATTTGACTCACCAGTCGTAACTAGCTGCTGCAGCCTTGAGGGCAGATCGGAGGTGGTGACCTCCGCTCCCTGAGGATGCAATATGTCCGGCATCGCATTCCGACGCCCCGTGCGGCCTGTCTCCAGAAATTCCTTGGGTACTTCTTCGCTATTTCTGTCTTGCATTATGGCCATCATTCTCAGCGCTGAAATGGCGGAAGAATGGCTTTTATTGCGGATTGCTTACGGTACCTACAGTTTTAAGTAACAAAAAGCTTATCCGGGTGGATAAGTTGTTGGATTGGTATTTGGTGGGCACCAATCTACAACAGTTAGGGTAAAAACGTGAAATACCTAAATACAAACTAGTTATAAATAGGGTTTAACAGCTAGATAAGCCTTCTTTTTACAAGCGTAATGCTACTATCCTATGCTTAGGTAATAAAAATATAGTTTGATTGACACTACTGCATAATCTAATACTACTGTCAGCTAGAGGTATGGTCAACAGAGAAGAAACGTCATGTAACATTTATGAAAAATTGGTCAAAGATTAGGTATATTCAATGTTTACTAAGGCCTTGCTTTGCTATGTAACGTGCGTGTTCGTAGTTTGGTTGAAGTGGATACTCTTGATTCAAGGGTAAACATAAAAATCACTTTGTGTATTTGTACTAACAAACCACACAATAGAAAATTATTACACCCACATAACTATCAAAGTAGAAATAAAATAAGCTTTGATACCATGCAACTGTTGAATGTAGTACTAATGGTGCAGTCCACGGCACATCAGACTGGACAGTTTTGTTGCAAATTAGCATCTTTTACAGTTGAATAAGATGCCGCAGTGTATAGCTTGACGTGCTGCTGTACTGCGTAGTATAATAGTAAAGTAGGCACACGCCTGCATTCTGGGTCAGTAGAGCTTGTGATAGAAGAGTGGAAAGTTTGTAAATGGCAAATAATCTACTGTTTACGCACGATAAGCCCTATCTCGGACTCTAATCCAAGTATTAGGTCATAAAGTTTGCTAAATGCCAATATACTGATACTTACATAAACTATCTTGGTTATTATATTAGAACATAGGTACTTGTGAAGCTTTTAGCGAAACCGCAGAGCGGATTGTCTAACAGTCATTCAGGCAAAAAATAATTCTAATTAGAAACTGCGATGTCGGGCATAAACTGTGATGAGGTTTTGGTTTTTAAACCATCGTATGAACTAGGAATCAAATACACAGCAACATGTGTTGATTAAATGCTCTGTGACGAACACGAGTGAATGTTGATGACTTGAAAATTAACACGCCGCCAGATATCTTTTCAGAAGATTTCATCTTAGTTCAAATTAATAACGTGCCAAGTACCGAAGTACGGGACATCACCCGTCTTTATTAATACATTAGTTCCTTTTTAAAAAAGCGACTTAACTTTCGACGTAGGAGTACTTTTTAAACAATGGGTTATGTTGACCATACACTACATTCACCTATAAACTGATACCAAGGGGATTTAGTGCAATAAATGTATAATCAAATGTTATCTATGAGGTTAAGTAATATAATTAAATAGATAAGATAAACGTGTCACATTCGATGGAGAATATTAAATAATTATAGTTCCGTAGTGCATTACATTTGGCGTTGCTTTTGGCGCTTAGAACGGCAAGACGCACTGCGGGGGACCTTTCATGGCAGCGTAGATTAACCCACATGGTCACACTTGCCTCATTCTCTGAAAGCCTTTTTAGTATAATGTATCTTTTGTCATCCATAACAGTTGATTTCTCTGTTTCCAGGTTTATAGAACTTCTTTTCACTCATTCATTTTTTAAGCCACGTGTAGAAAAGGTGTTCTCTGCATTAGATCCACCATTGATCGCATCTGCAGTTGTGCACTCTTTGAATGGAATGTTTTGTTACCATGAGCAAGTCCATTCACCTTAAGATTTTCCGATTCATTTTATTTCGTAAAAAGGTTTTACAACAATGGCCCATTACAATGAAATTTCTTTTTTCTATGTAATAGACTGCATTGTCCAACATTAGCAACATCGCATACCTTTACTTATCTCAGGAACTACGACCCATGAGCAGACACTTTGCACAGTTAAGTATGTACTCTCTGATAAGTGGTTTTGCGTCATTAGACTTAGAGATAATGTTGCGATGTTCAAAGTTACTCTCTTTGTGAGTTTTTGTCGTTCGACTTTTTTTTATCGTTATCGGTCTGTGTGAGCTTGGATAGGAAACCAAGAGCTGCGGATGAATGTCCAATTTTAGGACAATAACTCGCGGCCCCGTTTCATTGGCCCCGGAGGACACCGTTGGGTTTTAGTGGGTAAGCCCTGCCCTTCTGGGCGGGGAGTCACACATTATAACCCACTAGATGTCCCCATCGACTAGTGGTTATGCGTAAAGCATTTCCCATCGGAAAAAAAGGATAGGAAGCCACGTCATGGTTATGGCTGCAGACGCGTATTTAATCGTAGTTCGATTTTTAAGCCAACTATGGGCAGAAACTAGTATAATAAACGCTCAATTCCAGAGACAATATAGAGAATATATCGACAAACAGTACGAAATTACGAGTCCCGTTTCGACAAAAAAGAGTAAGTACTTTTGGTATTTGTTGGCGCCCAACTGGGGCGCAATGACTCGTACTGAATTAGCATTCAGTATCACACCATTCATTTGAAAGGTCGTTCTTAAGCAGATACAAATAAAATGCATCATCACCCGAGTCTATACTTAGGATACGTGTCGTAATTGCCTCTGGCAACCAATTATGATGCTAATGAGGCAAGTTCTAAGGCATTGAAGTGTCTTCTGGCCTCTTCATTACAATTACAGATCACAATGCAAAGAGGTACAGTGTTCACAAGCCTTCTATTCAACGCACATGCAATTATGCACACACGTACGTATATCTTGACATGGTCGCCACTTTTATCTATCCTTTCTAGCAAAAATGGGATATACATAGACTGAAATTACGTGGGCTCAACTTTTTGAAATTAATTTTACTCAGGACTTCCTTGGAATCTCTCCCTCATAGCTCATAGATGTGCGACGAGCAATTTGCATTGGTCTCTTGGCCAATTTATTGGTTGAATTAAGAGCACTGCTCAATGCAAAAGAAACATCGGATTCATGGTTATTTCACTATTCTTCACTTGCTTATTAGAGCATTTCTTATTCTAAGCTTACTGAATTGATATCATTGTATATCGCCATTCACTGAGCAAATGTGGATGACGCGAAATTGCACTCTGAAGAAGTACTAATGGGACTACTAAATATTTAGCTGATGTAGCACATTACTTTGATGAGACTGGCTCATAGCTATTCAGTGCACAAAAGCACATAGTAATTTAAGCACTTGGTCAAAAACTATGGCGTCATATTCGGCTCTTTGAAATATTCTTATTTATTTAAATTTGTCTCATAATTCCAAGAGTATTTATTCACTGAGACAAGATAATACAGTAGAGTTGAAGGGATTTAAGCATACTATTTATCTAAAAACTCTGTAAACATAGTAGGTAGGTCTGTAAACTACTACAAGGAAAGACCTTAAAAATATTTTAAGAAAAACCTATACCTCATAGTCTAATAACTAGAAAGAGAAAACTAAATGTAAAAGCATTTTTTATGTAAACTATAATAAGTTTACAACCAAAAAGTAAGATTGGATAAAAACTGTTGTTTTCAGACTCAGATAGTTTTTCATCCTAAACTAGAAAAATACAAACATGCAATAAAAGCTAACCAATCAATACATGCTGAATAAAGCAGATACAAAAATGATGATTCAAGTTTAAAAATAAATGTTTCTATTAAAATACTTTATGAAGTGATATTTTTATAAATATTTTTCAAATCATAACATAAAAGGCAAAACAAAGACTACCAGAGTTTTCTACAATTATTTTTATAAAAATTAACCTACACATGTCAGTAGTGTGATAAAAATAATACCTACTTAAGAAAACTTAAAGAAGTGTTTTTCATTCATTCATTCTAGAAAGCTATTGCAGTTATTGTCTTGTGAGGTTTTTTCTGACAGGTGTAAGTCAATCAAAAATAGCAAAATAATTTAATTATTGAATTAAATATAGGAGAAATGGTTATATACCATATCATCCCAAGATTATCTTCAGCGGGGTAGCGGACACCGCGTGTGACCCAAGCGGCGGTCACGCTATGCGCATGCACCTTACAGTCCTGGATAATGCAAGACAATGTTAGTATTCCTCCGCGAGTCCGTAACGAGCGATACCAGATGATCTAGTTAGTTTTGACCTGGAAAATTTAATGTCTCAGCAATGCTTTAACATTAATTCAATAATGTCTGAATTTTATTTGGTCAGGTCAATAAATTAGAAGAACTTAGGATAAGATGACATATTTTGTCTCATTTATCTAGAGATTAAATGGAAAAATTGCAGTTGATCAAGCATGTTAAAATCCAGGCATTATTGATGAAACAGTCAAAGAAACTATGAAAGTAAAAGAAGAGTTAGAGATTTCGGAGATGAAGAATGCTCTTCCAAACAAGCTATAGTCGAAAACTGAAGCGGAAATCAAACCCCGCGGTCTAAGAAGCGAAGCACCAACATGCTTTCCTTCTTGTACCTGCTCGGCTCTTCACGCGGTGGCTCCTCCGGTGCTTTGAAACACGACCCACTCGCATTGTGGACATGATTATAATCACTGCTTCAAAAACATACGAATTTATTGATTTCAAAACTAAAACCGTACTCACAATCACATAACTGTTTAGTCGACGGAACACAACAGACCACAAAGAAGACAATTAGATATCTCGCGATAGTTGTTGTGACTTTTATAGAGGTTTAGCGGTGTTGAATTAAATAACGAATTATGAATTTTAAAGAGCACAGAAATCACAGCAATACACAAAAGATTAAATAGAATGGTGGTGGTGGTGACATGACCATCAACGTCCGCGAAAATGACAGATATGATTTGACAGCTGAGCAAAATAATTGCAGTCCGAAAACACTTATCAACTGTCTCTTTGTCCGAAACCAGCACTTTCGTACGTCCCTAATAAATAATTTGAAATTCATTTTCTAGTAAGTTTATGGACTTATCGTAAATTATTTCTATAAGGTATCACCATTGTCCATTTATTAGAATGCTCTATGGTTATTTATTAGAGAATAAATTTTATAATTTATTATAGCCTGACCAGGAACATAAAAACCCTGGCATAGAGGCGCTTCAATTGCATTTGATAGTGCAACACTGAGTACAGTCGTACCTGTGTTAAATTAATAGGCTAACTTTATGTTTCAGGATTCAGGATTACGGGATAATTTTATATTTTCATAAATTAACGAAAAAATATTATTATAGGTAACCTGGTTTAAATAAATTAAATGAAACCATCAATCGAACTAGTAGGATTTATTTTATTATTCATCAATAATCAAATTTAGAACTTGAATATTCAACTGCAATGTCTGCTCATGAACGCTTCAAACTCGGTACTTCTTTCCCAATTCCATAAAATTCAACTTTTAGAAAGTGACAAAAAACTTTAAAATAGGTAGTTGAAACAAACCACAGCTAATTTTCATAGTAGACTGTACTATACGATAAACATGTCAGTCAATTTGACAACCTTTATTGGAAACATTTTCAATGAAAATATTGTCCGAACCCTTGGCATTTCTCTTCGACAAATACTTTAACACATTGTGAACCACTTTTCTCACGACTATAATAAGATTTTAGCAATTTCATTCACAAAATCAATTGCGCACATTTAAAATAAAGTTTGTTTACACTTTGACAACAATAGACTGACATGCAAGGTGACATGTCAATGAAGTTTTTAGTTACTGTTGCCATTAAAAGAAATTAGTACCATTAGTTTTCCGCAATATGGCGAGGGTTTTTATGTTCCTGGTCAGGCTATAGAATTAAAATCATTCTGAAAAATCTACCATAATAGTAGCATTTTTAATTAATTTTGGCAACTGCTTACATAACGTCAAATTCAGCTGTCAAATCAAGCAGCTGATCAGCGAAAATTTTACGAAAATTAATATTTATGTAATTATAGCAGTGGAACATCTCATTTGAGGTATATAGAGTTTATTAATAATATGTGTACAATCTAACAACTGCAATCTTGCAAGTGAAAGTGTGTGTACATTGTAATATTGTTTTGTTTAGATGCTGCGAAAGGTAGTTTTAGGGTCCGGGTTATTGGCTTTGGTGCCTACTGTGAAGGCGGCAACTCCCGTGTCGAATGAGCCGAGTGGTCCTGCGAAGCCTCCTCCCATGAGGCCGCCTGACCTGCCCATATACGAAGCGCCACACGCTGATTATGGGGAGTGAGTAAAACTTAACCTTTTTCTTTGTGATCTTGCTGTTTTAGAAAAAAGTATTGCTTATAACCGGTTACTGAAGACCTGTATTGTATATACCATATCTATTATTACTTTCTGCATATATTAGAAAGTTAGAAGTGTTGTTTTTTTAAGAAATTTTGATCTATCTGGTCTTAGATTAATAAAATCTAAGTAAGTATCTGGTTAATTCTGTTTCAATAATATTGCAGATTACAAAACATCCTTACAACTATGATCTTTATGTCTATAGGTTCATAGAGTCCAAATCAAAAGAACAGAAACCTGGTTACATCAAAACTGCACTGCTGACTCCAGTGAAGGCGGTGCGAGAGCAGGTTCAAAATGTTTGGGAACAAACAGACGCAGTTAAAAACACAGTGCAGGAGCACTACCATGAGGCTAGAGATAGATCAGATTGTAAGTACAGACATACTCTATTAACTAAAATTATAATTTTTTAAAAGTTTGTTCGTTCTTTTCAGCCAAATAGTGTCTACTGCTGGATAAAGGGTTTCCACGATGACCTGTGTTTTTATAATGTTAAATTTGGTTTAGCCCAATTTCTTTAACTTACTCAATATCAACCAGAAGAATATAAGTAGCTCTTAAAGCCATCTCAGGCAGATTATCCTGAAAGCAATTTGAGTTTTATAGCTTGAGAAAGATTCAAATTGGATTCTAAATTGCTGAGATTATCTTTTACATAACAAAACATATTATTATTATCTCATAGTTCTGAAAATATTTTATCGCCAATTATTTCAAACTATTTCAGGGATTGTGCAATACTTGCGTGAGGAAGAAAACAAGGAGGTGCGGTATGGGGCGGTTGCAATGGGAGGTCTCACTGGCTTCATATTTGGACTAAGGGGTGGAATCATCAGGGTATGTATATTTTTACTTAATTAACCAACAAGCAGACTATCCCAACTATATATATATATATATACTAGCTTTCCGCCCGCGGCTTCGCCCGCGTGGAATTTTGTCTGTCACAGAAAAACTTTATCGCGCGCGTCCCTGTTTCAAAAACCGGGATAAAAACTATCCTATGTTCTTTCCCGGGACTCAAACTATCTCTATGCCAAATTTCATCAAAATCGGTTGCGAGGTTTAAGCGGGAAAGCGTAACAGACAGACAGACAGACAGACAGACAGACAGACAGACAGACAGACAGACAGAGTTACTTTCGCATTTATAATATTAGTTGGGATATATATAATATTATAAATGCGAAAGTAACTCTGTCTGTCTGTCTGTCTGTTACGCTTTCCCGCTTAAACCTCGCAACCGATTTTGATGAAATTTGGCATAGAGATAGTTTGAGTCCTGGGAAAGAACATAGGATAGTTTTTATCCCGGTTTTTGAAACAGGGACGCGCGCGATAAAGTTTTTCTGTGACAGACAAAATTCCACGCGGGCGAAGCCGCGGGCGGAAAGCTAGTGGTAATATAATTGCCACTTTATAGCCTTTGTGTTAAGGCCCAAAACCAATGAAAAATGTATCCCTGTAATGATCTGTCCATTTACTTTTACATTTTACAAACTGTTATCTCATAGTTACTTGGCAGGATTAAAGATAAGCCTGGGCCGCACATAAAAAGCGTCAAAGTATTCTTTCATATATTTTGTATTATATGTTTCTCAATAAGGATATCTCAATATATGGATAATATCCAAGGATATTTATTATCAATAAGGGCGGCGCTAAAAGGAAGTTCGTGCGTTCCGACCTTTAGAGCCAAAGCCCGTTTAGAGACGTCTGTCTTACATAAAAATATCTGTGGCGGACACGCGAGCGGTGCCGCTTACGGCGAAATCTTTGCGGTGGGGCGCTGCAACCCATCGTGAGCTTTGGCTTTTATTTAATTAATGTTTTTTTACAATTACAGCGACTGTTCTACACTGGCCTGGGTACCACCGGTATGGGTCTAGTGTGCTTCCCAGAACAAACTAAAGAGCTGATGAAGAGCAATGGTGCACTCGCGAAACAGTACATCAATATCGCATACAACTTCTTATATGGAGGTAAATACATAATTATAGTCATCACTTACTTTTTTATCTCATATTTTTAGAAAGTAATGTAGGATTGATAAGATACCTATGTGTTCAGTTTGTAATGTCGATGATAATATTTAACTCTTATCTATTTTTAAAGAAAAAATATTTTGTTTGAAGATGGTTTGATGACTAACTTCTACAGAATCAGATTTTCTATTCACATTTCTACATACGACTAGTGAGCGGGTTAGCAAGAGATTATACGCAACCACTTTATTCAACTGTCTCAGATAAACATCGGTCTTGTAGACACTCCAAATTGTACAATAAATTCTTATTTCATCAGTAAAACCGGGTGATCCTCAACTCGAGGTCAAATTCCCTGAGCTGTCTTTCCCCAAAGACTTCTCGGAGTTTGTCGACCTGACCGTGTCAATGGCTGCATCAGTGAAGCAGGCAGTCATGCCGCCACCGTCTAAGGAACCCGACTCCAAGTCAGAGGAGAAAAAGGATTAGGTATAGATTCTAGTGGTGGAGTGGTGGTGGTTTTCTTGCATGTAGGCTTTGGATTCAACTTCTGGCATTCTCTTGACGATTTTGTTTTAACAGCATGTTTTTCGTTTCTTTCTGTTGTGCTGTGCCTGCTACGTTTTTGGTTGGTGTGTGATTTTACAGCATGGATTTTGCGTGGGCTTTCTTTAATTTTCTTTTGTAATGACGCTTCAAATAGAGTAACATGGAAACTTGAGAATCGTTAGTAACATACTTAAGACATTGATTAATTTATTTTTTCAATATTACACATCTTGTGGTGGATGAATAGACATTTTTAGAGTGTGCTACTGATAAGCAATGCTTTTTTATGCTTGTTCTGGTTGCAGATTTTTTTTTACTCTAAAAGCTTCAATCCTATTACATGTAACTGAATAATGCACGTTATTTAAAAAAAATGTCTTCTTGAAAAAACATAACACGTTAATTGTAGCCAAACCCGAAGGGCTGTATAGTATACCTATTATATGTGACGTAGCTAAAGTGACTCTGGGTGCACTAAGAATATTGTATGCAAAATAACTGTTTAGCGCCGTCTCACATCTCTTATGTGCGCTTGCGCACAGACGTGAATGCAAACGTCGCCTAATATCTGTTGATTTCTTACAACGCATCTCTTCCCCTCGTCTTTGAAAGAAATCCAGCTTTATACAAATGAGTACCTAGGTAACTAATATTTTTGTTTATTATTTTACAGATTATTTATTTCGAGAAGACGTAGAAAGTCAAGCTGTTCCCAGTACGTATACCTACCTAGTTACCTAGCGGTAGATAGGCTCCCAGCTAGCTCAAAGAATATTTTTACCCCTATGGTTTTTTACCTATGAAAATGTCACCAAGTATTTCTTTATTTTACAGCCACATCTTAACTATCAAGCAACATACAAACAGCAATGTAAACCTGTTAGTGAAAACTTAACTTATTGTCTACTAGAATACAGTGTAAATTGAAAATAAATGTATATTTTTACATATCGTATTTTATTTCACCTTAAAAAGTACAATTCATTTAATTCCAATTTAATTAACAGAACTGCATTATGCAAAAATCATTTCCTCTCGCCTCTTCTTGGTGACTACTGTGCCTGGCTTATGCTGGGCCTCTGGGTGATTCATCAACTCAGGAGGACATGTCGACACAGAGCTAGCTAATAGGACCTGTTTCAAATCGTAGAACAGAGCCGAATCCTCTTTCGTGACGAACGATATGGCTTTACCAGTCTTGCCAGCACGACCAGTACGACCGATACGATGCGTGTAGTCCTCAATAGTCTTTGCCATGTCGTAGTTGATGACAATACTGACGTCCTTGATGTCGATACCACGACCGGCGACGTCTGTCGCGACAAGTATATCTTTAGACCCGTTCTTGAGACTCGCAAGCGCGAAGTCACGCTGTTCTTGCCCTTTACCACCGTGCAATGTACACGCATTGAAACCCAGCTTCTCGAGACCTTTCGCGAGCACGTCAGCCCCTTTCTTTTGATTGACAAAAATAATAATCGGAGGCTCCACTCCGCGTTGCAAAATCTCGGTCAGCTTCCTACGCTTCTCGTTCTCGCCAATCATGTGGACCACTTGTTCGGTTCTATCGACTGGTTTACCGACCGATCCTATGTACACGATTGCCGGTCTTCGAAGGTAGCTTCGGGCTAAACGCTCCACAGCCGGAGGCATAGTTGCTGTAAACATCACAGTTTGTCTGTACTTCTTTTTAGTATTGTAATTGGCCAGCAGAACCGACGCATCCTCGGCTGCGTCAGTGTCCGGTTTGATGTTCGATACGGGCATGTATTCTAGAATTTTCTGCACATCAGGTTCAAAACCCATGTCAATCATACGATCTGCTTCGTCGAGTACCACGTATGTGCAGCGATTAAGTACTAGATAACGGTTTTCTAAAACATCAATGAGACGACCAGGCGTTGCAATAACGATTTCACAACCCAATCTCAGTTTGAAACCTTGCTCTTCACGAGATAAACCACCGACGACTACGACTGATGTGATTCCAAGTGGAATACCGAATTTGTTAGTCTCTTCCTCAATTTGTTGGGCCAACTCACGAGTTGGCGCCAATATAATAGCATACGGTCCTTGATCGGCGTCTTCCATGCGCTCACTCTTGGGCAATGACTGGATCCAAGTCAGAAGAGGTATGAGGAAAGCCAGTGTTTTACCAGATCCTGTTTCGGCGACACCAATGATGTCTCGATTTTGTAAACCAATAGGTATGGCTTGTCTCTGAATTGGTGTGGGGCTTTTGTATCCAACTTTGTTGATGATGTCCATAATGTCTTGGTGGAAACCTGCCTCCTTCCAATTACGAATAGGGTTGGGAATTTTTCCACCTTTGATAGTGATATTATAATCTTCTCTAAAGATTCGCCAATCTCTTTCAGTCATTTCATCCTGGTCTTTCTCAGACCAGTGACGGTCATCCCATTTTTGTTTGTCTTCCTTCTTTTTGACTTTCTTCAACCTTATTTTCTCTTGTTCTTTCTCAAGTTCTGTTCTACGTTTCTCCAGAAGATTACCATAAAACTTACAGTGGTCTTTTTTCTGTGCCTTAATGTCTATGCCAGCGATGTGACCTCTTCCAAAGAATTGTACTTGATGCCTTTCTTTGTACAGCTGATTGTAATCATTTGATGTGTCTTCTGAAGCATCCCAATCAAATACAAATTTTCTGTCATTGAGACGTCTCACTCTACGTTTCTTTTTGATGATTCCCAAGTAACGAGCTTTGATAGCTTCTTCTTCTCTTTCCTTGTCTTTAGTTTTTGATACTTCTTCATTTTTATCTTTTTTATCATCGCGACGGTCTCCTGCAGACTTCCTATCATCATATTTACGTTCCTCTCGCCTCTCTCTTTGCTCCCTTCTCCCTTCCTCTTCTCTTCTGTCTCTGTCCTCCTTATGCTTCTTTTCTTCATCCTTCTTAGAGTTGGAACTAGAACTACCAGTCAGATCAATAGTAGTTATTGAGGGTTTCTCCACATTGGCTCTCATAGCTTCAACCTGTTCACGACGCCTTTCTAATGCCAACGCTGCCCTTTGCTCTTTGGTTAAAAACACTGGTTTGCTTCGAGCTTCCTCTTCAGCCTTTTTCTTGGCGAGAAGTTCCTCTAAAGACAGTGGCTCACGTTTAACAGGTTTGGGCTCCATCTTTTTAGTATCTTCTTCCTCTTCTGGCTTTTCATCCTCTTTTTTCTTGCTCTTTTCTTTATCATCGTAACGCCTATCCTTCTCCTTACCGTCGCGTTTCTTCGGACTTCTGGAACGACCACGCTCCTTCCTCGGACTCCGAGAACGTTCGCGTTCTTTCCTCGGGCTCCGCGATCTGTCTCTTTCTTTTCTGCCAGGACTGCGCGACCTGTCTCGCTCTTTCCGCGGACTCCGCGATCTTTCTCTGCGCTTTGTTTTATCCCGGTGAGAATCGCGGTCTTCGTGACGATCTCTTTCACGTCTTTCTCTAGAACGAGATCTTCGCCTTTCAGGACTTCTGTCTCTAGCCATGGCGGGTACTTTGGTTTTACTTTATTCGTAAACCATAACAAAGAGCTTGAAAGAGTGAAATTTTAACGAAAATTATGAATGAAATACAGAAAATAATGTAAACTTGCGTCCGACATCCAGGGGCAAAATATTTTTGACAGTTCGCTCGTGTTTGACGACTTTGATAGACGTCAAAAGCTAAAAATATTTGAACGGGCGAAAGTACGATTCAAATGGTGGAGAAACCATTGATTTAATTTTCTGAGAAGAAACCATAAAAAATCTATAAAGATCCAGACGCTGCTGCTATTTGTATCTATTGATGAATGAATAGTGAACATGAATAGATTAGGTAGTCTAAAACTGAAAATATGAAAGAATGTGTTTAAAAATGTTTCTGAGACTCAAAAAATTTCATTTTCCATATTATGGTCATGGCCACAAATATGGCCTTCTTAACTGCGATTAGAATGACAGTCAATGACATTTACGATGAGTCGGTCAAATAAAATTGACACGTGGGATTATTTTGAGTGGATCCCAGCGTGATAAATTATTTTAATATTTTCTTTGATTTCGCACCATTTTGCCATACTCTCTAATCTGTGCATTTTGCACTTTGCAGTAAAACGCACAGAGCACGCACGTAGAAATATTTCAAATGATTTCTTATTGTAATAATTATAATTTTTTTTTCAATAAGTTATGGAGTTTTCAAACTTAAATGTTAATCTAACCTCGGCAGCGGTTTTATTGGGATGTGCTGGTCTAACTTACTGGTTTTATTACAAAAACAAGCTCCGCGATGCATCTAATGCCTTCAAGTACTTGACTATCAAAGTTGTGACTAATGAAACATTGTGCAATGAAGTAATACTTGAATTAAAGAGGTATGTCTATCATTATTTCTTTTGCATTTTTCTTCAAATAAGTTCATAATTTATTCAGGGTTAGACTATACTACATGTGTACAGAATACTTATAAAGGTAAATATTAAATTAATCATACATAATTCAATATTTATCTTAATCTCGATACTTAAAGTAAAACATAAAATTAGTTTCCTCTTAATTTATTTTTATGAATGTTTATTTGATTTTTAGGAGATGCCAGTCTCATCATGCCATAGGTTTTGATTGTGAGTGGGTGACAGAGCATGGCAAGAGAAATCCTGTGGCACTGCTGCAACTGTCTTCATTTGATGGATACTGTGGTTTAATTCGTCTAAATCAACTAAAATATGTACCTGATTCATTAAAGGTATGTTACTATTTACTCTATTAAAATAAATATTGTATAGCTATGAAATTATGTATTTTTTTAAGTTACTTAAAAAATTAAATTTTCTTTTTTAAAATTACAACAATCTGAATTCCTAAAAAGATTTATAAAATTTTTAAGAAAAGCAAAAAAAAAATTATAATTAAACAATCGATTCACATTTCAGGAACTTTTAGAAGACAAGAGTATTTACAAAGTGGGCTTGGCCCCTAGTGACGATGCACGGTACCTCCACCATGACTATGGCGTTGCCACAGAAGGCACTCTGGACTTAAGGCACATAGCCCACCTGGTTGGGCACAAGGTCGGTGGGCTCGGGGCCTTATCCCAGTCCTTACTGGGCGTTGTCTTGGACAAAAGTTGGAGGGTACGTTTCAAGATGCTATAAACTAAAAATAATGTTTAGGGTTTAAATGCAAAACAATAAAAATACGCAGTTTTTATATTTATTTATTTATTATTCATTATTGAGCAATTACATATTTGATCCAAATAGCGTCCTAAATATTGTTTACCTCTAAATTACAATTTAACATCTGATATACGGTGGGCCAAAGGTTCCAGCTATCCCATTTCTGTCTTTTCTCTTGCTCTCATCAAATGGCGATTCTTTGTGATAGAATGAGACGACCTGACCAAAAATGGGTGGCTGGAAATGTGGCCCATAGTACAAACAACTACACATTAAGAAAAACACTGTGGCATCTTAACTTAATCTTAAGTAGTTGTGATAAAGACAACTTTGCAACAAAGATGTGTTTTAGTCTGATTTGCTGTTGTCTGCACTACATGCATGCATGATGCAGTGAATGAATGAAATATCAGTTTGTTAACATCAACTACTGTTATCATCTATTCTAAGTAACAGACCTAATCTACTTACACATATCTTTGTTTCATTATTACTCATTACTTTCATTTCCTACAAGTTTTTGTACACTTATGAGTTTTAAAAAAGGGAAAGATATTTTTTTCAAATATGCCCGCCCGTGACTTCGTACGCGTGGATCCCGATTTACCCCCTTAGGGGTTGAATTTTGCAAAATCCCGTCTTAGTGAGCCTACCTACGTTCTAAAAGAAAACCCCCATGCAAAATTTGAGACTCCTAGCACTTGTAGTTAATGAGATTTCGTGATGTCAATCAGTGACCTTTCGCTTTTCTAAATATAGATTGTACATATAAATATGTAATTATTTTACCCTCAAATAGACTTTGTCTCATAACTTTTAAACCTTATTTTTCTGAGCTAAGGTCCATAAACAAAAACAAAGTTTTTAGTTACTTTTTCTTAACCTAGCTGTTGGTTACAGATTAGATGCAGTGACTGGGAGGCCGAGGATCTCTCCACGAGGCAGGTCCGATACGCGTCGGCCGACGCGCACGTCGCCATCAAGATGTTCGTCCGCCTCGTCAACGATCTGAATAAAAACAACCGTTGGTTGTCAATGAAGAGGAACGGAGAGATTTGGGACAACCTCGACAAGTTCTGCTGGCAGTACTGCGATATACGTTTTAAGACGAATAAGATGGACAGACAAGGGAAAAATGAGTAAGTTTTCGATTCAAAAAACTTGTTTATAAATTGGCGTACGGGCTATGTCCATGCGTAATTCACAGCGTCTCTTTATTTTCGGGTATATTATTTGTTTCTATCACTCATGCTTGCATCTCTTTATGAATGAAAGGGATGGATGGGTCAAAAAATACGAAACACATGTTACCGCCGCTATTAACTTCATGCCAAGTCGCGTATGCATGTTCTTAACTAGCAGACACACTTTATAAGCCCTGTATGTATTTAGCCTTATTATGCATGCACCTAATCTCGTGATAAAGGGAGAAATATCTTTCCTTTATGTATCTCTAGTGTTTATTATTATGATTGTTTTTTAAAATAGAAAGACACGGGTCTTAACGCGACATTAATTTATGGCTGAGTTACATTATGTACTTGACGTTTCGGCTATTATGCTGCAGCCGTGGTCACAAGTAGACTGGCGGCTCGCGGCGTCGTCGTGAGTACAGTCATAAATGTCGCGTTAAGACCCGTGTCTTTCTATTTTAGTTGAAATTGTCGGCCGTTTGGTGTAGTGGTTCAGAACGGACTACTATGCCGAGAGGTCCCGGGTTCGATTCCCGGCCGGGCAGAAATTGAAATGATTAATTTTAATTTCTGTGACGGGTCTGGGTGTGACTATGTATGATATTTATGTATTAAAAAAAAAGTATATAAGTAGTATATCCGTTAAGCTAGCACCCATAACACAAGCATTAAGTTGCTTACTTTGGGGCTAGCTGGCGCTGTGTGAAATTGTCCAAAGATTTATTTATACCGTCGACTGCGTAGCCAGACATATTATGTTGCCTCAGATTGACAGTTTTTATATTCCGCAGTTTAAGGGTTATTATTTATTTATTTAACTTGTTTTCTGTTCACAGCACTAACAAAGTAAAGCAGTTGAAGAAGAAAGATAAAGAGTTGGTTTCGAGCAAGCGGTACCCGCACGCGGTGCGCTCCCGGCCGCTCTACCATAATTGCTTTTTGCAGGCGCCCGATGGCGACCTTCTGTGCACTTGTGACGACAGAAAAGCTATGTGGTAAGGATATTTTGCAAACATTTTGAGAACTGTTAAATAATGTAGTGGTCGCCCCAAGCAAACTTGGCGGCACACTGACGAAGAAAATCGGCAAGACTTGGAGCAAGATCAAACGCGAAGCTCAAGGCCGAACGCGATGGAGGACAGTTGTGGACGCCCTCTGTCCCATCTAGGGGATATAGGACCTTAATGCCCGTTTTCACCATCAATCCCTAATTTTTAAGTGACCCCTATGTAAACAAAATTCCTGTTATTTGTTACCATAGGGGTCACTTAAAAATTAGGGATTGATAATGAAAATGAGCATAAGTCAATTAAGTCAAACAATGTAGTTGAAAGCACATCAGATTTTTGTTGTGAAATACCACTTATTTCAACTACATAAGATCCAGCATTTATAACCCGTTAACTGCGTACCTGGCAGCCGTGACGTCACATCGACGCTCTGGTACGGAGACGGACGAGTCGCATTCCGGCGAGGTGCGCAGTTAACTCGGCCGGGTTGTAGTGTTAACATTTTGCCGAGTGGATATTTCGTTTATTTCTTTTCCACTACATTTTCGTGTTTCTTAGTCCTTAAATACTTAATCTGGTACCTGGATGCAAGCGGCGCAGGACCGGTCTTTGTGGAAATCCTTGGGGGAGGCCTTTGTCCAGCAGTGGACGTCTTTCGGCTGAAACGAACGATCGAACGAAATACTTAATCATTAAAAAAAATTACAGCGAAAGCATTTTTCCTCGCACGTGACACTGTTAAAAATATTCTCCGCTCTTTCCACCCAAAGGTACGTCGAGAAACAGATAGCAGACGTGGTTAAAGACGATCCATTAACCGTCCGCCTTCGCTTCGAACCATCTGGAAGGGCCAATGGCAGCGTGGGCGCATACTACAAGCTCACTAAAGAGAATAAATGCGTCGTGTGCGGCGCTGGTAACATCTACATTCGGAAGAACGTCGTGCCTAGAGAGTATAGGAAGTATTTCCCTGGTGAGTGTAAAGTGAACTAATCTGATGTAAATAGACTTCTTAGGAATAGCCTCCGGCGTAGTGTTTTCACTTCACTCACGGCCCGTTCATGGGCGAAACCGATTGGGTGGGGCAGGGTGGGGAAGTTGCCTAGTCTGAAAATTGTAAGTGATTTTTTATGGAACAAAAACACGAAAACCAATCGGGCAGTATGGAAATCATTGGGGGAGGCCTTTGTTCAGCAGTGGATGTCCTGTAGCTGAAATGATGATGAAAAACGCACAGTAGACTGAAATCGTGTAAAGGTTCGGCCAAATCAACGCGATCACACGCGATCAGCCGGCGTGCAGCGATGGCGATCAATGCATTTAAGTCTGATCGCCATCGCTGCACGCCGGCTGATCGCGTTGGTTTGGCTGAACCTTGAGTGGCAGTTCTGACTATTGCCACGCGCCAAAACATTAATACCTCAATAGGTTCGTGGTGTCACATCCCCAAGAGACTTTTCATGCAGTGTGCAATAAATACTATCTATTTATTCCAGAGGTGATGAAAGAGCACTCCTCCCACGATGTGGTCCCGCTATGCGTGCCCTGCCACCAGCGAAGCAACATCAGCGACCAGGCCGTGCGTGAGCGGTTAGCAGACAAGTGTAGCGCGCCGCTTGACGTCAAGCGGTCCGCTAAGTACGCAGAGGATGTTACCTGCAAGTGAGACTCGACCTTATTTGTAAAGTCATAGGTCTTATAGTTGAATGCAGCACGGCAAAGTCAGCAACTAAGGAAGTTGTCACCTGCGAGACTCGACCTTATTTGTAAAGCGACAGGTCTCATAGTGCAATGTCAGTGATCAGGCCGTGCACGAGCGGTTAGCAGATAAATGCAGGGCACCTCGGCGTCAAGAAAACGGTCAAGTACGCACAGGACCTCATCTGCAAGTGAAATTCGACCTTATTTGTACAGCCATAGGTCTCATATTGCAACTCACAGCGATATACGCAGGGCGCGCCCGTCAGCGTCGCTTGTGAACCATAGACTACTACCACGACAATATTTTTTTAAACTAGGCAAAATACCAATGTCCAAAGACGTGACGTAATGTTTTTTGTTATAGAAAAATTAGATCAGCCGCCCGCGCGTTACTAGTCCAGTCCAAGAAACACGTGTTACCGGAAGATAGACGCAAGAAATTAGAGGCGGTGTTGCTAGAGCACTACAAGGAGCATGAAAAGATCACGGAGGAACTGCTTGCGGAGGCTTCCGAGATCCAAGTTATGTACGTATAAACAATGTAGGCTAGGTTTCAAACGTAAGATTTTGTAATGTAACTCTAACGAAAAATTGTTGTATTGAATCAGCAGGCTAGGATGCACGCCGTGATAAAATCTTATCGATGATTTTAGACCACAAAATGTAAGATCTTATCGCGTAAAATCGATAAAATAGCGCGATAAAAGTTTATCATGGTGCGCATACTAGGTCCACTGATGTATTTTTTACGGTTAGTGTATTATTGTTTTTTTAGATTCGTTGATTTATAGTGGTGATTAAAAATGTCATCCTGTTTTTACCATCAATACCAATTTTTTAAGTGACCCCTATAAAAAGAAAATTCCTGTTATATGTTACCAGACGGGTCACTTAAAAATTGGGGATTGATGGTGAAAACGGGCATCAGTCTCTTGTTCTCAGTTTTAAATGTAATAAAATTCGAAAAATTTATAGGTTCGAAAACTCTGATTACGAGAGCCACGGGCAGAAGGTGGTGGAATATTTCGTGGCGCACGGAGGGCTCTTGCAGCTGGAGCAGATGTGGCGCGAGCACTTCCTGCAGACCATGCGGCCGCAGCACATGCCCGAGCTGTGGTCCGTCAGGCACAACGAGGAAAGGTATACAATAACATTTTAGAGCGCTTTGATTGAGTAAATTCTTAACCCTGTCGTGGCTAAAAAAAAGCAATGAAAACTACGTTGGAACCATAGACAAACAAAATTAAATATGAACAAATAAATCAACCGCCAATTTTTTTTTTAATTTAAAATGTCTTTATTGACGGCTATGCACTTTCGTTTTTTGCCACTATAATAGACGAGTATTGTAATAGGATTTTTTAAAATGAAATACACTCTAAAGCTCAGATCCTAAAACCGAATTTCTTTATAAAATAATATTTTGGTAATTTTCAGATTGCGTATAAGGCTTAGCGAAGGGCGGCTACCTAAAGAAGATATGAAATTGATCGGAATCACGGGCTGGCTGACGTGATTTGATTTATTAATATTATTTGTGTATTTTTTAAATAAATAGTTATGTCTTTATGAACAATTCGAATGAAATGAAAATCTTTTACATTATGATCAGCAAAAAATATGAAAAGTACCTAATATTTTATTTTTCAACATGACTGTTTAACTGCATTTTGTGATCAAGACTGTATCAATGAAAACTATTTTTTTACTGTCGAGAACGATACGTATTTTAATTTTTAAAGGGTAAAACTCCCTTAGGCAAAGTGTAAATGTAAATCTCATGTCTTGTTAATAATTATTGTACATATCTAAAATAGAACTAGTGGCCTGTGTTGACTGTACTGTAATATTCTTTGACTAAATAAAATATTAGTTTACATCTCAATGTGTGATCTATAATTTATTTCTCCCTAATGATATTCTTGTGGCGGAGTTTTGTAGGTTTGTTGTCATGAGATTAATTTATGATTAAAACTAAGGAATCAGAATCAGAATTTTATTTGCGTAAAAACATGGTAGGTATACAGGGTGTCCCGTAATGTAACGTCAAGCCGGAACTGGGTGTTGAGGCAAGTTGTGCTGGTTATCAGAAAAATAAAAAAAAAATCTATGTGGCATATTTTAAAAATAATAGGCATTTAAAAAAAATCCAAAAATTCTACTCCAGGTGACGGTCCTTTTGCTCGTGTTGCCACAAATCTTCACTTTTTCCAAATTTTTTTTTTGTTATGTAACCCTGAATAATGGTTCTCTAAATTGTTATCAAAATCACTCACTGGCTGCTGCGATACAGGCCGCGAGCCTAGTGCAGGAGCCGCTGTTAAACTCAAATTATGTAACAATTTTAGCGCAATAAAGTTTATTTATTTATTATTATTATTTATTATTTAATTACAAAACTAGCTGCTCCAGCTTGGATGAAAAAAATACATTATTCCCAAAAAATTTTTCAAAATAAAAATTTTGCCTAGTTTAAACTGACTGTACTGAAAAAAAAAAATGTACTACGCGAGTGTGGCAAGTGACGTCATAATTTGGCGCATTTAGTAAGGATTCCAAAATGGTATAACACTTGGTAAATTTTTGCTGTAATTGTCGACAATTTTTGGTTTTTTGGAAATAGTCCCGTTTTTAACTTTATCTACCTTGGTTAAAAATTATTATTCTAATGTGCCCAAAATTCAAGTTTCTGTGACTGACTACCGTACAGTCAGTCACAGAAACTTTTGTCACCATGGCAGTAATAATAATTAGTAGTTGACATACTGTGACAAAAGTCACCCGTGCGCGCGCGCCTTTACTACCTGCTCTGCCTGCACTTGTACTTTACAGGTAACAGGGATAATAAGGATATGAAGTTTCGGTTATGGATACGGTTACGGATATTAGAATCATATTATACCGGTTTCGGTTACGGTCACGGATATGAAATCATTTCAGATTATCCGAAAGTCTCGGATAATTTCGGTTACGGAATTATTAGAATTTCAAAAATGTAGGTATAATACAAATAGCAAGATGCTGCGTGAGCGTGACCCACATAGCTACTTTATGTACCAACTAAGACGACACCTATGTATGATAAAGGTAAAACAGGCTGGCATATTAGATGGTGCCAGCGAATGCCAGACAAGTTGGTAACAAATATTAAGATTTAAGGTACAATTCCAAGACGGGCCGCAGACCGCAAACTGCAACCGCAAACTGCAAAACTATGAAATCGGCAGCGCGGCATTGCAGCTGCGGCGTGTATACTGCAGATTTCATAGAGTTTTGCAGTTTGGCCTTTATCCGAAACTATCCGTAACTTTTGAATCAGTTTCGGTTACGGTTATGGACATTTTTTTATTTCGGATATCCGATAGTTTCGGTTACGGTTACGGATATCCATAACATCCCTGCTTGGTAAGATGGCCCTCTCCGTCCCGCTCATACCTTTTAAAATGGCTTCTCCACCTCACTTAAGCCAGAAACTTGAATTTTGGGCACATTAGAATAATATTTTTAACCAAGGTAGATAAAGTTAAAAACGGGATTATTTCCAATAAACAAAAATTGTCGACAATTACAGCAAGATTTTACAAAGTGTTATACCATTTTGGAATCCTTACTAAATGCGCCAAATTATGACGTCACTTGCCACACTCGCGTAGTACAATTTTTTTTCAGTACAGTCAGTTTAAACTAGGCAAAATTTTTATTTTGATATTTTTTTTGGGAATAATGTATTTTTTTCATCCAAGTTGGAGCAGCTGGTTTTGTAATTTTGATAACAATTTAGAGAAGCATTATTCAGGGTTACATAACAAAAAAAAAAATTTGGTAAAAGTGAAGATTTGTGGCAACACAAGTAAAAGGACCGTCACCTGCAGTAGAATTTTTTGATTTTTTTTAAATGCCTATTATTTTTAAAATATGCCACATAGATTTTTTTAAATATTTTTCTGATAACCAGCACAACTTGCCTCAACACCCAGTTCCGGCTTGACGTTACATTACGGGACACCCTGTATAAAGATGTTACAGAATTCAGTAGTGCACATGTTTCGCCATTACATTTTTTTTTTATGCATAACAAGGCAGGTATTTGACCACAATCGCACCTGATGTTAAATGGGATGCAGTCTAGGATGCATGCAAAATTACATTTCAGTCAGTTAATAAATTATAATAAGATTAAAAATGGAGTCTAAAGTTACGAGCAATACTATACCAACGATACTTTATGCAACGGTTAGTGAGGTTGTATGTAACAGACATAAAACTTCCTCAGTAAAAACTACATTACTGATGAACCGGCTACATAACACGGAAAGATAAAGTACTCCTAGTCGTCTCCACAATTTTATTGCTCGAAGCTCATCCAGTATTTATGGCTTAAAATCCTTTGGATCTATCTTTAACCATAGAGTCACATAGGCTTAAGAAAAAGTAAAATGTCAATTTCAAAATTGGAGTTGTTTATCAACGGATGCAATTTTGCGAAATTACGAATGAATAAAATAATAAAAACTATCATTGTTTATCGTGATTAAAGAAAATAAATCCCTTTTTATTATCATGACGAATACAAAGCAATTGAAGATTACCAATATATTTCGCAGGGGAGGTAAGAATGCAATGTTGTTTTCATGCCAACTATTTCTTCATAACATACCTAGTTCATTTCAGTAAGAATTCGTTTATTTTGCTTTAAGCTTCTGCAAAAATCCCTGAAGACTGTGACGAAGTTCAGGAGGAAATACAGCAACTGGAACAGAAGCTAAAAGAAAAGCAGGATGAGCTCTTTCAACTCCAAAGAAACCGTTTGAGGAACAGTTGTAAAAACAAAATTTCACCACCTAAGAATAAACCTGACCCGTTTATTAGACCGCAAGTAAGTAATTAATACATAAATATTAAAATAATTTAGTACATAACATACCTATATCGAATGCAATGCATATTGTTTATAGTTTGTACAAGTTGTTGTAAAAACAAACTTCTGATCGTAACTTCTTGTATATCTAGAAAATTGTCCTGCATAACTCAGTGGAGAACCTGAAAAGGAACCTGGAGCTTATATCAATGTTGTCTGGAACGGAGGTACAATCATATGTTGCAAACGACCACTGCTGTATTGTGTACCATATGCAGCACGATTCACAGTTCATTATCAAACATGGATTAAAGATTGATATGCAGTCAGGTAAGGGGCTAATGTAACGTAATAAATAGTTAAATTTAATTATTAGAAAGGAGGAACATTATTATGCTACAATATTGTGGTGATTGCCTTGCAGTCAACTGCCAATTTGTGATGTTTATTCCATTTTTGTTACAGGCCGATTTTATTATTTTAATGTGATCAACGTAAAAACTAACTAACTCTTATCTATCTAGAGATGATTGATTTATGTTAAAATTCTTTTTTTTTTTTTTTTTTTTTTTTTTTTTTTTTTTTTTGTAGTTTGTGTCTCTCGTTGGAGTTAGATTTGAGAGGTAGCGCTGAATATTATCATTTTCTAGGGTGCTGATAAGGGCCTTGAGTTCATTTGAGAAACGATTGAATGCGGCTTTATCACTTGGATATCCTGTAGTATGCCAGACTTTTCTCAAACGACGACGTTCTTGTATTTTCTCTTTAATATCCTTTGGATACGAGTTATGTTTTAGAGGTTGTCCTTTACCTGTCCCTTTTGGAGTTGCAGAATTGGCAGCATTGTGGACAGTTATATTAAATTGCTCCAGCTGTCTTTCTAGTTCTTCTATTGTGTTAATTTTGGTCTTTAGTTCTGTCTCTGTCGTGATTATATTTCTGTAGCTTGTCCAGTCTGTAGTGTTCAAGTTGTATATTCTTAGGGGCGGAGCCACCAGGTTAACTGTTGTAGCAACATTCAGTATGACGGGTGTGTGGTCAGATGTGAGATCCATTCTTGGTTCTATGTTTAAGTAGTTACTATCTATGTTTTTAACTATAAAAAAGTCCAATAGGTCTGGGATTCTTTGTCTGTCGGTAGGCCAATAGGTAGGTTCACCGCCAGAAAAACATTCCAACTTCATCTCTTCTGTGGCTTTACAAAGTTGTCTTCCTCTAGTACTGGTCAACCTAGATCCCCAATTCAAATGTTTAGAATTCCAGTCGCCAGCACATATGAATCTGTTACCAAGTGTAGAAAAGTATTCCTTAAAGTCGTTGGCAGATATTGTATGTTTTGGAGGACAATACACAGCGGAGAATACCGTTTCTAGTTTGTTGTCTGCAAGTTTAATAGATGTTGCTTGTATTTTTTCCGTTCGGTATTCCTCTATAGGGAAATGTTTAATGTTGCTTTTAACAATTACGGCTGTTCCTCCATGGCTGTTCCCAGTTGGGTGATTGGTTGTGTACACTGTATAATTATTAAAGTTTATGTGTGTCTTCGGTGTGAATCTTGTTTCAGATATTAGTGCTATATCAATGTTAAAATTCTAATAAAATTATTTTACTCTCAGGTGTTAATGAAATTTCAAAATCTTCACTGCCACTTGGGTTCAACCTGAGTGCTGTGATGGAAGGATTCGACAATGTGATGATGCCGGACTGCCTCAGTGCTATCAGGAAGGCATTAGTAGCATACTACGACAGGCTGGAGCAGTATGAAGCACTGAAGGTTTGTTTCATTTTAAGCTTAATACCTACATCAGCGTTGCCAGTTTTTTTTTTTCGCCAAGTCGGGACTTTGGTACTTTTTGAGTGAAAATAGCGGGATTCTTCCGTCAGAAGCGGGACATAGTAAAAAAACGTATATAATCAAAGGTTTTCAAATATTTATCCTTTTATTTGACTTAAAATTACGTTTACTTGACAATAGATAGCAAAAGTAGCCATAGAAAATGTATTTTAACAAAAAAAAATATTTTAAATCAGATTTACTCTATCGTTAAATTCGTCTTTAGAATAAAAAAAGAAAAAAAAAACAAAAATCGAAATAAAAAAAATATTCTTTAGAATAATATGGAGTTACAAACAATAGTCTGATGAAGTGAGTGTCTCTCTCCGAAAAGCGGGACAGAGCCTGTCCCGCGCGGGACATTTAAATTTGATTTAAAAATCGGGACGTCCCGCCAAAATCGGGACGTCTGGCAACGCTGACCTACATAGTAAATAGTTGTCTAGGCATATAATGTTTTTGTGATTTGGCCAAGATAATTGAATTTTGCACTAGTTTTCTTAACATTTCTTTTGTGGTACCATAATTTGCACTGAACTTAGCTGCAAAAAGCAGTGTATTGTAGAGTAATCCCATCCATCTTATCAATATGTGTATGAGAATCTTGAAGAAAGTGATAAAATTCTTGTCCGTTTTGATAGGTTTATTTTGTAACATAGTTAATAAATGAACTTCCCATCTTTTCACTTCTAGAAACTTCTGAACGTCGAGGCGACACTATTCAAAGTGATTGACGGTTCTCACATAGAGGTGTCATTCACCGCTCACAGTGATATGGAGCCAGAAGATGAGCAGATCCACATAGTTCTTATGCTGGACTACAGAGTATATGACATTAGACCGAAGACTATTACTTTTAAAGAAATGGGTGAGTCTTGAAAACCACATTTGTGCAATATTTTTTAACATTTTTCTGAACTTAGCCTTATACTGACTGAAGTTGATAAATAACTTTTGCTTTCAAATTATACCTGTGGACATTGAAGNCACCGTTTCTAGTTTGTTGTCTGCAAGTTTAATAGATGTTGCTTGTATTTTTTCCGTTCGGTATTCCTCTATAGGGAAGTGTTTAATGTTGCTTTTAACAATTACGGCTGTTCCTCCATGGCTGTTCCCAGTTGGGTGATTGGTTGTGTACACTGTATAATTATTAAAGTTTATGTGTGTCTTCGATGTGAATCTTGTTTCAGATATTAGTGCTATATCAATCATCTCTGTTCTGAGAAACGTTTCTAATTCTTGACGTCGTTCCGTCAAGCCGTTGGCGTTCCAAGTTACTACTTGGAGGTTTCGGGTCATTTTTTAACTAGGCTGCTGAATAGCTGGACCATGCGGTCCATCATTTTGTCCATGATTTTTTCCATCATTGTCATCATTGAATGTTGAAGTTTTTCAAACATTATGTCCATTAAGTCAGTAGGGTCTCCCAAATCATTCTGTTTATCTTGTTGAGTGTGTTGTTTTTTGGTTTTCGTTGCTTCTGAATAAGTCTTAATTAAGTTTCGTTTACTTGTACGGTTAGGATTAGAAACCGGGTGGGGATCCGGGTTTTTGATCTCTATATTTTTGGGCATTGGTTTTTCTTTTGACTTAGAGTCCAATTTAAGTAGTTACAACAATGAAAATAGATGTTTTAGTTCAGCCAAAAATCAATAAAATTTGAAACAAGCCAGTGTCAGTGATTAAAATGCCAGATGTAATTTTCATCAGAGTTCAGTTTGGTAACCAAATAAGATACTACTAAGGCTGAGTTGCACCACCTAACTTTGACCGTAACTATAACGATGATAACCAGTGCTTTTTGTATGGAGTTTGACAGATTGTGACGTTTGTCAAAGTTAAAATAAGATGGTACAACCCAGCTTAAGTATTTTACATGTGTGGGCAGCTAATATAGTATTGAGATTCAACTGTATTATATTATTCAGAGATTATTATGTAAATAAATAATAACGCATATTATACAGGACTACACGTAATGAAAATGTTGTTATCTATAATTAGATCATATTACAGATGATATTGATACATAACTTATGACCTCCATATAAATAGAGATAACACATGTTTTTCTAAAACCAAGCATAATTCATTAGAATATTTCTAAATACTAACAAGCAACAGTTGTTTATAACTCGTAATTAGCCGATGGTTCATTTATTATGACCTCAAATTCAGCACCGACGGCAAAATATGCACCAACTGTACTTACCAATACGAAGTCTTCCCATAAACTCTTACGAAACTTGAGAAAAACACATAGCTAACTCCGCCAAGTTACGCAAGCCACACAAATGCACTTTTTCCCAAGTAACCCGGAATGATACGAACAATGGTATCTAAATTTTATGCGAAACACTTTCACATTGGGACAATCCGCAATACCATACACTGTGTAGGTGGCTAGGCTACCTACACAAAACAATAAACAGTTATTTATGCCGATCAGGACGTCATCATAACGAAACCACGCATATTTTCAACTTCAAACTACTTGAGCCATAATAAATTGTATAATTACTACGGTAAAACACTTATGAATAACTGTAAAGTAACTTTTTAAGACATTCAGAAAACTTTGAAACTTTACAGCAGAAATGTCGACGACTTTGCTTCTCAACTTGAATGACTGTCAGAAAGAGATAGAATTAGCACGCTGCGGGTCGCATACAAATTCGTTTTTGTAGCACATTTATTCTTAAATAAATTTTACCTTTACATCGTTGGCGATAAAGTTTAAAATTAAATGACTTATAGTAGAGATGGGCTGAAGTGACATTTAAGCAGAATTACAGTGTTGCAAGACTTAAAATTTATTAAATTAGAAAGGAGAAAAGAAGTTTCCGAAGTAAATAATTAATTAAAAAGGGTGGTCGTTTTTATTATTGCTTGAATTTGAAATAAAGAAGGGTTTTTTCTGATTTATTTTATTGATTTTCATCTCAAATTTTTGAAAGATACATAATAATAGTGTATTACCGAGAGTCAAGAATAAAGAACCGAGCCAACTTTAGAATAAATGTTTTATACCTTTTTGTATTTTTTACATGTACCTAATTTTTTTTTAATAACACATTTACAAAATACTTTATACAGGGTGGAATTTCGTAATGCCACCTGGAGGGAAAGTACTTTTAATACTGTAGATAGAATATTCAAAGAAAATATTCCTTTATTTTTTCATATTTTTTTTATGAGAAATAGAACTGCATTCAAAGTTTTTTTTAAATTTGCTTGCCTGCCACACCCGGGAATCGAATCAAATAAAATTTGTTAAAAATTACAATTGTATTTTTATTGCATCTATCGTTCTAAGTAGGTATAAGGATGAATTTAATTTCTCTAACAAACTTGATAAATCAATTTTAATTTTATTATTTGCCAAAAATTCGGAAATCTTTGAATGCTTTCTTTGAGTATTTGATATCTACAATATAAAGAATGAGTGCTTTCCCGCTAAATGGCATTACAAAATTCCACTATGTTTAAGTATGACGTATGTAAGTAAGTAAGTACCCACAATATGGAGCCATGCCACTTTTTCATTGTTTGGTACCTAACAACGAAAAAATAATATATTTTTGGGGTAATTCAATTATTTAAACAGCAACTCCAAGGGAGTTTTGCGTTTGGTTATTGCATTGCATTATAACTATGTACGTAATGTAATGTAACTCCTCCATTAACGAAACGGTTTTTATGACAAGTGCTTTTTTCCCCGATAGCTTTGGATTGGGGAAATTAGCCACATGAATTATTGAATAAGAAAAAATAAAAATGTAAAAAATCTGTACCTATTGAGAAAGACATATTTATTTTGTAAGATTGTAAGCGGTACAATTAGTGTCATCATGCTATATTATATCTAAGGTCATCATTCAGAGAGACCATGTTAGCTGAAACGACTGAAATGGGGATGTTGCCTGGGTCAAAAAGCAAGAGTTTTAATTAGTCCGTCCGTTAACTTATCAAAAAATACTCTACACGTATTTTTCACTTTTTCAAACTAATGAAAATTTAAAGAGATAAAGCGCCCCAAAGTTCATAAGAAGAGGCCCGTGACGTCAACGCTTGCTTAAAAATGCCGCACGCTTAGTTACGCTTAGTTAGGTTTTATTAATCTAAGGCCGCACGTTGTGACGTCGTGCACAACTTCAACGCACCATAACTATGTAATTATTTGTTAGATTGACAAATAAAAATATATGTGTCCAATATTTTTTGATATTAAACATTACGGACTAAAAAAATTTTTTTAGGCAACTAGAAAAAACCGGCCAAGTGCGAGTCGGACTCGCGCACCGAGGGTTCCGTACAAACCTGCAAGGTTTACAAAGTTCGTTCATTACGACAATCGAGTCATAACTATGGTATTTTTATTGCAAAATGAAATTCATAACATTACAATGGGGAAAGTAACTACTTAAAAGGAGAATGCCCAAAAGTGGTATCGCTCGAAATCTAATTGTACATTGAGGGTAGGTACCACACCGTAAATTCCTTTCTTCATTTGTAATGATTTGCGAAAGTAGTAAGAAATTGTAAAACCTCCGGAATAAAATCCGATTTTAATAAAAAGTATTGTAACAATGAGCTGCAATCAGCAACACCTATCACCGAGCAACGACACTACGTAGTTCGCACGGTTGTCAATAGATGGCGCTGTTCGTAGTTAGCTCGCGGTATCATTTGATTTTTTCCTGTCCTTAACCCATTAACGCCCTCTGTACACACGTGTGTACACTTCTATAAACTTTATTTCTGAACGCAACTTCTAATGTTAAGTCAAATTACTTGATAAAACCTAATCTAGATGTCGATACAAGGTAATAAATATAAAAAAGTTGGAGGGTGGTGCAAAAATAAATGTCTAATTAACATTTTTTTCCGACCTTTTCTCAAAGTGACTGGCGCCGGTTGTGAAATAATACTAATATAATATATTTTAGCTATAATTTGATTCAATTCTACGTTTCAAGGTAAGTTTACATTGTAAATTATTATTATAAGCTAAAAAAATAATAAATATATACATATAACATACCAAAAATTGTTCAAGAATGTTGGTGTACACGCTTGTGTACAGTGGGTGAATGTATACTAAGAAAAAAATTTTTTTCAAGACCTGGTTGATAATTGAAGATGACGATACGGAGCTCAAATTGATCATCGTACCACCTGATCCTGCTGTTGTTAGTGATGAAGAAGAAGGTGCATAAGATGATTTGACTTCCTCGGTACTTTGAGATATACCAGGTACTATCGAGCTATTACGCCACCAACCTTCAGATGAAGAGCCGGAGTGGGTCAGTAGCGATGAAGAAACTCTTTCAAGCCTTGGTCCGGCTCAAAAACGTGCTCGTAACGAAGTTGCTGAAAATCCTACTTGGAGAAAAATATCACCCATTTTTTTCTACTGCTCATAAAATCACTAGCTCAAATGCATGGCGCTAATATTATGTACTTACCGTGTAAACCAAAAACACAACGTACTTAGATCAATTGGCTTTTAGGCGATCTATTGCCAGATCGTATTTACCCAATAATAAACGAAGACGCGGCCATCATCGTCAACATCATATTTCGATGGCTCCTACGTATAAGGGCGAAACTGCCGCTTACGCCTTTTTCCAATTATTTAAGCAATGATTTCACTTTGCTCTAATCTATAACATCAGTAAGAAAAAATTTTTTTTTTCCATTAGATACAAAATAAAATTTTAGGCAAANGTCCATCTTGAGATTTTAGAAAAATTCCCACTCGTCACGGTAGGAACAAAGCTAGGGATGACCCACGCCTTCACTCCAGAACCAATAAAATAACTGAAAGTCAGAAACTTTCAGTTATTTTATTGTCTCTATTGTTAACTATCTCAGTGGTTGAGTACACGTACTAGGGCACTATTTAAGTTGTGAGCCTCGACAACATAACGTGTTGTTAGACGACATCTGATACTTTTAATGAAAAGTTTGACATTTTTGACTACAACCTTATTTAAAACTTTTTATCATTTGAGCGTGTTTTGTATTATTAACATTGAATTGAAAATTATCTTGACTACAAAAACATGGAATTGACTTGCGGAAATTTTCGCGAGAAGATTTATTATGACTTTCGACGTGGTTAATCAATACAAAACTGAAGCGGTCAGCTAAATTTCACTTTTGGTGATAAAGATCTGTCTTTTACCATTGTAAAACGCTAGTTTAAGAAGTATGATATTGTATGTCATTGGCTCACCAGTGAACTTTGCGAAAGTCGTCCAAAATGACTAATAGTGGCGGAAAACATTGATGTTGTCAGAAAAATGGAAGAGAAACCTCGTCATGTGATATATCGTAGGATTGAGATAATCCTAGGCATTAATTCCACTAGCAGTAATAAAATATTGTATGACCATATTATGGTTAATACGTTTTTTTCTCGCTGGATGTCACAAAATTTTTCAAACGCTCAATAGGACGCTTGTGTCGTTTAGTCCTTGGAAATGTTTAATAAATACGTTTAAAAAGCTTTAAAAGCCGTTTTTAAAATTGTGACAGTTGACGAATTATGAATCTATGCATAATGATCCTGAAAATAAACAGCTATCGACTGTGGAGGTGTTTTAAGATGAACCAATTCCAACAAAAGTCCCATGCGCTCGGAACACTTTGGTTCTGTTCCTAACCTCCTCAATTGAATTTCGGTCCGTGGACCTATTTACGTGCCAGAAACAGTCTAGTTGACATGTCTTCTCTAGTACGTAGTACATTATAACTCAATGCCTGTGGATTATTGTTTTAAAATTGAAAAGTAAATAAAACATTGTCAATAAAGTCATTGGATTTTTGTAATTAACCCTGTTTATTTTTAGAAACACAAATTGTATAATCTTATTAAAAATTTTCAACAGACCTTCCTGAGGGCGCGGTTGAGGCTCTGAGGGAACAGTGCACGATATTCAAAAAGAAGCCGCTTCGGAAAGCATTCAAGGAAGCCTTCATCACTGGCATCGGACCATACAAATTGACTCAACAGGTGGGTTATTGCTGAAACAAGTGCTAACTAAACAAATCAAAAATTTTAGTTCTTAACTGATCAAGAGTTAAGCCAAGCTTAGTTACAGATTGGAAAGTGGAAGTAAAAATACAATCCGAGCTAATCTACAGTAATTCTTTTTTTTTACCCACCATGGGGAAGTTTTTGGCTTGCATCTCACATAGCAGGAAGTGACGATCCAGTGGCAGATAGAAGCTAGCTTCACTTCAAAAAATCTTAAACTCATTTTGCTCTTAGGGTGTTTGTTGACGAGCCGATTTCTATACGGACAGAAACCAGCTCGTCAACACACGCCCTTGTCTGCAGCTGGATACTTGTTGTTGTTTCATAGGTATAAATTTCACCAGTTTTACCAAATAAGCTTGAGAAAGTATTCATAAGCTCTTTTTCTGTTACCAGATCGGCCCCAGGCCTTCGGAGCGGCCGCAGCGTCGGCGCCCGCGCCCTCACAACAAACACTACCATAACGACGACACCTTCCACCCCGAAGACTGTTCCGACCAGAGCGACTATGCTAGCGACAACTGATATACGAAATAGCCTATGTTTTTTGAGAGTTAATCAACATACAAAAAACACATGGATATGTTGATAAAGCAGATGGAAATTGATATTACTCAGTGGAATTTAATGTTGCAGTGCAACTTTTAGTGAGAAGACACACGCTGCGGTGCGGCGCCGCACTGCAAACTTTTTACCGCATCGCTGTACACGTCATGTGATATTATGCGCCGCCGCAATACGGCACCGTCTCGCTCAATCGAAGTGCGGTGTGCATGCGGTGCGGCGCCGGAACGCACCGTCAGGCATATCATTGATTTTTATATGCAGGACGCCGCAGCGACACCGCTCCGGCGCCGCGCCGCGACCGCACCGCACCGTGTGGCTTCTCCCTTACGTGTATGTGCAGTGTATAAAGTGAAAACAGTCTTGTGATGAAGTTAAGTGAAGTGTAATTTGTTTGGTTACAAACTACTGAAATGGTGTGGTTAGAAAAAGACATTGCGTGTATTACATATTAAACTTTATTTAAAATAAAAATAGAAAAGAATTTATACAACTTTTTATTGTTTACAATTATCAACTTTAGGTCTTGCCTCATTGATTACTACTTTTGAACTAGCAAAACTGAAATATTTATTTTACACAATGTATTAAATCTTACTAAACACACTAATAAATTATGTTCATGTTCGTTTAATTCGCATATTTAACCAATTTTGCTAGTTCAAAAATAAGATAACACTGAAATGTAATAACATTTACAAATAAACATCTGTTAATGTCATGCTATTAAACTACAAGAACGGTTTCGTGAAAGGTTGTGAATTATTTGTGCGATTATATCTAGTTCATTCATAATGAATGTATGACAAATAAACTGCGCCTTCTAGTGCAGGCTTAATGCTCTCTAATAATAGTGTCCACTACTACAATATAATTTAGAAAAATTATACAATATGGTGAAACTAACTGACATGTTTCAGTCTATTTTTCACTAAATGCACCACTTATAAGTATGACAGTTCGGTAATCAGGCATTTGATAAAAGTAAATTGGTTATTCTTTGAAGATTGCACATAATATTTTGTATTCAACACACACAACTTATGTCATACTTTGTGACTTCAATCACATATCAACTTTAACACTCAACTTTTGTCCTTAGTTTATCACTGTAAAATCAAGTGTCCAAAATCCGTTAGGAAATTGATGGAACAATATTATATTACGTTCTGATTTCCTCAAATATGTACAAAACCCATTTGCATTTTTGTTTAGTGCTACACTCGGCGTATTACATTGCAATTAACATTGGGTGCACAACTTTTCATTCGTTATTGAGCTAATAAGAGACGTGTTTGCATGATGCTTTGTATGTATTAAAGGCAATCGGAACGGTAACTGAACGCGAAGGCTTCCGTGCACCGAGCGTCATTTGTTAACATAACTTATCCTAGCGATTGTTGCGTATTTGTGTCTTCTATTATTAACAGTGCCAGAGCTACTAGCATGAACTTTACGGTAGAATTCTATTAACGAGAAGTGCACGTATAACTTGTCTAAACTATGTCGTGCTCAAAGAATTCAATAAATAATAATTAACACTAAATAGCCCGGAAAGATAAACACTGCCTTGCTCTCGGAGTAACCCAATAGCTCCGATAGTAAGTGCAAACCGATAGCACTTCAACAAAAAAAAAAAAAAAAAACTATGTCGTGCTGTTCATGTTAGTCTGCTCCTAGATAAAGTACCTAACATTAGTGACAGCTTTAATTCTGAAACTGTTCTTTTTCCTTAGTTACTTCGCACAGCAAAGCAATCGCAAAGTCGTAACTGTCACGAATGTTACTACATTAAGGCCGAGTTGCACCACCTAACTTTAAACTTTAACCGTAACCATACGATAACTGGTGTTTTCTGTATGGAGCTGGACTTATTTTTGACGTTTGTTAAAGTTGAAGTAAGGTGGTGCAACCCAGCCTATTTTTTTCGGGTCTACATTGTGTTAGTAATCGCAATCAACCGCTCAGACTTATCAGATCGGCAATAATCGTCAGGTACTGCTCGACGACGTCATTCCGGAACGCGTGCAGGTCGTCGAGCGTGGCCCGTATAGCGCGGTGCAGGAAAGCGCGCGCGTCGGCTCACACGCCGCGGTTGGGCAGCGGCTTGACCTTGTAGATGCGCACCAGCCAGTGCTCGGTGGTGTAGGCTTCCTCTAATACGTCGAGGTTGAAGTCCTTGTTGCCGATTTCGGCGCTGCGCACGCGGTCGAAGCCTGGCGGGCGGCCTGCGAGAAAAGATGAAATTAGATAAAGCCTGGTCCGTGAGCACGTAGAATCCCGTCCAATGACCCCAAGCTACTCATCCTTATCGCTCGCGCGTAATGAGGATCAGTACTGTTGTAGAAAATTCAATAAAACTAGTATCTACGTTAATCTTTAAGACATAAGAAAGATATATCTTTTTGAATTATCCAAATCGGACCATTACTTACGAAGATATTAAGTAATAAACATAGGCCGTTTTTGCCGCTAAAAGTCAACGTACGCAAGGCCGCGTGACGTCATTATATCCGAATCGAGCGCAGCCGGCGTACTAATGGGATGGAAAATATTTTTTTCCGGCTAAACTATCAGTTTTAGAAAAAAACTTTTCATAACATTAATTCTTCAAAATAAAGTAACCTATCGACCAGTAATTTTTAAAAATAAAAATTGTGAAAAATAAGTATTGCTATGTCCAAAAACCACATTTTCATAGGATTCGATGCAATGCGGAGACGCGGTTGGGGTGAGTGTAACTTAATGATTGTTTGTATTGAGTACACTTTATTTGAATAAATCGCCAAATATACCACCGCGGAGACCCCAATCGCGTCTCTGCGTGCCATTGAATCGTATGAGCGTATGGATTTTTTGCGTTATTTTTCACAATTTCCATTTTTAAAAATTACCTATCGATAGCTTACTTTATTCTGATGAATAAATGTCATTACAAGTTTTTCTCTAAAACTGATAATTTGGCTAGAAAAAAATATTTTCTATCCACGCAGTACGCCGGCAGCGTTCGGATCGGATATAATGACGTCATCGTCCCCGCGCCGGGCGGTCAGTGAACTTTTTTAGTAATTTGGCCATAACTTCGTCAATTTTTGTCGTAGAACAAAAATTTTTGCACTGTGTATTAAGGATTTCTTAGCCCTATAAATCTACATTCACAGCTAAAAATCGAAATGATCCTCATTATATTGCTGTCGTGACTGTGCGACGCGCGCCCGCAGTGAGTGTGCGAGACGGGATTCTACGTGCTCACGGACCAGGCTTTAGAGTAAATTAGAAAGTATGTGTTACTAGCTTTTGCCCGCGGCTTCACCCTTTCATAATATTAGTAGGATGTTATGATTAAGATTGTGTATAGAAAGTCCCTTAGTTATGTGGCTTGTATTTTTTTGTCCAAGTATTTTTACTGTAAATATATTTTCTATGTCGCCTATACACTGTAACTGTACAGCCAGCGCGGCGTGAAAATAGTTCGTGACACCTAAAATACCCAATAAGTTCGTGACACGTCTTTCGCTCGTCACAAACGATGTTTTCTCAATGAAGCAGCAAATCGAACACACAGCGTTGAATAGAGCTCTGTGATTGGTTCGTGTGTGACCCTGAGCGTCCACGCGCACTGTGATACTCATAGTAATGTTTGTGAATACGTATTTTTGCCGTTTTGCTCTTCCAAATTCCGTCGCGAATTAATAGAGTTCCTTCCATCAATTTAATTGCTGCGTGATACTGACCGCCCTCGGTGTAGACGAGCCCGAACTTGTAGTAGCTCATCTTGTACATTAGGCAGTTGAGCAGCGTGGGCGAGCCGTCGGCGTCTGCGCGGAACTCATGGTGAGCACACTGTATTACTGCTCGAGTGATACTGACCGCCCTCGGTGTAGACGAGCCCGAACTTGTAGTAGCTCATCTTGTACATTAGGCAGTTGAGCAGCGTGGGCGAGCCGTCGGCGTCGACGCGGAATTCGCCGGCTCCCGTATAGTAGTCGGCTTCGCGGATGTGCGCGCCACGTTCCGTGCTGCCGCCGATGCGCACCATCCATAGGAATTTGTTGATGTCTGCGAAGAAGTGAGGTGGAATTGACGCAGTGTCTCAAAGCATCTTGGGAACCTGGCGGACGTCGCTTGGTCCCCCTGGAAGTCTCTTTGAAGTAAGTCTAACCAGGGTTCGAAAGGATAATTATCATGATAATTATCAATACTATAATATAATTATCGTGATAATAACAGATGGATAATTATCGGTTGATAATAACAAAAAAATGCGCTCGTGAAAATGAACTGAATTCGAAGTTTTCGAACGTGTATTTCCGCACTTGCGTCTAGTGGTAGGCGTTAATCAACATAGACATTTATAAAACCTATCTATTAAGCTCCAAAATGATCACTAGTTATCTAGCGTCAAAATATTTATCTATTTTCCAAGCTTTAAGCGACTAGCGATGAATAGCTTGACAACAATCAGCAACCAAAAACATAAAGTAACATTTCTTATAAAACAATATGACAAATGTATCTTATATTGTTGATGATTATCTGATAATTATCCGATAATTATCATGAAGCGTAATTATCTTGATAATTTCAAACCCTAAGTCTAACACTAAGTCAAACTGACCTAAAAAATCTGGCTTGCGCTCCTAGGTCAGAAGCTGAATATGACTTGCCCCCCTAGTCCCGAAGCCGGGTAAGCCCATGCTAAAGCATTTGTCACATTAGAAGCGGTCTGAGTGTCACTTTGACCCTGACCGCAGATCGCATCTAGTGTGACCGATCCTTAAACCCTACCCGAGATTTATCAACAATTTCTGCTTAGGGTCTACGCTAAATGTGGCTAAATCTCGAGCGGGTGCCCACACGTGTCTGTATCGAAGAATAATATGAACAGCGTTATGTGACGAACAGGTGAGACGGGTTTCTAAACGCATAACGTCAGCTTATACTAGCTAACTAACGGCGGGCGCAAGCACAAGTTTTAGCGTAAAAGATGACATCTGCGGTCATCAACAATGTACACTAGAGGCATAAACTAGGGATGTTATGGATATGTAGTTTCGGTTAAGGATACGGTTACGGATATAGGAATATTATTATACCGGTTTCGGTTACGGATATTTTTTTATTTCGCATATCCGAAAGTTTCGGTTACGGTTACGGATATCTGTACTTTAGAATGCAATTTGCAATAGTTGTCCAACACGGTTCATTCAATAAAAAGTAATAAAAAAATAAAAATTGATACTAAATGGCACTATAAAGGTAAATCAGGCTGTTATGCCTTTATATTAATGCTATACAAAAAACAATTTTTAAACTGCCTACATCAGAAATTATCCGAAACTTTTGAATCGGTTACGGTTTCAGACGTTTTTTTATATCCATAACATCCCTGGCATAAACTATATAAAAATAAATAAACTATAAACAATAACCAAAATAAACCGAAAGTTTCAAATATTATTAGTAGCAGTCTACTCACCATCCGACGAGTACCCGACCAAGCCTCCGAATATAACCAGCACGTAATCCACGTCCAGTTCCTGCATGATCTCGTAAGCCTTTTCTTCGGTCGACGCCATGGCCTGCCCCACGCGGGAGATATGTGTATTGTTCCACGTGTTGTTGTCCACTATCACTGTTCGGTTCGCCATCGCTGTTATTTGGTACCCGTAGTCCCACCATGACATCACTTTTGAGTTCTGAAATAATGGGAGGTATATGAGATGTGTGTAAGTTGGGAGTATATACAAGCGATTTTACACTGTGTGTGGTGTGCCTCACCTATGAATAAAACTCAGAGAGAGCTCAACTGCCTAATCACCAAACCAGGCATTAAAAATCTATAGTTGTGTCAGCAATATCGATAATTCTATTGATAGTAGACAAGCCAAGCTAGAATGCGCGTTAAGATCATAATCGTGGTATTTATATCGATTTTAAACAATAAAAATGTGTCTTGTTATAATACAGCACATTACAGATAAGGACCTAAATAGAATCGATAAAATCTATTGAATATTATATCGTTGAGCGCATCCTAGATAATAAGTAATCGAGTGGCATCTCTAGGGTGAAATTCGAACAACTTTTGTCTTCTCTGAACTTTGAATTAATGACGTCCACAGCTGAATTTGGCTGAGACGTCTTCTCACCTCGGGCGTGTTCATTTTGAGCCAAGTATAAGCCTCGCGGAAGTCATCAAAGATAATCCTTGCTCCGTCGTGCGCGCGCGCCGATAACACTATGGAAGGCGACGAGTACGCCTCTGACGTCATCCACGTGCAGTGGAACACGTATGACGTCAGCAGACAGCCCAGCACCGGCATCTCTGTCTAGTGAGAAGTCCAGTCTTACCTCAGGCGTCTTGAGCCAAGTATACTCCGTCGACGTCACTCACGGGCATGTAGATCCTGGCTACGAGACGTGGGAATAGTCCCGTTATCCAGCTATATCTGTAGTGTGAAATCCAAACGCTGTTCTTACCTCAGGCGTGTTCATCTTGAGCCAAGTATAAGCCTCGCGGAAGTCGTCGAAGATAATCCTTGCTCCGTCGTGCGCGCGCGCCGATAACACTATGGAAGGCGACGAGTACGCCTCTGACGTCACCCACGTGCAGTGAACCACGTATGACGTCAGCAGACAGCCCAGCACCGGCATCTCACCCAGTGAGAAGTCCAGTCTTACCTCAAGCGTCTTGAGCCAATTATACGCCGTCGACGTCATTCATGGGCATGTAGATCCTGGCTACGAGACGTGGGAATATTCCCGTGTCAAACTACATCGTGTGAAATCAAAACAGTATCTCACCTCGGGCGTGTTCATCTTGAGCCAAGTGTAAGCCTCGCGGAAGTCGTCGAATATAATCCTTGCTCCGTCGTGCGCGCGCGCCGACAGCACTATGGAAGGCGAGGAGTACGCCTCTGACGTCACCCACGTGCAGTGGAACACGTATGACGTCAGCAGGCTGCCTCGCCGGCATTTGTCTATAGTGTGAAGTCTAAACAGTCTTACCTCAGGCGTCTTGAGCCAAGTATACTCCGTCGACGTCACTCACGGGCATGTAGATCCTGGCTACGAGACGTGGGAATAGTCCCGTTATCCAGCTATATCTGTAGTGTGAAATCCAAACGCTGTTCTTACCTCAGGCGTGTTCATCTTGAGCCAAGTATAAGCCTCGCGGAAGTCGTCGAAGATAATCCTTGCTCCGTCGTGCGCGCGCGCCTATAACACTATGGAAGGCGACGAGTACGCCTGACGTCACCCACGTGCAGTGAACCACGTATGACGTCAGCAGACAGCCCAGCACCGGCATCTCACCCAGTGAGAAGTCCAGTCTTACCTCAAGCGTCTTGAGCCAATTATACGCCGTCGACGTCACTCACAGGCATGTAGATCCTGGCTACGAGATGTGGGAATATTCCCGTGTCAAACTACATCTGTAGTGTGAAATCAAGACAGTATCTCACCTCGGGCGTGTTCATCTTGAGCCAAGTGTAAGCCTCGCGGAAGTCGTCGAATATAATCCGAGCTCCGTCGTGCGCGCGCGCCGATAACACAATAGACGGCGACGAGTACGCCTCTGACGTCACCCACGTGCAGTGGAACACGTATGACGTCAGCAGACAGCCGAGTACGCATACGAATACTGCGCCAACCTGGAGATGAAAAGTTGACGCTGTATTTTGAACCTTGTTTAGTTACTCAAACGGCTCAAGATAGCATTTTGGCACCATTATCCCAACTAATATTATAAATGCGAAAGTAACTCTCTGTCTGTCTGTCTGTCTGTTACGCTTTCCCGCTTAAACCTCGCAACCGATTTTGATGAAATTTGGCATAGAGATAGTTTGAGTCCCGGGAAAGAACATAGGATAGTTTTTATCCCGGTTTTTGAAACAGGGACGCGCGCGATAAAGTTTTTCTGTGACAGACAAAATTCCACGCGGGCGAAGCCGCGGGCGGAAAGCTAGTACTTGATAAGCTTTACAATCGAATTGGTTATTTGTTACCATTTGCGAATGCTTGGAATCAAAGCACAAGTTTTCACATTATTCTAGTAAATCTCAATTATGTAAAATCTATGTGTCACTCACATTTTAATATCAAGTCATGAAAAGTCATAACAACAAATGTTGTGTTCCGGCAGTTAGAGGTAAGATAGCTAGTTCCTCCGTGGTCGAGGATTCCGGGTGAAGCTCGCTTCCACCTTCGGCCTGATCATCACTTACCATCAGGTGAGATACAGGCCAAGAGCTTCCTCGTTGTGGATAAAAAAAATAAAAAGTAAATCATATTTAAAAGTGGAAAAATTACCTCAGACCTGAAGACCAAGTTATTTTCGTGCTTCTTTTTTTTCTCATGTTTCTCCACTTTAGGCTCAATGTCCTTAACGTGTAAACTGAGCAGGCTCGATGCGGCGACCCCTGACACGATGCACATCACTGGAGCTAGTACCAGCATAAGACGGACCATCACACCCTGTGTGGGACAAGCGGAGAAGGGTCTGAATATTTTGGTGATAGTTTAATGTTTGTAGTTTGGTTTTTGTGGATGTCAGCGATCAAAGTGTATAGGATCACGGCGCGGAAACATCGGAATGATATCACTCGACGTGTCTCTACGCGCTCCAGCTTTGTTTGTCATCATGTAAAATATTTAGTTGGGGAACGGGACTAAAAAACGTACTGTAAATGTTTTGCGACTATAAAATATTTTGAGGAAGTGTTATTTATCCCAAAAAGCTAGCAGCGATGCTAGCTTTTTGACACGCTACATTTTTAAGACGTGGATTCTATTCGAGAACGTTCTTCTTACTCCGCCCTTCGTTGGTTCTCAGTCAGGTATGGCTAGAGACCATAGGCACATAAACTCGCTACATTCTTGGACTATGCATACTTTACAAAGTAGGCCTTTCCACTTGGAGGATCGACGGTTAAGGTCGCGGGAAGCACCTGGATGTGGCCCTTTGATTGAACGATACTTTATCACAAAAATTTACAATAGGCACCCATGTGTAAACTAAGTATATTGGCCAAAACTGTGTGTACCTATTATTAGCATGCATACATACTAAACTTCTATAAGTAATATTTTCATGTTATTACTTTGTAGTATGTAATTTTGTTGGTATGCCTCAATAATAAATAAATGTGTGTTAAGGCCACGATTTGATTTGCTTAGTTTTTACCAACAAACCAAATGGAAATGTAATTAACCCTGTAAGTCAATGTCTAGAACTCTAGATAATACTCACAGCAAAGTAGATGCTAAGCACTCCATACAGGATGATGAAGATGTTGGCATCAGTTAGCTTGCTGAAGCAGAAGTACAGTCCGGCGGGAAACAGGAACACCAGCACCTGCAGGTCGAAGTAGAACGACGACCACGACGTCGGCTGATGCTCAGAGACGGATGCTGGAAACAAAGTTTTCGACATGAGAATATAAAGGTACTAGCTTTCCGCCCCCGGCTTCGCCCGCGTGGAATTTTGGGTCACAGAAAAACTTTATCGCGCGCGTACTTGTTTCAAAAACCAGGATAAAAACTATCCTATGTCCTTTCCCGGGACTCAAACTATCTCTATGCCAAATTTCATCAAAATTGGTTCAGTGGTTTAGGCGTGAAAGCAGGACAGACAGACAGTTTCGCATTTATAATATTAAGTATTAAGCATAGCACCGCGTCAAATGCGACTTCACAATAAGATGGGAAAACATAGCATAGATTAAGTTTTTTTTTTAATTTGAGGCCGCGTAGATGCGGAATAGAAACCGCGCTTCAATAAAGCAGTACTAAACAGTTGTAGGTGTTACAAGAAATCGACGCTGTACTGTTAGTAATCTTAAGTTTATGTCCAAGCTCAGAAAACGGCATAAGTGGGTCCTATGACTAATCTTTGTCGATGAAATATAGCAAAAGCACATTATGGTTAACTTACCAATAATAGGAATGTGGTTCTTAGCGTATGACGGGTCCAGCAGAGAGTAGAAACGTCCAGTCCATGGTGAGATTTTTCCTGTAAAATAATTTTAAGTAATGGATGAAATGTACTATTGACCAGCCTTAAAGATCAGTTTTAAGCTTCAACCACACCAACGCGTGCACATCGCCATCGCCGGCGCGATCTAAGGTCAATGACAGGTCGCACGATCCATGACAGTCCACGCGACCTATCAATTCCTTATGATATATGGTGTGGTTGAAACTTTAAATAAAAACAGTTATAGTCTGGTCGCCGAGCACGTAGAATTTTGTCCAATGACCCCAACCTACCAATCCTTATCGCTCGCGCGTAATTATATTGCTGTCGCGACTGTGCGAAAGGCGTCCGCGAGCGATAAAGATGGGTAGCTTGGGCTTGGGGTCATTGGACAAAATGCTACGTGCTCGGAGACCGGGCTTTACAAGAAAGTCAAGAGGACATTGGAATTTGGATTGGAGTTCGTTGGAAAATGACACCTATCACTTCGACGTAAGGTCCTCGCTATACACACCGGTGATGGTGAGCACGGCGGCGGCGGTGCCGAGCGTTGCCAGTAGCGTGGTCAGAAGCGCCTTGAAGAGTAGCTCGAAGTTGGCGGGAGACAGGCGCGCGCGAAGGTATTGGGCGAACGCGTATAGCTGGCAGAGACCGAATGTTCCTAGCGCCTAGGAAAGAAAGAGAAATGTTAGTAATCTGGCATAGACTAAATGTGCCCAGCACCTTGGAAATAAACAAATATTTTAGTAATCTGGCACTGACTGAATGTGCCCAGCGTCTAGGAAAAGAAAGAGGTGTTAGGCAAAAACAAAACGTTTCTACAGGCGCTGTCGACGCGCACTTAATTAGTGCCAGCTGCACGTTTCAGTCGCGGTAATGGCTTGTAACCCTATGTAGAATTGAGTGCGAAAAACATCGCTTATACGGCGCGTTTCATGTGCATGAAACAGCAAGTTTTCATAAAAGTAAAATGTTGTTTGAATGTGTTCGAAAGAGCAAAAACCGAACAAGTTCTAAAAACTAATCGGCGTGAAGCTTTCGTAATATTCTATGATAGCTGTACGCCTGCTATGCTACTGAAATAACAAAACAGAAAAATATGCAGCTATCAATTTTAGTCAAAAAATCTAATACGCGGACATCAAGCCGTATAAGCAATATAAGGGGTATTGCATAAACAAAACAGTGGCTTGACGCACACGTATATTCATAGAAACAGTGTATGCCAAATTCTCCATTTGCCTCTAGAGTACATTAAAGATGGTCATGTTTTTTATGAAGATCTAAATACTTGATGATGAGATGACACTTACCAGCATATGCTCCGAACTCTGTACCGGCTGGAAGCCGACAAAGGAGATCTGCATGGACAGTATAGTGCCCACACAGTACAGCGTGCTGTATGCTACATACACTCGGGATGAGAATCGACCGAGCAGCATCAAAGCCAGCACGTGAAGAGGAATCAGGTTGATGAGGAACACGTAGCCTCCCCATGACGACACCTGGGTAGAAATGTCAAGTTGTATGTTATGTTTTTGCCTAAACGATGGACAGACGATATCCGGCAGCAGGCTGGAGTGAACTGGATGCGTGTGGCCAGGAACCCAAAGGCTGACATAGATAGATGTTATGTTTTTGCAGCAAAAAAATATGATTGGGATTTAAATAAAAAGAAAAACAGTTTATAAACAAGTGTGGAGTTTTTTTTGTGGAGTAATTATAATAACACTAATATGGGGAAGATACTAATTTCTGTTCTATTACTACACACTGACATTTATTTATTTATTTCCAAGTAATAAAATAAATTATTAGTTACCTGAATATTATTTTACGCGACTTTATTCGTTAATCGTGTCTGAAGGCGGCAGTTATTTACTATCATTGAGGCAATATTTGAAGTAGGGTCGTTTGAAGTGCGACGATTCAATAAACTTGTTATTTATCAACTCTCGATATTAATTAAGTGAATAATTTCATGACCATTTATTTTAACGTTTCTGCTAGCACAAGAGTACAACTAAGACAATAGCAAGAAAAAGTCTGTTCGAAAGAGCAAAAACCAAAGTAGTTCCATGAACTAGTTGGCGTGAAGCTTTCGTGATTTTGATCTATGATTGTTATCCATACAAAATCTGGCATTGCCATTTGTACTCGCTGGCGCATCTGCATTCGTCATTCGTACATCTTTCATCTTCGAATCGGTACCAAAAAAAAGTACCGCCCCGGGTGCCAACCCATGCTACACCAGCACTGCTTGTAAATAACATCAACATAAATTGTAAATTACAACATATTGAGTTATAATAAGAAAAGTAACACTCACCATGTAGAAATAAGCGAGCGCTGTCATCGTGGCCCACAGTATGGTACCAGTATTGACGGCTTTCACCCAGAAGTAGTACGTGAGCAGCATGCAGAAGATGGCTATGCCCTCGTTATCGTAGCTGCCGGCCACTGAGCGGCTGATGTAGCCCGGCACGATGGCGATCATCGCAGCGGCGACCAGGCCTGCGCCTTCATCCTAATGGTAATACGGTTGTTACATTCATTTGAAGTTTATTTTTTGTAAAAGTTACCAACTGAGACTGGACTGGTAGTCTCCACTTTTCTAGACTGAAGAGACCTAGTGAAAATATATGCAGTGAAAGAATAAGAGATGACTCACTGGACTTAAAGAACGCCTCAAAAAGTATTCTGTTACAAATTCATTATCATCATTTCAGCCATAGGACGTCCACTGCTGAACATTGGCCTCCCCCAATGCTTTCCATGTTGATCGATTGGTAGTGGCCTACGTCCAGCGCTTCCCTACCTTAAGGTGGACATCCCACGCTGCGTGTTACAAATTACTAATACTAAAAAAAGTGATAAAACATGACAAAACCTTGAGCTCCTTCGTCAGCAAGTAAGTGACGATGGTTGTGAGTGAGGAGAAGAAAGGTGCAAGGAAGACACACACATTCCGGATGTCTATGGTGATATTGAGGAACTGCATGACATTGTATAGCGTTGCCGATGTCACCATCAGGCCCGGGTATATCGTGCCTGTTGAAATATGCATGAATAAGTGCTGGGGACTATTAGTGGACTGGATTTATCATTGATTAATTTATTACTTGGCCTTTTTTTTCTAACTGAATAAATAAACTAGTCTGCTCAAAGCTCTACCTGTTTCAATTTACAAAAGTACCAATATAAATAATAAAATATTTTTTCAAATAGTCATTTGTAGACTGTAGTGGTTAAATAGCTTTAAACTTCCAGATATCTTTCTTCAAAACAATAAATATGTTATGAAATATTAGGTAACTGTAGGAGAATGCCAAAAGGTTCATCTTAAGTACTGTGTACAGCAATTTTTAGGCACTTACGCATTAAGGTTTTTAATAACTAAATGTATATTCGTCACAAATTCATACTAACCACCAATGATACGGCCTAGAGGGTACCATGCCCGGTCATCAAACCAGTTGTGGAAATTGTAGAAACCTTCTTCAGTCAGGTACCGGGTTGTCCGGTAGTTGAAGTACGGATCGAACTCGTGAATCACGCTCTCGAATCGCAGCACGGAAAACAACCGGGTCGCAAACGCTAATAATAAAACACATTTTACACGTTACACTAAAAACATTGACAATACACAACAAAATCTAGATTATTTTGGTCTTAAAAGTAATATCAATAAACCTAACCACCCACTTTTAGGGCCACGTAATTGATTTGTTTATCTACTCTAGCGGTAGCTCAAAGTGAAAACAACGTGAATTTCTTACACAAAATCGCTGCCATCGACAAAACAGCCAATTTTATAAATGTTAGCTGTTTGTCAGACGTAAGCTGCGGCAGCTTCGCCTTGCTCTGCACTTCCACGGTCATTTTGAATTTAATTCACAGTCCTGCTGAAAATTACATAGAAAGTAATAAATAAAACGAAATTGGAGAAATAAACGCCGGCAACCTATCCGTTTTTCAGCCACCGACGCAAATTGACAGCTCATAAGCGGCGTGGCAAAAATTGTTGCCAGTATGAACAATATTTTTGTGGTAAATAGTAGAAAAACGTGTAAATAGTAGAAAAAATTCAAATGGGCAATTATGTCTCGTAACAAGAGAGAATAGTGAACAAAACAGGAACACAACTTTTGACGTTTCATTGACATTTGCTTCCCCCCAGCCCCTTCACTTCACTCCCCTTTGGTCTCTCTCCCTTCATCTCTTCATTCGCGCATTCATCACGTTAGAATTTATTTTTATCGAGGGTATTTTGATAACAATAATCACATTCATTTCATAGTATTCCACGTTAACTTCCCTGTAACATGATATAATTTTAAATATTTGCGCGTGGGACTGTCAAAGTTACCGGATGAATCTGGTGCGAGGTTGTGACTCAGAAGAAGGATTTTGAAGACTACAGTGCATTTTAGTGTTACGGAAATTACATCTGGTTGTTGTATGTGATGTCCGACGGAGATCCATCGCTTGAAGAGGACGTTCCCAAGCCTCTGTTGGTAAATGTGGAGGAGAATGTGTTTACCCCGAAGATAACTACCCCTATTTACGCGGGCGGTGTAAAATTACATCACAAGAGATCTGACGCAGGCGAGACGGAGTCTTTCCTGACTGAAGCCCAGCGCAATGACCTCGCCTTCCAGCAACTCTTCCAAAGTGGAGATGACGAATTTCACGAGGTAAATAAATATAAACTTTTTATCACCTCAAACTTTCTCTTTTAAAAACATTACAAAATGTGTATTAATTCGGACTTATGTAGCAAAGTTTTATTTTATTATTAATATGGCCATTGACATGTGCCTTTATCAGTCGATGGATTAAATTATAATATACCTAATTCTTATAAGAATTGTAACCGAGTTTATTATACTTTTTGTCTTATCTCTGGAAGTATAAAATAAAGCTTCATATCATAATTAATTATTTATTACTTTGCACAAATTGGCTCGCTTTCAAATAATATAATGAATTACTTTAAGGGTAGTCCCCACTTTTTTCTTTTTATAGATCTTATTTAATTCTTATAGCATTACTTCATACATACTTAGCAATCACTATATCACATAGATCCTATATTTAACAGACCACACACTGTTCTGTTCCTTATTTACTGTATCCTTTTACACTAACATATTATGTCCTGTGGTGTACAGCATAGTGTTTTGTATGGGAGGGAACCATAGGGTGCCATTAATGCTTGTGGGAATGCTCATTGGATTGAGTGAATAAACTGCTTGGTGTTATTGAGGATCTATCACATACATCCTGCTTCTTGTTTTAGATTTCCCATTTATTCTAGGGTTTTGGGTTTGGGATTATTTACTATAGTATTATTATTATAAAAACTTTCTAGATATTCTAATGAATTTTAAAGCATCAGTGTTTTCTAGTAATGGTCAGTTACAGTGTTCATAATTATTTATTTATTTAGGAAAGTAATAAATGAACAATTTTATTTAAAAACCTCAAGTCAAGTTTATTTTTTTTTATACTTTTTGGATAAGTGCTAAAAAATGAATTTAAAAAAAAAACTATATTATTTTTCTAATTTAATGTGGCAGTGCTGACCTTATCTTACTTTTTGTGTAAATTGATGGATGAAATTGCTGCAACTTAGTGCACTGATGATGCTGAATCATTATTTATTAAACCACATAAACTCCAATGTAAATAATAGTTAAATGTTTTTTTACCTTATTGGGTTTATTATTAACTATGTCTTCATGACAATTTTACAGTGTAAATCTTCTCATGAATAGAATTGGATCTAAATAATTTAAATACATACATAGTTTGAATCTAAATCCATACTTGAATTTTAATTCAGATTGAGATTTATCAGCTTGGTTTCATCTAACGAACGTAAAACGGCGTCAACACGATACGTAAAAATCCTGTAATGTTTTAAAGGCGATATACACACGCTCGACTTAAAAGCGCAGATAATTTTGTGATATTTTGCAGCCCCCAAATTATACACTTCTTGAATAAAAGTACACTTTCCGCGAACACACACAAGATTGCACACAAAATTTTTGCGCGGAGTATTTTTAATAGTTTAACTTTCGCGCGAAGCTTTTCGTGCTTATAAATGCAGACAAGACGACCATCACAGAGCTAAAAAATACCAACCGAATTGAATCTCCTCCTTTTTAAACTCGGTTAAAAAGTCAAATAACACTGTAACTAAAGTTCGGCGTGTTTCTTTGGTAAAGTCTAGAAATTGCGCGCATCGATGAAATATGCATCTTGTACCCGACACTATTCGAACATAATTAATTTTTCAGTACTTTGTTGCTATTTACGCCTGCTTGGTGATCGCACAGCATAGTGGCGTGTGAATATGCTCACACAGGTGTATAAGTTATTCGATAATCGCCTGTTTTGTAATTAATTAATTGATTGATAGATATGTGTGTTGTTGTCACGCAATCCCCTATGGTGTCTGCCTAATTAAAGGTAACTACCATGGACCCTGACGAGTAATTCTAACTACCGACTAGCTAACAGACAGTAATGGTAGCATTTTAGTTATTTTGCCTAAATTGTAAAGTACCCCTTAGTCTTGCATTCGCGTACTCTTAACTAGGAGCATTACTGCTTTAGCTGTTATTTACTGCCTCGCTTCAGCTGCATTGTATGTTCGTTAGAAGATGGAACGTATCGCAATTCTTCCCATAACTGCAATGTTAATTGAATCCAGGAAATCTTGGCGTCCTAGTAAATCGTAATGTGCTATAAATTAATTTAAGTGTAAAAGATCCTATCTTAATTAAATATGCTTCTCTTAACGAACAGTTATCGCGTTATCACACTGTCCGTTCTGTCTTGTTTATTACCCACGATCGTCTTTGCACATCTGGGTATTCAGTAATCGCTAAAAAGTGTCATGTTTGAATGTGACTCATTACCGATGTGCCGACGGCATCGTCAACTCATTTGGGCAAATTAAAATTTACACTAAAATTTTACCTTTAGACGCGGTGGCTCATAAAATGAACACGTCTATTTTGGTGGTCTTTCCGTCATTGATAAAGTTTATCTTGACGACATTTTGGCCTTTATAGTAGGTATAAGAAATAAGATTGTAGTTAGGTACTTGTGAATGGTGTTACAGGTTGTTGGTTATTGCACGTCACAAAAAGTGAATTAGTGAAGTCGAGGTCAGTGTTCTTTGGTCGTTCATTTTGGTGTTTCTGTTCATTCTTATTCCTATCGCAGTGTGATGATAGTGAGGTGTTTAATCGATGTAGTACTGTACCTTTTGTACGATGTGGCATTGCGGCGAGTTAGCAAGTCCAAAAGGAGGCGCAAGGGGAGTAAAGAGTGCTCTACAGATGTGGGTTTTATCAGTTCTATCGTAAGGTTATCTGTGTTAAGTACGAAATTACAGTTTTTTGTAAATTCTAATTGAATTGCGATTTGCGAGCGAATGTAAACTTGGTTTGATTAGGTACCTACGACAATCATAAAATGTGTTGTTATGGTAATTAAAGAGATAAACGTAATAATCTTGATTATGTAAGGCTGACTTGTGTTTTTGGATAGGTAGGTGCTATATATAATTTCGCATAAAATGTTGAAGTCTCTCTTATTAAGATTCAGATCGCAAATAAGAGATTGGTTTGGCACCGATTGTTTTTATTAAACTGTGTCGTCCCTCTATTGAAAAATGACTCTACCAATTCTGTAACACGATGGGTATAGATAGGTCAAGTACAGCTAATCACACACTACGTTTCCCTTGGCCCAAATTATCATCTTCCGCCGCTATAACGCGCAACAAACAGTGTTATTTCAAATTTAAAAATATACCCTTAATCATTATTTGCCGAAATATTAATCGGCAATTAGGTGTTCCCTCCCAGACTTCGAGTCTTAAATAGGCGACTATAGACATAATGATAAAATTAGCTATTAGAAGTATGTGTTACTCATTACAGGAAAACCCGACAAGTTATTTACCATAATGACTGAATAAAATGTTCTTTGTTAGCCGCCAGTAGGCTCGCTTCCTTGGTGTTTTCTAACTTAAAACTTCACTGATTCACTGAAATTTAACTTTTACAAAATAAATTTCGTATTTACCTAATGCTTTATTTGATTTGTTAGATGACAATGTTTTCTCAAACCGTTGATGATTCAGTTAACAAATTCTGAATAATCCGATCCAGTCATCCGATTTGCACTAGAGGGAAGTCGATCCTTAACTTCGAACTCCTCCTATGTTCATCTAATTAATTTGTTTGTCGCATTGTCAAAAAGTTACTAATTAAGTAGATCTGACGTAGAGCTAAGCTTCTAACTCTACACGCCCTCACTCTAGTCATTCTCCAAGGCCTAACTACACAAACTGACATCTCAGTTAAAATAAAATGTGTAAATCATTTCAATTCATCTCTTGCACTTAAAATTTCGTGGTAACAAAATGTTTTATTTCCTTTTATTTGAAGGTTAAATTATAAAATGCGTTATCAATTTGTTAATTTAATATCCCGACCCCATGATGATGACTCTCTTTGTTTGGATCAGACAGAGAAGGCGCGGGAGGAGAAAATCGCGGACCTTCAGGCCATGTCCGTCCTGAGCATGTACCACGACAACATGTCCCAGGACATGAACACCGACCGGTGAGTACATTGGTTGGTGTTGCTGCACTGCTTGCTGTAGGAATCTAGATTCTAGAAGCTTCCTTGCAGTGGCGTGACTATACCATTCGAGGCCCGTGGCAAATTCTGTGCATGGGGCCCTTGGCGTATCTAGGGTTATTTTCCAGGGGGGGGGGCTCGGGACCATCGCCCTGAACTATCGCGAGAAGGGGGGGGGGGATTAGGGTGGCATTTTGCCAGCCATGCCACCCTATAGTTACGCCACTGCTTCCCTGTGAGAAAGTGCTGATACCAGTATACTTCTTTTACAATGAGGGTTTACGTATTTGCGCTCACCAGTTGGCGCGTAAGGTCCTGTCATTTGCTTGTGGTTAAGAACTTGGTGCCAACTGGCAAGCGCTGAAGCGGTAGGAGAACTATTGCATTTGATATCACCAGGTTGGCACCACTGTCGAGTAAGATCAAGATCCTATCACTCGCTACTGACACCAACTAACTAGCGCAAATATGTAAATCCTCATTTAATTGGTATAGGTTTCCTATCTAGTTAACTTTAAAAAAAAACCTGAAGTACCTAACAAGGCTACGTGATTTCTGTAGGCAAGTCCTGATTCATAGTCAATTGATATAGTCGAAGTCCACAATATAAGGTCGAAAAACATGAGGCAATAGTTGTTTTGATAGCAAATCTAATAAAGGAACACGATTGTCACAGAACTTTCGCACAGGGAGGAAAGTAAACGATATGTTTTCGGGATAGTTACGAGGTGCGGAGGGAGAAAAGTTGGCGCCTATTTTTCCCGCTTTATCACCGCACTGCATTTTCTTATGTGTGATAATCTATCTGCACAATATAGGTTACGAATCTTAGGAAAAGTAAGAAAAGACACTTAAAACCCGACTCAAGCTCATAGACCTTTATTGGACTAATGCACCAATCATGGGGATCAACTATCTATGCTTGAGAATTGATTTATACCTACTTTCAATAGGGGTCTACTTAGTTTGCAGTCGCATTAATCTAATTGTAAATGTTTTAAATTATTCATTAATAGAACCGTTACTATAACTGTAAATAGGTATTACGTCATTATTATAAATAACAGATAAATTGTCATTACATAACAATAGAATAGAACAGATAGCTTTAGTGGAAAACTATCCTGGAGATAAGGACAATTCCAATTATTTTTTCAAAGCTTTTAATATGTGCTACTTATGGTGTATTAATGGAAAGATCCTTGGTGTCGTGAGTTACTAAGTAAATAACTAAATGGCACATTATGTACATGATGCATTTACTCACATACTCGACATTTACCTGATCTTAGAGCAAATAATATGTACCTATTGAGTGTGCGTTTAAGCGCACATTTATTCTTACAATATTAGAACTTAATGCTTAATGTGCAGAAACTTATTGCGATTTTTAATCAAATATTGTGTCGTCGTAGAACTACTCTCATTTGTGTGATTGTGTTGTGCGTTTTTTTTTAATTATGTGTCGTTATAGATTTGTGTTGTTGTTTGTGTAATTGTGTTGTATTTTTGTGTTATACTTGGTAGTTTTTAAGCTTTGTATTAATATCTTTATATGGTTTTGGTTCTTTTCAAAAAGAGGAATCTAACTTGTTTGGGTAAAGTTACTTATTAAAAGCACTTACAACAGCAAGCCAAATCTAACATGTCTAACTAAAGCTTTCTATCCAAAATTAGGTTTTCACTGAGGTGAACCCTTCTTCAAGATGTACGCATACAATGGTTTGTTGCAATGGCATGCATAGGAGGCCATGTAAATGGGTATTGTAAATAGAAGTGTAACACAATCCTCCCAGTATGTAAACGACCGCATAAACAACGCATAAATGATAATAATGTTCTGCGGATCATATGACTGTTCCTGTATTTATTTCCATTATTGGCAGTGATTTGTATGACATCATACAGCCAATCCAGTGGCAGATACATTTTAAATTGAGAGTGTGATGCGGTTCATGGCCGAATATTCGACCGATACAGTGAAGACTATGCGCGATATGAAGTCCATTTGATCAGTTATTGGTTTTTAGAAACAGAAATAGCCAAATAGATACTTTTCTGAGATGCTAATCTGAAAGTGGGTTTGCCAAAGGACTCAGTTAAGCCCCGTTTTTAATTCGTCGACCAAAATTTTTCCTTGGTCTTAGATGATTAACTACATGAATCTAGAATCGTCTAAAAATATACAGATGACTAAGTTATTCTCTTATTGATTATGCAACTTGTGGTTCCTAAAATGTTGCGCAAATAAGAATATAATACCTGTGCGTTTAAGTAATGCTAATCAGTTAGGTTTTGAGTAAAGGACTCATCACAAACTTCTGACATTCGAAGTCTAATGAAAACCCTCGATATTCTCAACATTCGCCTTATAAAACTATGGGTAAACTATGACTATAACAGTAGTAAATATAGCCCATTATAGAAAAACTCTGGGTGATATATCGATCCTTTGGGCCTCTCGTGAGTTCGGCTATCACCGGGCGTAGCACATTCAAATTCTTGATTAGTATGTAGGCCCCTTTCAGGGCACTTCTACACGTCGCAATATAGCTTGCCCTACCACCCCATGAGGACTAATTCGTGAAAAATTATGTATGCTTAGTTAGGTTGACACTTTTGTTTTGACACATCCTCAAAAGGCGAGATTCCACCGCACACCGTGGCGCGAATTACGTCACTAGTCATTCGCACAAAGAATATTCTTTCTTACAATTGTATTTCGTAAAATTGCTTAAATAAAAACACGTTAAAATTGATCATCTCCATGAATGTATGGTGGAGTCTCACCTTCAGAAGCACGTTTCAGGGACAACGGTAGCGAAGCGTCCACCAGGCCAGCAGAGGAGTGTATCTGCGGCGGACCTCCCGACGTCGGCAATGGCAAACCCTCGGACAACCATTGCTCGTGAGTAGACAACTGAACAATCATTATACAGTTCGTTTCAGCCGAAAGACGTCCACTGCTGGACAAAGGCCTCCCCCAAGGTTTTCCACAAAGACCGGTCCTGCGCCGCTCGCGTCCAGTATTATACAGCATTATACAGTAGTCTGTTCTAAATCCTGTCTGTAGACAGGAAAGTAAAATTACAAAATTAAATGTATGTAAATTCAAGCCAGAAACATAATATTTCATAAATAAGGTAATCATGTATTTGGTATCGGTGGTTTCGGTACAGGAAGGAAAAATTTGATTTAATTAGGCATTTAATATTATTCCTCTGATAAATTATTGTACTTACTCATTTCCTCTAATTTAATATTAATATTTCAAAAGTTTAAAAAACATACGTAACTTTTTGCCAAATTTTGTCCTACTGAATGTTTTTTTTAAATTATTCTCATTTATTAGTTACTTACTTATAATATTAACATACTTTTAAAACGCACATTATATTTTTCATAATAAATACGTGTCTCATTATCACTCACTCAATGATTTCGGTGACACGATCATTAGGCAATTTTGTTTTTGGAAAGTTGGTATCACCGATAAACATCTATGTTAACCCAACAATCAAATCATCATTTAGGAATATTTTCTAGCTTTAGTATCACTTTCATGAAGAAGCAAGCATCCCGAATGACTCAGCCGTACCTAAATAAACACTAATTAGCGCAATTATCGGTTTACTCGGTTGCCGTGAGGAACATTGGCAAAAAAGTCTAGATGTTAACTAAAATCTGAATAGTTTGGACAAATTGGCGCGCGTCCTAAAATAATTTTTATTATCGAGTGGAATGTTGATAAAATCTTATTTAATCAGATATCGTTGCTATTAATTTAGCCGTATTTACTTGTACCTAAATGAAAAATCGTTCGATAAATATTATGATAATATTAATTGACTAGCTTTCCGCCCGCGGCTTCGCCCGCGTGGAATTTTGTCTGTCACAGAAAAACTTTATCGCGCGCGTCCCTGTTTCAAAAACCGGGATAAAAACTATCCTATGTCCTTCCCCGGGACTCAATGCCAAATTTCATCAAAATCGGCTAAGTGGTTTAGGCGTGAAAGCGAGACAGACAGACAGACAGACAGAGTTACTTTCGCATTTATAATATTAGTATAGATTTCACTATTTTATGCAGTGTAAGTATGTATATTGATAATATTTTTTGAGTTAGTTCGTCTTGATGAATCAGCCGGTAGTTTTCTGTCATCCCATCGTGTCGTTGCTTTACAGTCATTGTATGTCGCAGCATTATTCTTCTGTAAGTACATTGGGAGGGCAATGAAGGGTCAAACTGTATAGTTAACTTATTCAGGGTGTCTAACATACTAACCTCGCTTTGCATTTGGCATGATCTAATAATAAATCCATCTACATTCTTTCCGTTGTTAATAAATCGATCAATGTAATATCATAATTTAAATGGCGCGGGCGGGGATTCATAAGTGCCTCAATACTGGTCAAAATTAATAAATATTCTTGATTTGTTGTGACTAAAAAGAACGAGCGTTTGTAGAAAACATGAAAAAATTTCTTACAGGCAAATGTCGCAAACTGAATTTTTGTAAAGTTGGTTAGATTTTTCGAGTTAATTCAGGCATAAGTGTTATTAATTTATTTCGAAATTCAAACGCCCATTATACTTTTCCTTTTAAATATTCTATTTAAGTACTATATCACTAGTTTAATAGAGTAAATATCCTCTTTATTAGAATAATAGGAATGCAAGCGTTCTATTTGCTCTTGTTATTGTTATGACACGAGTGAATAGGTATTTTATTTACTGAACGAGTATACTTCATCATAGATCTCATAACTTACCAAGTGTGATTGAGGTCAAACGCGTTACTCATTAATTAAAAAATATTAAATCTACGTTATAATTAGAAATCGTTAATATCTGCTGGCCGTACTCAGAAATGACCATAAAACTTCTCAGCACTTGAACAGATCATAATTCATCCACCACCAGTTCACTGCTGAACATAGACCTCCCCCAATGACTTCCAGATTGACCAGTTGGTAGCTTTATGAGGTCGTCTGTCCACCTTGTGAATATGAAGAGATATACAAACATAATGTCATCTCACGACAGGATAGTGATGGGCGGAGTCCTCCACAATCCCTCTCTGACCTTCACCGATGGGGTGAAGACGGTAGACTACGTGTTGGTCTGGGAGGCCGGCAAAGAGGACGCGAGGAAACCCGAGGCGGTGGAACAGAGGAGGATATTTGAGGAGAACCTGGAACTCGAGGGGTTAGCGTTGGAGAGGGCAGCGCCGGATAACCTGCACGGACTGAACTTTGTTAAGGTGAGACACGAATTTGATTCTTAACACGTAGACGTTAACTGACATTGTTGACCGGTCGTATGCCGATAACCCAGACAACAATGCGAAAGTCATTGTGTCTCGTCCTGTACCTCTAGCATGAACAACTTTCGTCTTCGAATCGTTTGCGTATTCGACAAAATTCGATACTCAACCTTCGAATTAAACGATAACGTGACAATTTTGATTCTCTAAATAAGTTTCGTGCAACATTTCTCATACTAAGTTCACTTTACGACACATTCACAAGGGCGCTGTTGTAGTTATCGTACTAAATCTTTTGTTGGCGATTCGAATACGCAAACGATTCGAACTCGAAAGTTTTTCGTGCTAGCCGTACTGATCAGTGCATACGAGAGGTTAAGTGACAAAAAAGTAATTCAAGTTTATTTATTCTTTATTGGAGAAGCCAAACGAAATTACATCCAAATGTGTAAAGCCCCGTTTCCATCAAAGCGGAGAGAAGTTGCGGAAATAACGAAATCTTATTGATTACTCAAAACACAATTTTCTCTCGTCTCCTCTTATCTCCGTTTTGGTGAAAACTGGGCCGTAGATATGTATTAATTGTTTTTAAACTCTGATTTTTAATTCGACGGAATTTTGACATTTCAGAAGTGTTGTCAACATTGAAACATTTCCACTAAGAATGGAGAGCATTTTCACAAATTAAAAAATAATCCTTTCTTGAATTTAAGGTTTCACTTGTAAAACTAAGGCTTAAAAATGTACTGATCATTTCAAAATGGTTATTTGAATTTTTATTATCATATTATGGAAGTTACAAAAAAAATTGGGAAATTATTTTTCTATTACTGGAATCCCTGCCCAATAATCCATGGGTTACAAACCTTTTTTATGAAAATCCTTTTGTTAATAAAATCTTAGCTTCATAAAATACTCAATTTAACAAGATGCCAATTTTATAATCCAAGTTGATTATGATGACGACAATGATGATTGATGATCAATACATATTTTCGTTTATGTTAATATGTTGTTTTACTGTGTTAAAAACACGTTTTTTTTTTAATCTCTAAAATGTACATAATAATTAGTGTACATTGAATTCACAATACAAACAATAGTTCATTCTTGTAAGTTGTACTTGATGAAATTTAATTTAATATTATTTATTATTAATTCTAAGCAAAAAAGGCTTATTACATCTGAATTGTCAAAAAATGACAGCTGTCAGAATTCCGTCGAATTAAAAATCGGACTATAGTTGTGTACGATGTCGTGTTAAAAACCCATTTTTTATTACAGATACATGCGCCAGTACAAGTTCTGAAAGATTATAGTGAAATATTAAAATTAAGGATGCCAATGAAGGTATGTTTTTTTCATTATAGCAAACATTTCTAACCTTTGGTGTTCAGTATCGCGGAGTAGACATAGTTTAGCGGAGGAGCGAAAGAGATAAGGCGCTACAATACCATCAATTTGTATAGCGTGATCACTTTCACTCGTTTGCGAATAGGGTACATTTAAATTGATGCGGAGTTCAGTTCAGTGATGATGTTTTCTCACATTTGAAACGCCGATTGCGTCAAATGCTTTGGATGTGTGAAAACTCCGCTCCGCTTGTTTAATGGAAAGTATGGAAACGCACCCTTAAAATGTGTAGGATTTTGGTATCTAAAGCCCGGTCTGTGAGCACGTAGAATTTTGTCCAATGACCCTAAGCTACCCATCCTTATCAATCGCGCGTAACTATATTGCTGTCGCGACTGTGCGACGGGCGCACGCGCGAGCGATAAGGATGGGTAGCTCGGGGTCATTGGACAAAATTCTACGTGCTCACAGACCAGACTATAGTCGATGTGTCTTGGCTTTTAAATAGTAGAGTAGCCCCCCTCCCTTAGCTTAATGCTTTGAGGTTATAAAATTATGGCTCACTCGGGGACGAATGTCATCGTGTCTTTTCTGATGGTATCGTACGACTTGTTAAGTGACACTTGTCGTGACATCTGTCCCCTAGCGAATACTAGACTATAATTTATTTAATTAAACCAATCCCCGAGTACATATTATCATAACTATTAATTATTTATTTTATACTATTACTTATCCTTAACTAATAATTGTATTATTTGAACTGTTAAACAAAATTGATGATAGTAGCAGGAATGAAAAACAAAATCTTTTTTTCGCTGATAATATAAATTAATAAATAAGTTTGTTTTTGAACCATAGTTGTTAATTAAAAGATTAAAACTGTGCTGTTATATAAGGTTATCTTTGTAAGAATGTCGCTCGTTCTGTATTTTTCTCTAGATACCTAAGTGTTGTAACTAACATTTTGAAATCTAGCTGTTGAATGTTGGTGTGTCAAAAGTAGAAAATGAAAAAATGCTATCATACTCCAGCCTTGCAATGTAGCATGTAATGTGCCATAAATCAAGCAGAAATTATTTAAATTATACTTTTGTACAGTCGTCATCAAAGACCATGTATTGGTACACAGAAGTTAAAGTAATAAATCTCAATAATCAAATAGTATGTTAACAGTTAAAAGTGTTGTGCACAATCAAGTGATAATATGTTTGATGCTGACTGTATTATTTAAATTAAAAAAAAAAACATTATCCAACTCAACAAAAATTAATCAAATACACAAAATTTCACACTAGTTTTTCATAAGTTAAAGGGTCTGATACACAGGTTGCTTTTAGTCACCCGCATAAAAAGTATTATTCGTTTTGGAATAAATTGTGCTCCAAAAATCAATGCGGCGTATGACAAATATCGATCCATGTGAATGAGATCTAACATTGTGTTATATGTACGTTCGTAGGAATGCAGTAAGATACGAAAAGGTGGGAAGACGAATAAGATACTGAATGCTGCACTGTATATGTCTAAGGTATGCTGTCGTGGATATGACGCGCGAAGCATGAGCTTACTAACCGGGGGCGGATTTAGGAGGATAGGCGAATGGTGTATCCTTTCTCTATCGATATTTTATACTTTTTTTTTAATAATAAAAGAAAAGAAATACTAATACTCTGTTAGGCTCAGTTACTCATAATCTTTAGACCTTAAAACTTTCAAAAGTAGACAAAAGCTTCAAAAGCACTTGGTTGTACATTCTTACTTCTCCCTTTCAAACATTTGTTTTTTACATCATGCATTGAGTGCAATTCTGGTGAATTAGAGAGAAAAATTATGTCTAAAGTTATTAGTCTCCTTGAAAGATACTGAGACATCATCATCATTAAACTATGTTTAAAATCGTATTTTAAAATCTTGTTCTGGAAATTTCGATGTCTCTTAGATATTTCTATTGCTGACTGTACACCATCCTGACTCAGGCTAAGAAACCCTTCTTGAATCCGCCCTTGAAACTAACATCCGCGCTTATGCGACCCATGTGGATTCGGCTCATTGTAAGCTAATGTGCGGTCGTTGCCTAGTTGTTCTCTAAACGCTATGAATGGATGTGACTTTATGTAAATAAGTAACTACCTATCTGTCTTATGAAAGAAATCGTGGATTATCACTTATTTTTACTATACATAAATACATGTTTAAATATGTAATTGTTAATAATGGTGGTGGTTTGTATTGAATGTACATTTACTTTTTCTTTCTTTGTTTATTGAGAGCGAGTCCGCTGTCATGCGCGTATTGTAAACGTTTCTACAATGGACATCGCCAGCTATTGTACAGATGACAGCACATCAAGTTACACACAGCAGAAAACGAGCTATGGTATCTTATTGTATAGAACATAGGTGCTATTTTGAAACAAAAACTTGTAATCTGATGTGCTTTCATCTGTTGCGAGCTGTTGTGCAAACATATTGATCGTCACTTTTTCCATAATTTGTCAAATGCAATTAGTTCCTTAAAAACCCTTTAGATTACAAATTACAAAAGAAGAAAGATTAGATTCCTAGCTAATAGCATTAAAGTGCGATTCCATGCACTACATAATACAAATTAATAAATTAATTATAATTAAATAGGTCACGCTTAACAATCGCGGGCATCGCTGCACATAACGGATAGCTTAAATAAATATTAAATCCCATTAACGAAGGTCGCGCTGCGTACTAACATGTGATTATACTTAACTAACGAGCTACGATAGCAAATAACAATCAGTGTTTGCGATAGTAACACCCTATTAATTGACTAATGTATTTTATGTTTACCGAGTACTAACTTGTTTGGTAGTTATATTTTGATAATACAGCCATTTTGTAAAACTAAAAAGCTTCTAATAGTGAGCAATTATAACACCATTATGTATGTAGCAGCTAAAAGCTAATCTTCACATTATAGATCCCATAAATTGATGCAATGTTATCTATAAAATTATTATCTATGGGTTCATTACATTTTTAGAATTCTCCATGTATTGTTGCTGTAATAATGCTCTCAATGTCTGTGAAAACACTATCAAGTTAATTTCAAAGTAACCAGTCATTTAATCATGCATTTAGGCACAGTATGTTCTAAAATGCACACTATATTGCTCGTAACTTCAAAATTACTTACTCAATTCAGAAAAACCCTTCTATTTAAAATAAGACCATGTTCTAATAGAACAAGGTTGATATTTACAGTTCTCCGCCCTCAAAGACGTGCACGAAAAGACTAACAGTCTGCTGGACAAAGTGGAGGGCTGTTGGGATAGCTTCATGAACACAATTAGGGTGGACCCAGTAAAGTTCCCTGAGAAGAGACACCGCCTCACTGCCATTTATTCTAAGGACAAGGAGTACTTGTAAGTAAAAGTTATTTTGTTAAATTATTACGAGTAAAAGGCAGACATTTTTAAAATAGCTCTGATCTTACTCCCGTATTCACAAAGGTTGACTGCTTAAGCAGCACAGCATTGAATAGAGCTCTGTGATTGGTTCGTGTGTGACCCTGTCCACGCGCACTGAGGTATACACCTTAAGTGTAATATATAATGTGAATGCTAATGTGGTTATGCAATAAAAGTATTGAGTATTGAGTATTGAGTAAGTTAAATAAACATAATAATACATAAAACAATGGGAAGTCACGCCCTCAATATGGGTTTTAATATGTGGGATAATCTATCACTCGCGCATTTTGTGATAATTTTATCGTCTGAAAGTATGACACAGTCCAATAAAAGTTATCATCTAATTTAAAACGTTAAATCCTCCCTAATACGAACCTGATATTTTTTTTGCTAATCTACGCAATCGTACTAGTTTTGTTTACCATAGATGTGCCCATCTATAAAGAGGTGCCATAAAATAAATTGTGCATTAATACTGAGAAACAGTTTTCCTTTTTCATTCAAATTATCCTATGTTCATGACCTAACTTTGTACCCAATGTATCTATAAAAATATGTCTATATTCAAAATGTCTTAAATACTGTTTTCATTGCAGATTCGATACAAGTTCCCCATGTTTCTGGACTCCGTCGATCCGTTCTCGCATAGTCCAGTTCATCCTGGACCGCAAGAAGTTTTCCAAGGAGCCCGGCGACGACTTCGCATTCGGCATCACGAGGCTTATCAGCAATAACGTGTACAGCGCTGCGTATCCTCTACACGACGTGAGTATCCGGCTCGAATGACCAGTTAATGGAAACTAGGCCTTAGTATTTAATAAATTTGTATACGAATGTAGATGATAATGTAGATAAAATCCCTATATTTGTATCTTTGGGTGTAAGAAAGAGAGAGAGGGAAGAGAAATACCGTTTCCCATCTTTTTCACTTGAACTCGCTTACAACGATAAGGGACTGGTATTTGATTTATTATACGGAATATACAATCTCCTTCAAGACTATTTTGTAAATAGATCTTTTCCTTTTAGTTGTTTTTTGAGATTTTATGAAGTAGTAATAGAACTATTTTGCAATTTAAATGTGTACCTACATTATAAATACATACATAATTTATTATTGATTATTTCAGGGTGATCTCAAAACTCCTGGCTCAATGCGGCATCTGCTATACACGGAATGGGCTAGCGTATCCAAATGTATAAAATACCAGCCGCTCGACTATATTAAGGATTATTTTGGAGTTAAAATAGGTAAGCATTTAAGAATGACACCTAGCTAACATATTTTGAACCTTACCGACTTACGTTAAGGCTGGAAATCACTGGCCCATTTATTGACCCGAAGCAGTGGTAGGGTTAATACTGGGACGTGTAAAAGTGCTATTTAAAAGCCTACTTGGTTAAATAAATGAGTTTTTTTTTATCAAATGAAAATTATTACCCTAAGTGATCAAAATCCTAAAATACCATAGTACAGCTTCACTTTATCTTTTTATTGCACGATTAGTGTAATCCTTTGCGATTTCTTCGACCTTGTACGTCTTATCTGGTTACACTCGTTAGCGAAAGAAAACATTGTGACGGTAATGGTATGTTATATCTTACAGCAGTGGTTCCCAAAGTTATCTGGGCTACGACTTGTCTAATACAAGTTCCCAAACTCGGGACCCACCTATAGGAAATTTCGCCCGCTGCCCAGCGGTTGGATGGGTAGGGTGGTGTGTCGTTCTACAGGCAGGGCCCTCTCAATGTTCGCCCGCGACCCACCACTGGGTCGCGACCCATAGTTTGGGAAACCCTGCCTTACAGGTATATGAGTACAGCAAGATGAAATTCATTCCACCTTAAGACAAGTCGGTAAAGTTCAAAATGCGAGGCTGTTTATTATGGCCGGGCTTTAACACTGTTTCGAAGTCGAAGCCGAGTTGTAGGGTAAAAGAAGAACGGTCACGCCCCATACAAAAAAAACCCAGACCCGACAGAAACGAGACATACCTCAGTTTTTTTGTCATGTCTTAATTAGTTAAATTATATATTTTTTATATTCGAAATCTATGTATAACACCAAAATATTACCCTTTGTTTTTGTTCAGGCGTTATACAAAAACTAATGCAAAATGCCTATTTATCACCAAAATTGGTAAATGTATGTACCTAAACGTCTATTACAGCTGCTATGGAATGTATCTAGGTGACCTGGAGATACAACCGGATTATACAGGGTGGTTATACATATGGAACGATAAGTGATCTCACTCGATTATTTCTAAACTATACAAGATATCGAAAAACTAGTTACTGATTCTGAAAGTGCTTCACGAGCTCTTTCAAATGGTACCAATAATAGGTTACAGATTATGGAAGCTGGTAACACTGAATTTTTAGATTTTGTAACTTCTCGTTTCCACCCTATATAATCCGGCTGTATCTCCAGGTCACCTAGATACATTCCGTAGCAGTTATTTAGGTACATACATTTACCAATTTTGGTGATAAATAGGCATTTTGTATTAGTTTTTGTATGACGCCTGAACAAAAACAAAGGGTAATAATTTGGTGTTATACATAGATTTCGAATCTAAAAAATATATAATTTAACTAATTAAGACATGACAAAAAAACTGAGGTATGTCTCGTTTCTGTCGGGCCTGGGTCACAGATGACCGTTCTTCTTTAAACTTTAAAGTGTGTAATATAATGTTTAATATTTTATTATGATTATTTACAGGTTTATATTTCGCATGGCTCGGCTTTTACACCCACATGCTTATACCAGCATCGATAGTGGGACTTATATGTGTGATATATTCTGCATCTACTGTATACTCAAATAAACCTAGGTAAGTTACTACAGCTTTGTAAAAAATTCTATCGAATAAAAAAACACTATCTATTGATAAAATAATTATAGAAATGTCAGTAAAAACTATCTTATAGTCATTTAAAGTAAATTCTATGTGCTGTTTTATTTTATTTTATTAAGAAAACCAACTGCGTAGTGAAAATTTTTACTCTGTATTCATATAGGGCGTGATGTATTCCTGATAATCCACCCTGTAACTTCTAACGTGTGCCAAATCATTATGTACAGTCGCGGAATGAAAAGGTTCGTCACCTTAGTGTCGGTTTTCGCTTGCACTAGGTACTGTAAGAGTCAAACCTGCCAACATAACAGTGCAAGAAACAGTGCTGCTAACATTTAAATAAATATGACGTTTGCTAACGAATAAGGTTTTGCTTGTTTAATTTTCTATCCCATGCAATGTTACAAAATGTATTTTTTTTTATTTAATAGAAATAATAATGGCAGGTTGAACCAACAAGAAGGTTTTAGTTTATCAATCATAATAATCTTGACAAGATAAATCGGCAAACAACTTTGATCTGAATAATTTTGAACTTTACTGACGAACAGTTAAAGATTATTTTCTCTAACTCGAGATTATTCTGTAACATAGTTTCAAAAGGTAATATGTGCTCGTGATTCGTTGAAGGAATCAATTTGAAAACTGACGAACCTTTTCATTCCGTGACTGTACCTTACGCTACTTGACATAGATGCTAAAAAGCAATTGAGCAAGTAATTACATGCTATTTTTTACTTTTCTTGCAGCGAAGACGTATGCAACTACAACTCGACAATCAAGATGTGTCCGCTGTGCGACTACCACTGCGACTTTTGGGACCTCAAAGACACGTGCCTGTACTCCCGCATCACGTATCTGTTCGACAACCCGACTACTGTGTTCTTTGCCGTGTTCATGAGTTTTTGGGGTAAGTTAATATACTTTTTTCGAGTTCATGACAATAGCTGTAGTAGTTGCGTCCGATCTATAACTATCATTGCAAATTTTTGGGCTTAAAGATATCTGCATTCGTGTATTATTTTGTCGATAATAATTTTGAGACGATAAATAAGCAATTAGATAATGTTCAATAGAGTAACTCTTGTCACGGAAGTTGTATACACAGTTGTTATTAAAAATAAAATCAGTGCCTTGATTAAGGATTCCTTATGAAGCTCGCTTCCATTTTCGGCCAGATCATCACATTTCATCAGGGAAGCAGGCCGAAAGATCTTTCCCGTAGTGGTTAAACGTGTAACAGCGAAGATTACGTTCGGAAAAACGGTTTCGGGTGTGGTGCAGAATGTTTAAATTCCAAACTCACGATTGTGTGATCCCGGGTGCAAAGGGTAACATGCTGTAACGCTATTGCTTTAGGGGCGTGTTTCCTGGAGCTGTGGAAGCGGTACTCGGCGGAGATGACGCACCGCTGGGACCTGACCGGCTTCGACGTGTACGAGGAGCATCCGCGGCCGCAGTACCTGGCAAGGCTCGCGCACGTCAAGCGGACTGAGGTACGCAAACATTTACATCTATTACTAAATATCATAATCGCCGTGCCAGAAAGACCCAGGAGTGGAGACCCCGCGACAACACCCGCGGCAGGGGAAGACCGCCTAAACGGTGGACAGATGACATCCGGCAGCAAGCTGGATGCGAGTGGCCAGGGACAGAAGTCGGTGGAGGGTTGAAGAGCAAGCCTATGTTCGAAGACGAACCCCCTAAAGGCTGTTATATATACATAGATAGATTGATTACTAAATAAGTAGCGAAACGTTTGCTTAAAAGTGGCGTTTTGAGTAATGGTCCACGAGAAGTTTTTCAGAAGTTCGTGCCCAGAATAATGGTTTAATTCGAAAATATAGATGACAGAAAGAAATGTGATTCTTAGTACTAAGGCGTAGCCAAAAAATGACGTAGATTCGAGAAATATCGACAGCTTGTTCTCTCCACCATGATGATTGCTGCCGCTTCTCTATGATTTTTCATAAAACATTAACATTATTAAGTCGCACAGGCGCCTGCGCCGTTTACCCGTTTAACGCAGCGGGCGTTAAGAATTATGCTGTGTTTAACAAAAAGAGACTAGGTTAAAAGTACAGCGATTTATTATTCGAGAGCTGAACGTCATAATGGGGGGAGCCCATGGTTCCGTTCTGGCGCATGCGTCTTCCCGCCACACTGATGTCGTTCAGTATCGTGGCTCTTCTGATTCTCATGGCGCTGGCAGCAGTGATTGGTGTGGTGCTATACCGCATGTCGCTCCTGGGCGCGATAGGAAACATTGTAGGCAGGGAAAACCAGTCCTTACTGTCTTGGGAATTATGTTAAATTTCCTCAACAGCTCAACGTCATAACGGGCGAGCGGGAGCCCATGGTTCCGTTCTGGCGCATGCGTCTCCCCGCCACGCTCATGTCGTTCAGTATCGTGGCTCTTCTGATCCTGATGGCGCTGGCGGCAGTGCTGGGTGTGGTGCTATACCGCATGTTATGACTAGACGCTATAGGAGATAGGAAACATTATTGTAGGCAGGAAAAACCAGTCCTTACTGTCTTGGGAATTAAGCAAAATTTTCCTCAACAGCTCAACGTCATAACGGGCGAGCGGGAGCCCATGGTTCCGTTCTGGCGCATGCGTCTCCCCGCCACGCTCATGTCGTTCAGTATCGTGGCTCTTCTGATCCTGATGGCGCTGGCGGCAGTGCTGGGTGTGGTGCTATACCGCATGTTATGACTAGACGCTATAGGAGATAGGAAACATTATTGTAGGCAGGAAAAACCAGTCCTTACTGTCTTGGGAATTAAGCAAAATTTTCCTCAACAGCTCAACGTCATAACGGGCGAGCGGGAGCCCATGGTTCCGTTCTGGCGCATGCGTCTCCCCGCCACGCTCATGTCGTTCAGTATCGTGGCTCTTCTGATCCTGATGGCGCTGGCAGCAGTGCTTGGTGTGGTGCTATACCGCATGTTATGACTAGACGCTATAGGAGATAGGAAACATTATTGTAGGCAGGAAAAACCAGTCCTTACTGTCTTGGGAATTAAGCAAAATTTTCCTCAACAGCTCAACGTCATAACGGGCGAGCGGGAGCCCATGGTTCCGTTCTGGCGCATGCGTCTCCCCGCCACGCTCATGTCGTTCAGTATCGTGGCTCTTCTGATCCTGATGGCACTGGCAGCAGTGCTTGGTGTGGTGCTATACCGCATGTCGCTTCTGGGCGCGATAGGAAACATTGTAGGCAGGGAAAACCAGTCCTTACTGTCTTGGGAATTAAGCTAAATTTTCCTCAACAGCTCAACGTCGGGAGCCCATGGTTCCGTTCTGGCGCATGCGTCTCCCCGCCACGCTCATGTCGTTCAGTATCGTGGCTCTTCTGATCCTGATAGCACTGGCAGCAGTGCTTGGTGTGGTGTTATACTGCATATGACTAGACGCTATAGGAGATAGGAAACATTATTGTAGGCAAGGAAAACCAGTCCTTACTGTCTTGGGAATTAAGCAAAATTTTCCTCAACAGCTCAACGTCATAACGGGCGAGCGGGAGCCCATGGTTCCGTTCTGGCGCATGCGTCTCCCCGCCACGCTCATGTCGTTCAGTATCGTGGCTCTTCTGATCCTGATGGCACTGGCAGCAGTGCTTGGTGTGGTGTTATACTGCATATGACTAGACGCTATAGGAGATAGGAAACATTATTGTAGGCAAGGAAAACCAGTCCTTACTGTCTTGGGAATTAAGCAAAATTTTCCTCAACAGCTCAACGTCATAACGGGCGAGCGGGAGCCCATGGTTCCGTTCTGGCGCATGCGTCTCCCCGCCACGCTCATGTCGTTCAGTATCGTGGCTCTTCTGATCCTGATGGCACTGGCAGCAGTGCTTGGTGTGGTGTTATACTGCATATGACTAGACGCTATAGGAGATAGGAAACATTATTGTAGGCAAGGAAAACCAGTCCTTACTGTCTTGGGAATTAAGCAAAATTTTCCTCAACAGCTCAACGTCATAACGGGCGAGCGGGAGCCCATGGTTCCGTTCTGGCGCATGCGTCTCCCCGCCACGCTCATGTCGTTCAGTATCGTGGCTCTTCTGATCCTGATGGCTCTGGCGGCGGTGCTTGGTGTGGTGCTATACCGCATGTCGATCATCGGCGCCACGCTGCTGAGGCAAGACAACCGGCTGATATCGTACAACCCGATCATGTTCACCACTGCCACTGCTGCCTGTATCAACCTGGTGCTCATCTGCGTGTTTAATTACGTGAGTGCTTTAAATTATTTATTTAGACAACTAAGGTAACAAAATGGTTACTAAGGCTGAGTTGTACCTTACTTTAACTGTAACTATAACCATAACCGGTGTTTTCGTATGGAGTTTGACAGATTTTTGGCGTTTGTTATAGTTGAAATAAGATAGTGAAAGCAGCCTTAGGCTGGGTTGCATCATCTTACTTTTTTGGTTCCATTCGTTCCTTCTGGAACAGGCTAAGGTCAAAGACCATGCATCATCTTACTTTGACTTTAACTAACGTCAAAAATACGCCTCACAGGCCACAGCAAATGTTGAGTGGGGTCCTTGGACGAATAAACCACTGGACACGAAACCTACAAGATTTCTAAGGAAACACGATCAACCACTTTTTGCGGGGGGAGAGGTTTGACAATTGTCAAATAATGACATTTAGTGCTGGGAAAAGATCGTAAATTTTTATCGATAGTTATGTAAATGAATGTGATAGGTACGTAGCAATAAGACAGCGGTTGAACGTAAACTGATTTATTAGCGCCCAGCGGCGTAGCTGCGAGCCTAACTACATAGGTGCATAACTATACATACATAACACTTTTCCTTCCTAAATATAACACCACCATTCCGTTTCTGTTACAACAAATAAATATAGTCTATAACAAGTTAAATGAGCGTATGTGTATATAATGTTATAACATATATAAATATGTATTTAATGTAACATCAAAATAATTATATACCTATCTCGACATTAATCAAATTAGTTAACATTTTTAAGTTTTTTGCAACAACGTATAGCAGCTTCCCTGCGCATTTTATCAGTAGGCTGTGCCGTCGGAGACAGCAACGTCGATGGCGAGGTCGGCGCCGGAGAGGCCGCGCCCGTGCTCGATCCTTCCTCCGCACTATCAAATGACTCGTCATGTTCGTGGTCACCGTCACCGACCGACGTGTCTTTAGAACAAGCCGAATTTGACTTGTTATGCGAATTATCCATCACTCGGCTCAGTGAATGACGTGACTTCCTAGCGAGTATCTGATCGATGTGACGCTTATGTGTATGACCGTTCTTTGTAGTCACATTGTAGGATACAGGTCCAATGCGCTCATGTACCACGCCCTCCTCCCACTTATTGCCCGACTTGGAATAATTACGTATCAAAATTGGCTCGTTTTGTTTGGCAACGCGTAACGGGGCCTCGTCCCGGGCCTCCTCGACGAGCTGGCGCGCGCGCACCCGCTCGGCGGCGTCGGGGCGCAGCAGGTCCAGGCGGCCGCGCAGCCGCCGGCCCATCAGGGCGACTGCAGGTTCGCGTCCCGTCGTACTCTGTTCGGTATTTCTGTACATAAACAAAAATCTACTCAACGCCCTATTCGTGTCTTCTCTTTCTAATTCTGCCTTTTTGAGTACTCTTTTAATAGTGCGCACGGCGTTTTCAGCAGCTCCATTGCTCGAGGGATGATATGGTGGCACTAAAGTATGTTTAATACCGTTACAATTTAAATATTCAGCGAAAGCGGCAGATGAAAATGGCGGTCCGTTGTCGCTTACTATGCGTTTAGGTAAACCGAAACGAGAAAAATGACGTCTCAAACTATCACAAACTGCGTTGGCTGAGGTCGTGTTGACTTTTTCTACTTCGATCCATTTTGAATGTGCATCAATTATTATGAGATAATAATTATTATTGAACGGGCCGAGAAAATCGACGTGCAATCGTGCCCATGGCTCCGCTGGCCAGGGCCACGAGTGGAGCGGCGCGGCGGGGGGCGCGGGCCGCAGCTCCCGGCACGGTAAACACTCGCGCGCAACCTCCTCTAAGTCTCGATCTATATTTTCCCACCAAACATAATTACGTGCGATTTGTTTCATTTTAACTATACCCGGGTGGCCGTCGTGGATCTCTTTCATGATGCAATTTCGTAATGACTTTGGGACCACAATACGATAACCCCATACTAAACATCCCTGATCAATATATAAATAATCTTTTTTATTAAAATAAATCTTTTCAATTTCATTATACGCGTATCTATTCGGCCAACCATACATTACAAATCCGTATATTTTACTTAAAAGCACGTCCTTTGCCGTTTCCGTTTTAATATCGTTAAAACTGATCGGAAAGCTATCTTGTGCGTAATGCAAATACCTACCTTCCTCGTCTTCACCTCGTAGTTGCTTTTTGGTCAATTCTAGAGGAAGACGAGAAAGAGCATCGGCAAAACAGTTTTTTTACATTTACTGGTGTGCTTGTTTTGTATGTTCCATCTATGTCTATCTCATAATCTTTTGTTTCATGTGACTAAAATTATCAAAACAAAAAAATCTATCAAAATCTAAAATTAATTTGAATAATTTCAGTTTCAGTTTGTTTGGTATATCGATAAACTTATCGACATTTTTCAAGCCCTTTACGTCATAAAAAATGAGATGTGAATGAATGAATGAAACCTATAATCCAACCAAATTAAATATGCTACATGTTTTAAGCATTTACATGTACAATGAGTACTTTTTAAAATGACGTAATCATATTTTGTTTACATATCAAATTTTATTTATTTTACGAAAAAATAGCTACTATAATAGATTTAAAATGTACTTACGCGTGATAAGAAACATTTCTTGTGTGACAGGAATAATTTTTGCAATAAAGTACGGCGCATTTACCCATTTTTCGTGATATTTTTACTCTTCGAGAGCTGGCGTCATACTGACAAAGTGACAACCTGACAACATTTACCATGGCTAATTTAGCCATGGTAAGTGCTAGCGGGGTAAAGACGAAAACGTCACTCGTTACGCGTCCAGTGGTTTATTCGTCCAAGGTGGGGTCCCATTGCGATGGAAATCGCTGTTGTGACAGGGTGGCTGCTTAGTTCACTTTCTCTTTCATTGTTATGTTTTATGTGTTACGTTTGTTTTTTTTTATTTACCTTTTTTGTCTTTGTGTAATGTCTATAGCAATAAATGTTTATTTCTCTCTATATTGCTTTTTTCCAATATTTTCTTCATCGCTAACAAAATTTATTTCCAGATGTATACCTACCTAGCCGAGTGGTTAACAGAAAAGGAACTCCTACGCACACAGACAGAATTCGACGACTCACTCACGCTCAAGATTTACCTGCTGCAGTTCGTCAACTACTACGCGTCGATTTTCTACATCGCTTTCTTCAAGGGGAAGTATGTGGGCCGGCCCGGGGACTATGTGAGGGTATTCGGCCAGAGACAAGAAGAGGTGAGATACTACCACCCCTGTAATGGCGATTTGTTTTACAAAACCACACTTGTATAATACTGTATCCAGTCAAAAGTGACTTTGACCAAAGGTATCAGTCAAAATCACTTTTGAATGACTTTTGCAGTCAAAAGTGGTTTTGAACGATTATGAGTTTTGACTGTAACATTGATAGTATGTTTAAACTGACATCGGAAATGTATTTATTTGCTGCGTTTGGGGGAAAATAGCGCTTGTTAGAAATTGTTAGCAAAATGGCGATCGAAACTATAGCATGTATTCGGCTAGGACACGTTTACTAAACTTCAAAAGTGACGTCTACCCATAATTTTTTGACAGTGACAGTACTTACTTATCGCTAAAAGGACGCCATTTTACTTACTAGCGCTAGCTAGCGCTATTTTCTGCCAAACGCGGCCATTGATAAAAAAAAATGATTATTTAAAGAAATCAAAACAAAATCTATGATATCTAACCTGGATAGTGCAGCAGATTCACTTGAGTCTTCTCCGCAGTTTCAGAATTTTTGCTTTAGCTGTTTCTGTCACTTCATCCGTACTAATATTATAAATGCGAAATATGTCTGTCGGTATTTCTGGCAAAAGTTTAATATTCTGTAATTTGTTGTTCTAGTGTGCCAAATAAATGTATTTTCTTTCTTTCTTTCTTCTTTCTAAAAGTAAGTCGGCTATAAAAATGTAACTTGTTTAGTAGTGTTTCACAATATTCATTTATTGAAACTTAAGCTTAACGACTAAACAAACTTTTCGTGGCAAACAATCATGGGAATTTACATATTTCCACATAGGCTAGCTCAAAATCGACCGTTCACGTTGGCGTCGCGCACCGGGAAGAAGGAAACTTCTAGAAACTTTCGCGTGAGTCGCGAGACGCGCGGGGGGACTGCCTCGCGCCGATTGGCCGAGGAAAGGGCGCGGCACCATACTTCCGCGTGATTCGCTATTAGACGAGATGGCGTCATAACAGTAACGTTGCGTTGTTCGCGCGCGATAACGTTATAAACGTTATAAAATAGCGTTGCCGCGTTACACTTGTAATTTCCAGTGCGCGCCGGGCGGCTGCTTCGTCGAGCTGTCCATTCAGTTGGCCATCATCATGGTGGGCAAGCAGTTCATCAACACCTGCGTGGAGATGCTCATGCCCTACCTGCTCAAGTGGTGGAACATCATCCGCGCTATCGGGAGGAAAAACACGTAAGTTACACCACAGAATAATAATAAGTACTACGTACAGAAGGTTCTGGAATGGAGGCCACGTACCGGAAAACGCAGCGTGGGACGTCCACCCACAAGGTGGACCGACGACCTGATAAAGGTAGCGGGAAGGCGCTGGATGCAGGCCGCTACCAACCGTGCGATGTGGAAGTCATTGGGGGAGGCCTATGTTCAGCAGTGGACGTCCTGTGGCTGAAATGATGACAGAAGGTTTACTTCGCGAAGGTATTTAAAAAAATGTATGCTCAATGTCATTAAAATATGGTGTAATTTAGCTTGTCTCAAGAGTCAAGCACCATTTTGTTGACAAACATCAGTGATCGGTACTGCGCCGAAGCTATAGGGCTGACTTCGGTAAAATGATGTGTGACGTGAGGTGCCAAACTGCAGAAAATGCCGGAGGAAATACATGATTTAGCATGAATTATCATGAATAATATTAACTACTTATTTACCTCTCAGTGTCTTCAGGCAACTTAAAAAAGTACATTCTGTGTTTTTATTATTATTTAGGCAGTTAGAATACTGCACAGTATTTAGTACACCAGTTTCTTTATTTTTTTCCATCATACACAAGAATACGCGTGCGTGAGTCAATGCTCGCTCTCACATACGAGCGAACGGCCTTGTCGAATAGTAATCCTGTAGGGTGCCATCGTGCTTGTTTTGTTTTCGATGTAAACTCGCGGAGATGAACAGGCCTGGTTACACTAACTAGTGCTCTGAGTGCTAACCATGAGTTTACGTTAGGCGTGCTCTCTAGCGAGTGCGTCACAGAAATCTATTGTTAATTGTGAAAAATCTAAAACGTTAAAATAGCGGCATCGTTATAGCCAATGAGCTGCTGTCATAGTGACATTGACGTAATGTCAATGTCACGCTAGAATCAAACGTTATAATAGCGGGAGACGACTCCGCGCGCTTTTGATGCTATGTGATGAATTGTATTTAAAATAAGGCAATATAGTGTGAAAGTTGAGTATTCAGTGTTTTATTTATGAGAATAGATCTACCGGTCTCTAATACTATGAAGATTTTAGTTCTTGAAAGTAGCCATAAGGGGCGCTGTAAAATCTGTTATTGTCATACATCTAATGTAATTTTTTTACGCAGTCGCTAGCGAGCACACCTAATGTGAACTCATGGTAAGCACACTGAACGTTTCATATCTTTTCGAAATGAAAATGTCATTTATTTTCTGTAAACAAGCGTATACCGACACACTATTTAGGTCTCTTCAAGGTGATAGTGAATAGGCATTTTCTGGCCAGCTATGTCACCCTAGACTGCATTTCACTTAACATCAGGTGTGAATGCGGTCAAAAATCCCTGCCCTAGTCTGCTTAAAAACGTTTATTAGAGCTTTTACACCTATTTATTTGTTACAGAATCAAAAGTCCTATGCAGTGGGTGAAAGACTTTAAGCTGGTAGACTTCGGGAACATGGGACTGTTTCCCGAATATTTGGAAATGGGTAAGTTTCTTTAACTGTACGTTAACTCAGAAAAATCGTCGTATTCCGTCGCACATCTTGATAAGTGATTCTCAGTATGTTTTAGTCTTCAATAGCAACCCGCCTCGGCTTTACGGGTGCTAAGTATACATATGAACCTTCCTCTTGCTATCTATTAGAAAAAATCGCATCTAAAACCGTTGCGTAGTTTTAAAGATCTAAGCAAAAGTAGGGACAGACAGCGGAAAACGACTATTTTTAAATAAATTAAATAACATTTTTCCACAAAGACCGGTCCTGCGCCGCTCGCATCCAAGCGCCTCCCGCGACCTTCACCAGATCGTCGGTCCACCTAGTGGGAGGCCTGCCTACGCTACGTCTTCCGGCTGGATGCGAGCGGCGCAGGACCGGTCTTTGTGGATCTCCTTGGGGGAGGCCTTTGTCCAGCAGTGGACGTCTTTCGGCTGAAACGAACGGACGAACGAAATATTATTTTTAAAGGCTCCTTGTAAAGTTTAGATTATTTTTTCCAGTTCTCCAATACGGCTTCGTAACGATATTCGTGGCTGCGTTCCCGCTCGCACCTCTCTTCGCTCTCATCAACAATATTCTCGAAATGCGCCTCGATGCAAAGAAGTTTCTCACTTGCTACCGCCGCCCCGTGCCGCAAAGAGTCACCGACATCGGCGTGTGGTACAGGATACTCGACTCTATCGGCAAGCTGAGCGTGATCACTAACGTGAGTATACGTTGTGAAACGGGGTTAAAAAGATTCATGCCCGTTTTCACCATCAGTCCCTAATTTTTAAGTGACCCCTATGAAAACAAAATTCCTGTAGTGCGTTACCATAGGGGTTGATTAAAAATTAGGGATTGATGGTGAAAACGGGCATCAGCTTATAGTCCGGTCGCCGAGCATGTAGAATTTCGTCCAATGACCCCGAGCTACCTATCCTTATCACTTGCGCGTAATTATATTGCTGTCGGGGTCATTGGACGAAATTCTACGTGCTCGGCGACCGGACTAGTAGAATATATCTGTTTTTTAATGACTGGTGTTATAATACGGTGGGCTAACGGGACTACCTTTTATTGCAGGGCTTCATAATAGCGTTCACCTCGGACTTCATCCCACGCCTGGTCTATTACTTCTCGAATGGCACGTACGAGAATTACGTCAACCACACACTTGCCGAGTTTGACGTGACCGTCTTCCACGAGTATCGGCCGCAGTCCTCCACGTACAATGAGACGATGTGCTCGTGAGTATTGGGCAGTGTACTCACCTGCCATGTAGCACGTAACGTAGCATGTGACGTAACCAACCTTCAAGTGAGTACGGCTCGTCCACGGTCTCGGTATCTAAAGCCTGGTCCGTGAGCACGTAGAATCCCGTCCAATGACCCCAAGCTGCCCATCCTTGTCGCTCGCACGTAATTATGTTGCTGTCGCGCTCGCACACTCACTGCGGGCGCGCGTCGCACAGTCGCGACAGCAATATATTTACGCGCGAGCGATAAGGATGGGTAGCTTGGGGTCATTGGACGCGATTCTACGTGCTCACGGACCAGGCTTTAGCTGCGAGCTCCTGGATCCTACTGCGAGCCGCCTTTGTGCTCGCAGTGATACCGCCACTCGGCGGGTCGCTGCGATCTCCCTGCGAACCACGCGCGAGCAGCTCGCAGCGGGCTCGTGCCTATGTACTCACTTGATACAGTTCTGATACATTACATGCTACACGGCTAGATGTACCTGCTTTACGCTTCTAATTACACTGTATGAACTTGGGTAGACGATTGTAAACAGTAAAGGTTATCAAAGAAGCAGACTTATCAACTCGGAAAGGGATCAACACCGTATCACCTTTCGTGAGCTGTCATCGCCTCTCGCGCGCTGTTTACTGCGAGGCGTTTACGTTACGGTGCGGTGAGTTGTGCGTTGAAGTATGAAGTTTCATACAAGGAACTAGTTTCATACAAGGAATACTGACCGCCTCGAGTTATACGTTTATACGTTTAGCGTGCTACGTCATATGATCTTAAATATTTGCTATATGTCTTATTTTGCAAACAATTTAACCTAATGTGCTGTCGACTGTACTTCGTGGAACGCACAACATTATCCAACGATAAGACTTTTTACAGTGTTATCTAGTCCCAAGCTAAATAATGGGTGCGTTTGGCGATAAAAAGTGCTCATAAGTGATTATAAGCAAAATAACGATCGCTACGGCAGTTTTCGGCGTGGACACGTTTGCTAACTTCAATAGTGACGTGTTTCTTTCATTTTTTAGCAGTGACAGCGCTTATCGCATAGCGATCGCCATTTTGCTTATAAGCGCTTACAAGTGGTATTTTCTGCCAAACACACCCATTGTATTTCAAAACTTTGAGGCCACTCTATGACTTTCATTGACATTACAATTTAATTTTATGTATGTACAACAGTTTTCTAATAGACTTTTCAAACCATATAATTTAGGTTACTTTACAATGTGTATCATTAACCTACCAGAATATTTCTTTTGTTGAAAAATCGTTCTTATTACAATCGCATAAGGTGCTAGAATGTTTAGATTATTGTACTTGCAGCTACCCCGGCTACTGGTACAACGACGGCGAAGACTACGCGCGATCCAACTGGTACTGGCACATCATCGGCGCGAGGCTCGCTTTTGTCGTCGTGTTTGAGGTACCTTTTTACTAGAGTAAATAAAAATGAGTAGGTCATCTTCATAGAAACGCAACACCAACACCCCGCTAATCCCCGCTAAATTTTTACAGTGTGTGCGTTCGCGCCGCATACGTATTGGCGGGCTCACATACAAACCACGCTCGGTGCGTTTCTATGAAGATGACCTACTCATTTGTATTTACTCTGTTTTTACTTTCTATCGAGAATCTTCTCAGCACTGGCCCATTTATTGTCCCGAAGCAGCGGTAGGGTTAATACTGGGACGTGTAAAAGTGCTTTTTAAAAGACTGTTTGCAAAAATAAATGAGTTGTATGAGTTATGTTCTCTCTATGTTCTTTTTTTTTATTTTATTTATTTAATGGCAACCAAACCTCTCTGGGAGGTTTATTTCTGACAATGTCGAGTGAAAATTGACATAGTTATCAATAGAACGTGGGTGTTTCAGTTCTATTGATTTTTCATGGATTCCGTGGAGTTAAGTATGCCCGAAAGCAGGTTTCAAGACGCCACCGGGTCCAAAGCGGGTTGTTCATACGACAACCCACTCGACACTCGATGCGCGCTCAAATTCGAAGTATTTCAATGTTTTTTATAATTTATCACTTCACTGCACTTTAGAACACAAAATAACACCAAATTTGTACACTAAAGTCCATTAAATAATAAATTGAAACCATTAAAACAGATCGACCATGCTTCCCGTTCAACTACCCTCCACGGAATCCTCTATGTTCTTCTGAGGGCTTAGTGTGAGTTTACATCAAACGTCAAAAAATGACATTAAATGTATGACGGATTGTACAGCGCCCCTAGCGGGAAAAACTAAAAGCGCGCGTTTGATGTAAACTCACACTCAGCCCGCTGAAGTCTCGCTGACATTTGACGTCACAAATTCACCCTCCCGTGCCTCTTACGTACCCCAAGCTCAGACTCAGTTATGTGCTAGACCTGTACTATAAAATTTCAAAGTTAAGAGNTATTTAATTTTTTTATTTTGCTCCGGCAAATTTTCATATTTACAACTTCAATCATCAATAACACACAACTAAAAAGAATAACTGTCAATTTTTATTCCTATTAGCATAGACCATATTTATTGGCTACGATTTGCATCAATCAGAGCACTGCATCTTTTCACGTGCTAATGTATTGAGCCAAATTAAAACACACAAAAAAGTGGTACCATATGGGACCGCTAGTCTATAATGGGTTAATAAGGTAAATGTTTAGAATTATGCTTTAGATGAAGTGTACATAAATACGTAGGTACTTAACCCTAAAGGAAACATGCATAAATCACGTAGAAGAGTTACTTTCATTCAACTGAGTAAGGATGAATTATTTAGACACTAAATTATGTATTTAAATAGTTATTAATAAAAAAGTAAAGAAATATACATAGTTACCTACTTAATCAATTGTAGTAATCAACTAAAAAGCAAAATAAATGAAGTGCGATAAAATTTCAGATAAATACGAGAAGTTTTAATGAATGAAAAAGACGAGTATCTTACATAATATCAACGAGTCACCACACGAACCTCGCGAATGTTATCGTTTGCTTTATCTGTACAAACACGCCGCGAGTTACTGTTTTAGGTTGACTAAAATAGGTACTTAAACTTCTTGCGAGTTGCAGTAAAGATCTACTAGGTATGTACTATGCATGTATTGAAATTCAAATAGGTTTCGATTCAAATAAACTTGGACCTTTCAACACCATCTGGCGATCAGTCATGTCATTATAAAATATCACCTTACATCATCATTATCATCATCATCATCATCATCAACAGCCCTTTACAGTCCACTGCTAGACTATGAGTCTCCTCCACTATAGTGGAGGGTTTTGCCATAATCTCCACGCTTGGCAGGCGGGTTGGAGATCGCAGTTTAAAAGATTGATGTTTTTCAGAGAGCGTTGCTGCCCGTTCTCTGTTTGATATGCAGTCCCTAAGTCGCCTCTTACCTTCACCTTACATAAAGTACGTCAAATAAAATAAAATTGCACACAAATTAAATGCTTAGTATGATCATACTACTTGATCGATTCTAATCGCCAATGAACTAATTAATAAGGTGCTTAGTATGGCACAAAGAGACGAAACTAAGTAAATTCCAGAACAAATCATGACATTTCACATTCAAAATTGATTTTTAAATACATTGGGAATTCGTGTAACTAGAGCACAGTTACGCCGTGAAGATCCACATGCCGATAGCTGGTGCATCGCGTAATAAACCAGCTAGAAATAATTTTGAGCAACACAGGGACATGCAATTATAATGAATACAACCTAACTATCGATTGAGGGCGGCACGCGACATCAGTAAGCGAGGACTGTCACTTTATCGATATCGATAGTCACTTTTATATTACCTATTGATTAGTTTTACTTAAATTAGAATATGAGATCCCTTGCCATGTAAATGCTGATTATTTCGTGATCATTTAATATGAATAAATATGATACTATTTACTCAAATCTTTTGATACAATCATTCAAACATTGGCATTAATAAGTAATAATAAACATAAGCGTTTTATGTGAAAGGTGATATTAAAGTCTTTAAATTATTTTCAATTACTTATGTTGATTCCAAGTTCCTTACAATTTATCTTCCCGTTCTAAGTAGGCAACAAGATAAAATTGTTAACACAATTCGTTAACATTGGCCTATAACATCGTGTTTGTTTCCAAAGCTAATATTATCTATTACAAGTTTCGTCTATTTCATAATTTTCAGTAAATTCTACTGATACTAAAGGTCATGATATCGGATGTTCGGTATTAGTGGGTCATGTCGTGTTATTATTACCTATACACGTGACTAAAATATTTTATCTTTCGTGATATTCACTCAGCATTGAATTCAATTTGCTGAAGTTTTGATTGTATTCACTTCGATTAATAACTTCTCAATTAAGCTTAATCCCTATACTGCAAGCAGCACATTGACTGGACAACTTTCTGGTAAACGTTTTCAAAGTTCGGGCACAGTTTTATCGATAAAATATTTGTGCACACACATCCCTTGATCGGTTACCGTTTATGATGCATCAGGGATTTGGATTTCTTATTACGAAAATAACTCATATGGAATTATAATGACGTAAACAATTTTAACTTAACTTAGTATTCATTTTAGAATTATCTGGGTTACCTAAAGGAGAAGTAAAGTAAAGTATAGGGTATTAAGACTGTCTCTATACATTTCCTTTAATAACGTTTTTTTAAATAAATGGATAGCTAAGCCAACACATACACTGACTCACAGTATTCGCTTTGACAATAGTATTGGATTCAGCGTAAGCCTATCTCTCTGAGTACCTTAGTAGGACAGGCGTACTATAGGAACTAAATCCTAATGCCTTTGATAAATGTTAAGCCACTATGTAATTTATATCACTAGTGCTAAGATATTAAGGCTTAGACAATTCAAGTATTAACTCAAAAATATTTGTTCATTTTGTATACCTACGTATTATATTAACGGATATTTTGACTGCAAATAGTAATGTGACGTCTATACGAATTTGAAATAGCCGTAATAAACGTTGGGTTTGTATTAAAATTTGTGTTTTATTTGATAAAAGCTGTATTAAAAATACCAGCAGAATACAGGATGATTTTGCAATCGGTGTCCAAATTTTTAGGAGCGACTCAGAATCAGTAGCTTAATCGAATCGAATTCGCGCTTTTTGAAAATTGACACATGGATAATTTGCTTCGTTCATAGAAAAATACGTACAGTTAATATAACTGCAAAACTTTAGACATAATGGTGCGCGAAAATAAGTACCTATTAACCGTTAAAAATAAGATGCCCATATCATTATCAGCCACAATTAAAAATAATTAAGATAAAGTTGTATTGTTAAATAGTTCTTTAAAGCTTTTTAAAAAAAAAATGATACTGATTACAAAGTCACCCTGTATAGATAATTATTATAAATTCCTAAATATCATAATATACTATGCTCTTGAACGCAAAGTGATTGTTACACCTAGAGGTAGACAATATAGCCAAAGGCAAGAACATTGAAGCTAAGGTGCAGGTAGGGCAAAAGTGCAATATGAAAGAGTGCGTTCCTCCCGCGGGAGTGGCGGACAATAAAACAGATAATTACTAAAACATTTTACTGTAAAACTAATTGGTACTAAGTAAGAGCCTATTCCAAGGCGGTGAAATATCGATTTTTAGATCGAAAGATGAATACTACGAGAACTACAAATAATTTAGATCGAAAGAACAAATAGAAGATGAAGATCTTTTACAAGTATAAAGTACTCGAACGTAATACGAGTACAGTTGAATTCCAATAAAAACTAAATTGATGTTTGTTTCCAAGGATGAATAGCTATTTCTATTGATTTTTTCTTGAATTTTGAACTTTCAATTTTAAAACACATTATTGCCCTATAGGTCATATTAATAATCGCATTTAACATTTTGGCCCTATAGCTAAAATGAGTTGTTTTAACTTTGCACCGTCCCTACTATTGTCAAGTAGGGGTAAAAATTTTATACTACTGAAATTTCAACGTAGTAAACTCAGGATTAAAGTTCTAAAGTCTAGTATGAATGCCTCTGTCATTCTTAAGAGTCTCAGGCAGTCGGTATCTAATGTGCTAATACGTCTTAAAAAAGCTAACTACATCGTTTATAAAATAAATATTACACCATATCTTGGCCTGGTGATCAAAATGTTGAATCACGGACCCACCACAGCCAATTAAATGTAATTCGGAAGAATGCGTCCCATGTCATAGCAATTGTTCCAATCAATGCGATGTGATAATAGAGACAGAGGAGTAATGGTGTGGCCACACAGCGTGTTATGGTGTGGATTGAAAATGGACCATGGTGGTTGTATGGCAATTATAATGGTGTCATATTTTTGTATTTTGTGAATGGATTTGTAGATATTGTATTTAAAATTTTAATGAAGTTATGGCGTTTGGAATATTGCGCACTAGTAGCGCGACTACCTAGTCACAGTTACTCTAAAAAATAACGTAGATTTGGCAGCCCAGAGACCATGGACTTTTTTTAGATGAGTGCAGTTACTTCATATTTATAACACAATGTAACATCATTAGAACAATATAATGGAAAATTACTAACATCTAATTTGTTCAAATATTTAATTTTTATTTACATTGTACGACGCCAAAGGTTTTAAAGGATCTTTGAAGAAACAATTTGAATGCCTCGTGTTACTATAGTAAAGTTCGTTAGTAACAAGAAGTAACAAGAGTTCTTATTAGTAATTCGAAGAAATGTTTATTCGGGAGACTGAGCATTTGATGATGTAATTCTTAATTACAACCGGCAGAGCAATAGAACGAAGATTCAGATTCAATGGTCCAAAGATATCACCCTTCAAACCTAATTGAAAAATAGCGAACTTTTTCGTTTTCATTAATAATAATTAATTAATTAATGTGTGGTTATAAAAAACGATCTTACGAGTATGAAACTGACAAATCGAATCATTGGTTTTGGGTATCTTTGATCAGAACCCAAAACATAAAAAACGGGTGGTTGAAATGTTGTTCACAATAATGAGGAATAATAAGAGGACTTTGTGGTCCATTTTGATATAATCAGTATGGTATGGTACGAGTATGTATCTACACTAATATTATAAAGAGGAAAACTTTGTTTGTTTGTTTGTATTTCATATTGTTAGTTCAATCAGTCATTCTTTTATGAATACAAATTAGTTTAGATTGTTTTGAGTAATTTAAACAGCCATATCAGACTAATTGAAAAATGTATTGTGAGATGGGAGTGTATTAATAGCAATTGTATTACGCAATACAATTTCAGTCTGTGAATCTATTAGCCGAAATATTTATTATACCTACTATCTCAGACTCAGAATAAAAATATTGATCATTTTAGATGTAGACCATTTTTTATCATTTCACCTATCTGAGAAAAGAATGCAGATGTTTTTTTTCTGAAGCCTCTCAATACCCATATAAGCTGGAAAGCTCTTTTTTCTAAATGATACCTACTCGTATCAATATCTTCTTCTATATTTTATCTTTCTTCTATATTTTGGGACGTCCACCTACAAGGTGGACCGACGACATCGTAAAGGTAGCAGGGAAGCGCTGGACGCAGGCCGCTACCAATCGATCAACATGGAAAGCATTGGGGGAGGCCTATGTTCAGCAGTGGACGTCCTGTGGCTGAAATGATGATGATGATGATGATATTTTATCGACCGAAAATGCTATGATTAGTTGAAAAGATTAACCTCTACGCACGCAGATTTCTTCGACTATATTAATACGGCATCATGGTACAAATTGACCTGAGGGAACAAAGACTAACAGAGAATCTGCACGTCGCCGATCTTATTCAAAAAGGAGGAGCGTATTCTGAGAAGGGTTAACATTTGTGAGATTAAAACAAGTATTGTATCTCATCTGTTGCCATGCTGAGACAAAAAACATAACATCCGGAGTGCAAAACTCATCATAATAAAGGCCAGCGAATAGCGGATGCAGGCATATGTAGTATTGTGTATTTCTCAGATTGCAAACACAAACACGAGTAAGTACAGTCACGGAATGAAAAGGTTCGTCAGTTTTCAAATTGATTCCTTCAACGAATCGCGAGCACATATTACCTTTTGAAACTATGTTACAGAATAATCTCGAGTTAGAAAAAATAATCCTTAACTGTTCGTCAGTAAAGTTCAAAATTATTCAGATCAAAGTTGTTTGACGATTTATCTTGTCAAGAAGATTATTATGATTGATAAACTAAAACCTTCTTGTTGGTTCAACCTGCCATTATTATTTCTATTAAATAAAAAAAACTATTGTCAATTGGTCAATGTCATCATTGCATTGCACTGATGGGATAGAAAATAAACAAGCAAAACCTTATTCGTTAGCAAACGTCATATTTATTTAAATGTTAGCAGCACTGTTTCTTGCACTGTTATGTTGGCAGGTTTGACTCTCACAGTACCTATTAGTGCAAGCGAAAACCGACACTAAGGTGACGAACCTTTTCATTCCGCGACTGTACATTGTACTCGTATATGAGGACCATTCCCGCCTTTTAAATCTTCGGTAGAATAGGCTAGATGACAAAATTTCAATGATTAGTTCGTCAGGCAGATAAATTAGAAAATATTGGACTCATATTTTTTTTTTCGTTCATAATTAAATAATAACAGTGCTACATTGAGTTGAAATGGTGCGATACGTCACGATTGAGTAGAATTTTTACTCAAAAGTGACGTCACGCGACATTTCAACTCAATATAATAGTGTAATTATTCGATAATGAAAAAAAAATGAGTCTAATATTTTCTAAGTATCTGTCTGACGGACTAAATAGAATTTCGATTACAGTACCCAGTCATCATCCCTATTATATTGAATATTGTAGATATTAACTTTTGTAGATAGTTTGGAACCGTAGAATAAAATTACACATTTGAAGACTTTTTAACCGAGATGCTTCACAGAATGCTCTACTTTACTGCTATTATTTGGTACCACTAAAGGAAACATTGAGGTATTTTTTCTATTTACACTTATAAATTATTTCTATTTTTCTTACGTCATTCGTCAAAACATTTTCTTTTGAAATTGTACAACTTACAGAGCTACCTACTAGTAGTGGGAAGGCAAGCGTTTTATTACGCAACGTAAACCAATTTCAACTTTACAGTGAGCTTTTGTACATATACGATAACACTTTAATAAGCACCAAATAGTAGTAAATTATGCTCAAATGTGTACACAGTAGTGAGATCAGTACCCTAAGCACGAACAACTCTCGTAATCGTATAGCAATCGTAAGGTTGTAGTTGTTATGACAAGGGATTGTTTCTTGTCATAAAAGGAAATAATTAATAATAATAATAAAATAATAAATATCGTTGGACATTTTACACTGCGCCGCTAGTCCCAAACTAAGAAAAGCTTGTATGTATATGGGTACTGTAATGGGTACATACTTAAATATATTTTTTTGTAAATACATACAACATACATATTACACATAGAAAACACCCAGACCCGTCACAGAAATTTAATTTCATCATTTCTATTTCTGCCCTTGCCGGGAATCGAACGCGGGCCCTCTCGGCATAGTAGTCCGTTCTGAACTAATTACTACACCAAATTATGTGTATTGTGTATTAATTTCTATATTTATCGTTTATTTATGGGAATTAATAACATGCTTGCTTGGATTTCAGTTGCTAAAGAGCGATAGAGCGATAAATTATAGTAAGTAGGTATAATACATTACTATAGAATATGTTACAGTAGATATAAAAAAGTTTATTGTCAATAAATAAATGTTCAGAGTACTCTTATAACAGTAGCTTCTGCACTAATCACATGATTTGTGTCTCGTAGTTTTTAAGTTTTTACAAATTCAGTCTTTACTTTGAGGTCTGGGTAATGTTACTATAGTTTTTCGTGCTTAGAGATCAGTTGCTAGAGAGCAGTTGAGCGATAAACTAATGTGGTTACAACACTTGAACATCATACGTCCGCCTACATACGCACTCAACATTCCAAGCCGGGAACGCTGCGTTGGCTTTGGATCGTGTAGGCGGACCATGACTTGGGAGCCTGTCAGGACATTTTTTTTGTATTAGAATTTAGATGTAACTATTAGGAGTGAGGCCTATGAATATCAAATTATGAGCATCTTTATAAAACCCATATTTTGCATTGCTGGTGCATTTGAGTGTGGTTTGCTCAAACTATAAAATCTGTTAATATTTTCAAGTTTAGTCGCTATTGACATTTTTATGACCGCTATTCACCCATGCCTGTGATCATATAAATTGGGTGAAATCTTCAAACATTTTCCTAGTACTAGTCCATAGTTTAAGTTACTAAACTATAAATGTATATTTAAACTATTCAGTCTTACATTTTAATGCAGCAGAGACTGTTTATTTTTATGATACAAGGTCTCCTAAGATTATTATTGTGTTTAAACAGGTAGGTTATTTCTTCATAATTAGCTCATTTTCATTTATGCTAAACAATATTCTCAACTTGGAAGCCCTAGTCGACCCGAACTGAAATGTACTCGAATCAAGATTTATGCTCCGTCCACTTAGCAGGAATCGAACCGTATAAACAAGAGTCACAAAGACTATGAGCCTCCGAGCTATGGACCACCTTACACAGACCAAAACACCTTTGACATGAAACCCTTTTCAAACAAGCTAGGTACCTATAGCTTTAACCTAAGGGATTTACTAACACACACTAATACGAAAAAATTTGCAAAAAGTTTTAGCTAATAAGCAATTCAGGATCAATACATTTCTTCGATTCAGCTCATTTTGTGCACGTCCTCGCTCCTGGACTATTGTATCGACTGTTAAAATGGCGGCGTAGGCTAGCCGTCGGCAGCAGCCGCTAACCCGTCGACTGCACGTCGATAGCTGCTAGCCACCTTCTAGCATCGGCTGCAGTTACATTAATATAATATGTCGATAGCAAACTGCTGTTCGTGTGTTAGAGCTTTATAAAATTCCATGGCAGTATGCTGATATTTGAATAAACGACAATTTTAGAATATGGAGTTAATTTAAGTAAGTGCCTACATTTCACTCAATGATCCATAATGTATACTTATTGTTCGTTCATAGTAAAGAGAGAACAATTAAACTCTCCAGTCAATTGGCATTAATTAAAGGAACAGTTAAATCAGGCCACAGGGAAGTCCATTAATAATACTTTAAAGCTCAGTGTTTGTTTATTATCGTTACGATGCAATTGCAGTAAGTGTTTCAGTTCAAGAGTTGTTCACGAATAGGTATGTACCTACTTACACACATACTAAATTTCATTTCTCACTAAAGTCTGTTCGCCGAGAGTTGATAAAAAAATTAAATATCAGAGGTTCTAAACTCATTATGAATTGCGGCCCGCTAATTATTTTTGTCGATATAATGAAAAAGTTGGTAGATTATTTGGCCTGGCCTTTTTTTTGGCCTGGATTCTCGGCTCGGTTACAATTTAATTTTGGACTACCATTTATAAGAATGTTCTAAAAATACCAATTGTCTATCAAAATCTACTAAACGATTTCGCACTACTAAATCATCGTTCTCTTTGCCTCAAATCTACCAAAAAAGTAGAAATCTACTAAAAGTGGTCACGCTGTGGCCGCCGCCGCCCGCCGGCCGGGGCGCTTGACGACAGCTGCGGGGCTCGTACCATTGCATGGTACTCAGTGCGCGTTGTGACAAACGACGCCCGCCATACAGAATTCGATAATTAAGCGACAGTCGCTATTGCAAGACATTTCATAATATTTATCAACTCTCGGCGAACAGACTTTACACATGCTATACTTTTCAGATTTCCACCTCTTTTCATTATACTCATCAAGAATTTTCAGACAAGATGATGATTCCAATAACAACCGCACTCGAGTAGTGGGTTTATACTACGTTTATTAAATCATTGATATCCAATTTATTCAAACAAAAATAGAAAAATAGGTTCATAACAACCTTTATCGTTATTTTATTTATAATTTTATTCATTTACTTGACACTGGCCATTCGTAAACCGCACGAAGCCATTTATAAAAAAGTAAAACACAATAGCTTGGCGAGACGTCATTTGTCAGTTGTCAGATAGGAAAAAATGCTACAATTTTGTCATGTATCGTAAAATTTTTGATATTTCTTCGATCAAAGGTCTTTTTCCTTTACTTATTCTCTTTCTTAGTCGTGTGGTTCAAGTGTCAGATACAAAAAGCGCTAGTCTTAAACCTTCATTGTCCGGAGGTTCCTCAGTCTGCAGCCCTGACCACCGTAGTTTGGATTGGACCCTGCCCCCACTGCCGGCGCATTTATTAGTTTTTTTTAATGTCCTACCTATCTCTTGTATACCTAGGTATTTCTTTTCAATACACCTTACGTACCTATTCACCATTTTACCTAGTATTCTGTACGTTACTTCTGTAATTGAAGTAAAGTTTTAGCTCTCTAGTATATTTCAGTTTGATTCAGGTTATTTGGTTTCTTCTGTCGTGTTTTCTTAATTATATTATGGTTCTGTCAGTTTTATTTCTTTCGATTAGTCTCATACATAGGCCTCTCTAAAGCCTTGTCATTATATTTGATACAATTTTATTATAAAGGCGATATTAATTATTTCGTATCTAAAATGAACTTCGCTGTGAAACCCATAAATAATAGTTAAAACGGTTGTTTGAGTCATAGGAGTGGAAATCTAATTGCTCTACCATTGACTTAAATGTACTCGTATCTATCACAGACGTTACTCTAAAAGCATTACGAATAGTTCTTATAATAAAGTGTCAGCTGGAATAGTTTTTATTACATGTTTGGTCGTCAGATGCATATTAGTAAAGGTTCACGTACACTCACTGTATAAACGTATCAGTTAAAATTTTCCAAAAAATGCGTTAGTGGTTTCAAATAAGTTGGTATTTTATGAAGTTATGTTGGTTAAGTTATCTTGTCTGGGTTTTTCTATTTGGAGGGATTATCTAAAACATTATTTTCTTGTTTGTAACATTTTTTTTCATAATTGTTCTAAAAAGTATTCCAAAGGGTAAACATCGTCGTCGAATATAAAGAATTTTATAACAAGTTTATTAGCAAAAGTAGAATCTGTAGCTACAGATGCTACACACAATGTAGTGTGTGCAGAGCCTAAACAAACTAAGAGGGTTTATCAGTAACTGTGTCAGCGCATTAGTCACCGTGATTTCTATGAACGTTTGTCAATCAGTTCATATTACTATTATTAACTGTTTATTTACAATGGGCCTTAATTAGTATGGGATCGGATTAATTATGACTCGTTCTTAACCGCAGTCATGTGTATATTTGCTATGAGATAATAATGACTTCATAGTCATAGTACCTAACGATACTCTTGTGTGATAATTCTCGTTGTGTTTATGGACTCAAAAATTCAACTCCGACAGTTTCTTCGACAATACGCAACTCCGACACTATGCTACTCCGACAAGATCTAACTCAGACACTACGTTTCTTATACAGTACGTTTTTTTATCCACAACGAGGAAGCTCTTGGCCTGTATCTCACCTGATGGTAAGTGGTGATCAGGCCGAAGGTGGTGATACAGAAACAATTCCGACAGTCCTTTACTTACATGTCAAGATGAGACTATTATGGTTCATACTGTGAAAAACTTATCAGAGAGATCTGATAAGTTTTTCACAGTTGGCTCTACATGAGAATGTAGAGCCAAGCTTCTAACTCTACTCGCCCTAACTTGCTTACTCTGTGTGTCTTGTCTGCTCGTTTGCCTCCTGTCACATAAAAAAAAACCGGCCAAGTGCGAGTCGGACTCGCGCACCGAGGGTTCAGTACAAACCTGCAAGGATTACAAAGTTCGTTCATTACGACAATCTAGTCATAACTATGGTATTTTTATTGCAAAATGAAATTCATAAGTTTATATTTATTAAAAAATATATATTTTGTAATGTAACTAAAAATTTAAGGTTTTCGGAATTTTTCCTTTATGTGTGCTATAAAACGTTGCTTCATGCCAAATTTCAAGATTCTAGGTCGACTGGAAGTAACCTTTAGGTTTTGATTCCCTTGCGAGTACTTGCGAGTTTCAAAATATGCAGCTTAAATTGCTGTTTCTTTTGATTGCGTTGACATAGAAGTTTGATTTTGTTACAGCTTAAAGGTATTATAGCCTCGTAGCGCCCACGGATTTTTTGGATCCTCTTTAACTACGACCCGACCGTCCTTCTTATAGGACTTATAGTTATAGTCCTATCAGCCCAAGATTTTGAGTTGAAATTCGTATGTGTTAGAGTTACCGGTTTGAAGTGAAACTTTCAGGGTATAATTATGATTATATTAGCATGTGTTTTTAAATTCAATTATTTGTCTACCTTTTGTTCTTTACAAAGGCCATCGGGCCACAAATTCTAGATTAAAAGGAAGTATTAAGTGATGTAAAATTAAATAATACAAAAAATTAGTAGTGTAAAGAGTATTAAATTAATAATAATAATAAATATAATAAATATTTTTGAACAATTTCACACATAACGCTATCTAGCCCCATAGTAAGCAATTAATATGCTTGTGTTATGGGTGCTCGCTTAACGGATATACTACATTATATACGTTTTAAATACATACATATTATACTAGTAACACCCAGACCCATCACAGAAATTAAAATTCATCATTTCAATTTCTGCCCGGCTGGGAATCGAACCCGGGACCTCTCGGCATAGTAGTCCCTTTTAGAACTACTACACCAAACGGCCGACAAATAATTAATTAATTAAATTAATTATTAGTGAAAGATAAGTTGCATTTTTATATTAGTAATATTCCATAAACCAATATAACACAAAGCCACAAACTAAAAATATTATGATATTTTTAGTACTNTGTTAGCGAGTGGACAGTTCGTCTAAGATATGAGCAATAAAATTTGAGTCCAAAAAGGCCTATACTAGTGTCAAGTTAAATTAGACACTAATTCCATTATTTAGAGCTCCATTTTAAATGGAACTAATTCTTCTTTGCCTGGCAAATTCCCATTTTATTTGGGGTCAGCCCTCCGCGTCATGCGTCTCCAGGCGCAATTTAAATTTAATATTAATAGAACTAATGATGTAAAAATCAAAATCAAAAATATTTATTCAGTTTAGACCACAAGTGGCACTTATGAACGTCGATAGAAAATAATAAAAAAAGAAAAGGTAGCCCTTATGGGGCACTTTACATGTCTCCTTATCTTTTGGGCCCTACCAGCGCTTCGAGACAAACATATGGCAAGTGCTGAGAAGAAACGCCGGAACAAACTCAGATTCTGTTTCTGTCTGATTCTGACTCAGACTCAAACTCAGACTAAATTATTATCAGTAGTTCCATCATGGAACTATTTGATGGTACGAGTGTCAACGAAGGATAAAATAACGTCCGTCCACTCAAACCACGGACGAACCAACACCAACGTCTTAATAAAATTCTTACGTCAACGTCTTAATTAAATCCATTTTACATTTTTTGATTCCATACATTTCTCCAGAATAAGAAAGGTAGCTTGCACTACCGCAGATGTGCTAAGATGCAATGCTAATAATGTTACAATGTGTACGTAAAATCTTGTTTGTTTGGTAAAAGTTTTGTACATAAGTATTTGTAAGTATTTTGCAGTATGCGAATGTGACATTTGAATGTAATAGGCACAGAGTTTCGCAGTTTAATTTCGAGTTTCTCACTATTGGCCTCCTCGCACAACCTTGGTAGAAGTGACAGCTTTACTTGGCTACGTCGTATAAAATATCCACGATGGAATGTCCTGTCTTGCTTAGCTTGGCCTGTCACAATCTTGGTGGAACTGATAGCCTTGCTAAGCTATCTGGCCAAGCCAACTAGAATGCGCGCGATTATAAAATCTTATCGACGATTTTGAACGACAAATGTATAAAACGATAAACAGTTACAACATAAAAGTATATCGTGCTACGCATCCTAGGTCTATTTATCTTAAAAAACACTAGACTTACCAGTATCGCATCCCTGCTCGTCGGCGCCATCGTAGCAATCAGCTCGGCGATCGCAACGCTTCTCGAAGCTCACGCATCTGGTCTCGTCACAGGAGAACTCTCCTGGGGGACACGCTGTGGAAAGTGTACCTTGTGAGAATGATTTAAGGTTTAAGATGATACTGGACTCCTTGATCCATCAACATGATTTGAGCTAAGGTTGTATATTTAAGTAAATGTATTTTTTGTTATTCGATGCTTACATGGGCAAAGGGCATACCCAGGAGAGGACTGGGGGAGGAGGAGTCCGTTCTCTGGAAGATGTATGCCCCTGCCTGCATGCTTTGTTTCGTCTTCTTGGGCATTGTGCCTCCACTGAGCCTTCCCTAGCCCTTTTTCCCATTATCCGGGGTCGATTCTCCTTGTTCTGAAGCGCCAGGACAGTCTGTCCTGGGTTGTCGAAATACTTGTCTAGGCACGCTATAAATCTTTGGCCACTGTGGACCGCCAGGTGGCCGATGGGCGTCCTCCACCTCTCTTATCTGGCAGTGCTAAGGCCTGTTTTACGACATGCTAAGTATGCACTTGGATACTTAATAAAATCACCAGGTAAGCAATTTACTACTATGGGCATTAGTTCCAGCATAATTGTACTCCTACCTACATGCCATCATTCCCTCGCCAAATTAAATTGATATCTAGTCGCTGGGATAGAAAGCCAACACTGGGTCAAAATATTGAATATGAACATGATTATAACCGTCCTGATTCTGGCGTCAGCTGCTGCCATTTTGTTTTTTAGGACCAATATCTATTTTATTATCGAAGATATTTTGTGAATCACCTGGACGAGCTTATTACAAAGTTTTTGAAAAAAGAAACAACTTACCTGCTGTAGAGACATATTTGAGCTAAACGTAATGTTTCCATATACTATAGTTTTGTACTTATAACATGATAATTATTTTCTAAACATAATGTGTCCATATAATATGCAGTTTGGGACTTATAACATGATATATTTTATAACATGACGACGTTTTGGGTTTCGTCTTACCAGTATTCCGTTCGTCATGCAGCTTCTTCTTTACACACAAAAGAAAAAAAAAACAAAAAGTAAAATCGCCTTACTGAAAGACTCGCGAGGAGTCGTTGTTTCACGAGTGGACGCAGGAGTAGTAGTTTCGCTATCGAAAACGTCAACTGACCCATCAGTATCACCTCTTGGTATTTCATTCTCGCTTTCACGATCTACAGGGAAATAATAAAACAAAAATAAATGGTAAATTATAAAATAAAATGTAAATAATAAAAAGAAGAATCAATAAACCTATAGGCCTATGCAAAAGCATACTTTCATATTGGCTAGCTAATTTGATTTTATTTCAGTCGACATCACATCAAACTATGTATTTTAGTTGCAGTAGCTGTTACAATTACTTTAGTTTTTAGTTGAGCTTGATATGCTATCGACCTTACTCAAAAATACAGGCACATACAAAGGCTATGTAAGCGGAACTTTACTGAGTGCGGAGATCTAATAATGATTGATATTTGTGAACACGCGCATTTTTGTTAATGTAGAAGCTTATTCTGAACGAACTTGGCGCTTAAATAACATAATAGTTAATAAATGACTCTCTCTCTGTGAAATTGGCAAAGCAATAAAAATAATTCGTGATGATTTTAAAAGCCTTTAGTTTCCAAGTTTATTTTGGTTTTGAATGAAAGTATTTCAGGTTTTGGTGAACCGACAATAATTTGGAATATTCAATTTGGTATTGTGATTCACAAGAAATGTGTAAGCCCCACACCGTTTGGTAATTTATGGCCAATTTGTTTGCATACCAGTCACAGCTTTGCAGTTATCTTCGTCATCGCCCTCGGGACAGTCCATGAAACTGTCGCATCTCTTCTCAACGCAAATGGTCTTAGAAGAGCTAGCACACGAGTAACGCTCGCAGTCTGGGGCTATTTGGCTTTGGTCCATATCCTGCTCGGACCAGATGTCTTGCGAGGGAAATTGAACAACAAAATTGTAGATTGCCAATTGGGAGCATTATGTTTTTTTTTTTCACAATTTAGAATTTTTTAGAAAGTGCAATTTACAAACAATAAAATATAGAATGCCAATTGAAAAGTAGTAGGCAACATAAGAATTGGAATTTTAAGTTAACATGGGCGGTTTTACAATGTACGATGTTTTATCTCATTAAATGAACATGAACCTATTTTAATTTAAGAACAACGTAAAAAGTAAAAGAAAAGGATAAAATTAAAACTAAATTAAAAGAAGAAAAGAAAAGAAAAATAAATAAAATAAAACAAACCACTAGGACATCCTCTTTCATCGGATCCATCTGAGCAATCGTTAATGCCGTCACAGCGGCGGGAGCCTGGAACGCACGTGTCGTCGCCACACTGAATTTCATCCGGGCTGCACTGTGGTTCGGTGTACCCTAAACCAGCCGATAGAAGTCAGTAGGTAAGTGGTGTGGTAGGTGGCGTACATACAGTCAACAAAGATTCGACGTTTTAATTACGACAATCACGTTTTACTTGACATCGTATACGAATTCCTAATGGCAACAAGAGCTTTAATTTTTAAATCTTATTTCATCATGAGCGCTGTCTTACTTCTCAGTTACAGATCATTTACAAATTAACATCACCACAGAAATTGTATATTTAGAAAATAATTCGCATTTGCTTACAACCGCCACCCACATGCATACGTCCACTCATTCCAAATACATAGTTTGACGCTATTAAAGTTAAAAAGTTATTCTTTACGAGGTTTGCGATAGCAGCTTAAAATTCAATCATAATGACTTTTAACTACGAGTAAATTAAATGGTGGCGTAGAATTTCTGTAGTCTCATGTAAAAAAGGTTGTCTCAGAAACAAACCTGGATCAATGACGTTGGTCTTCAATTCTTCTCGGTTGTCGACAACTACAGAGCCAAGGCGAGAATGGTTCCTGATGTGGTCTCGTAAAATTTGCGCAATCCGATCGGTGTCGTCATAGCCTGAGGTGATGATGTCCATTGTCACCTTGCAGGAGAAGTCGTCAGATATACGTGACCTGTAATAAGGAGAGTAACATGTTAGAGAAAATGTTCTAGCATGAGTATCGAGTCATGAGTGATTAGAAGGGCTTATTCAGTTTAGGACAGGTTTACGACAGATTCTCTTTAAGACAGATTGTTTTAAGACAGAAATACAATTGATTACATAATTCAAAAGAAAGATTATTAAAAATAAAGTTTATTTAGCTAAATAGTCTTAATAAAAAAAAGTTAAAATATTAATTTTATTGCATCTATGCTTTGCACAATAGTTTTAAGCAACTTTGGTAGTTTCTGAAACTTTGGTTATAGCAGCTGAATATTTCCTGCGTTATCAATGTCAACCATTATTTTGTAAAATCGTTAAATTTCGTAAATTCTTCCGATTCATTGGCAAAATGTTGTATAGATAACACACCTTCAGGGATCAAAATTGGGGGAAGCAAAGCAAGTTGCATATCGACGGTTAAGAACCAATACCATATACATATATCTCAAGTTTTGGCGGTTTTCACTTTTTAATGCCAATAGATTTAAAGTCCAATTTGGCATAGGTTATTCCGCTTTGCCTTTCACACTCCTATCTCAATATTCACAGTATTTCTTAAGTTATTTGCCATAGAAATACCACCTATGTTAAGAGCGCGAAAATTTTATAAGAAGTTTCTTGGTGAACTCTATCAGATTCTAAGTTGAAATGCACAATGATATGTAACACGTGCGGCGCGCACTTAACGGTTCTAAAGATATCTGGAATGTTCTTCTATCTCGTCGTAGTAAATTACAGAAGGTCACTTCTCCACCTTTGGATGTCATGATCAAAAGCAAGCAATATTTTTTACAGACTGATTGTTTTTATAAAGTTTTAACTACACTAAAAAGTCTTAACCAAAAATGATTACGTGAAAATGGTAGGGGCAAGCCCTTGAATTTCAGAAAGAAGGTGTACTTACTGTATGCGGACCAGACTAGCTTTCTGTGTCCCGGGGAGTTTCTGTTTCTCGTAGAGCAGGTTGGCGGCGTCGGCTATGGCCTTGGAAAAGCTCTGGAACTGTTCTGAATCCCTGTTGGAGTACTCCGACTGGTACGGCTGGATCACGACAAACGTCACGCGTAACGTTTCTGTGAACATTTACAATTTATACTTAGTAAAGTTTTTATGGAAACCAGTGAGCCTGCTTTCGCTATAACCAGAAATAATTCCTAGAGTCAGGCATTGGGTTTTTGCGGCGTTAATCTTGAAAACTCATGGTTTTCTCATGGACACTTTGTTACCTGCTGCCGAGTTGGGAATATTAACGCAGAGTATGATGCCCTCAAGCTTAATTGAGCTGCGATATGCGCAAAATTTGTAAACTAAAATAATGTCATATTAAGTCATCGAAAACTGAAATGGCCAGTGTGTAAAAGTTTTTACTCGAACTACACGAAAAACTAGACGTAATGAAACTATGCATTTTGATACTGTAGACGTGATGATACTATGGACGAAATGTACTGTAGACGTAATTCCATTATGGATCATAAGCACCAATGGAAGTGGACTCCAGACGATACTTTGGTGTCCTTTGATCACCCTTGGATAATATCACCCAGGTCCAGGTATTCAATGTGAAATAGACTTACTCGTAGTCTAAATAAAACGAACTTACTTTCTTTGAGATCCGCCTCGACTGGATCGTGGGAACCCGAACCGTGATCAACATCTTCCCTGAAATTATATAATAAAATATTAAATAAATTCATTATGTTTTAAAGTTTGTATTCAACACACTCAGGGCTAAGTCTAAAGTTAAGTTAGCTTACAAGAAAGATGAAGAGAAATACCAAATTAAGTGTAAATATGTTTTTTTTTATGAATTATACTGCGGTCGCTGTAATTAGGTACTTAATATAGTAGGTAGTAGTGTGAAGTGGATTATTATTAAGTACCCCATTACACAAGACTTCATTTTATAGATTTGAAAATTAACTACATATTGCCTACTGTCACCTGCCATGTCTGACTTTATAATATAGGCTACAATTCGTGGCCCTTTGTTCGGTATAGGACAGATTCTGGGATTGGACAGATTCGTGGATTCGGTAGATACTGGATTGGACGGATTCGTGGATTCGGCAGATTCTGTGATTCGACGGATTAGCTATACGACAGAAGTACAGGTATAAATAAAAGTAAAATAAAACCCACTTTTAGTTAAAGAACAATATACATTTAATTTGTTTTAAATAAAAAAAATATTTTGCACAACCGTTTTAAGCAATCAAATACCCTTATTTCATTCTTCAGTGCTGCGGTAACAATTTTATTTATTTGGCAATTCTTTTGCATCAGTTTTGCATTACGTTGCTTCCCCTTGCAATGAATCTGTTCTTTTTTCAACTTCGTGTCTTGAAAACGAGATTCTTTTTTTAACAATTGTATGAATATACTATATAGTAGTGGCTTAACGGGAAATCTTTTTTTTTTTTGACTGGGTTATTTGTACGAAAATTTTCATTATAACAAGTACACACATTCTCGGTATATATTCCCATCCATTGACTTGTGAAATAATGATTAAATGATTTGTATTCCTCTGAGTCATTGACCATTTCTTGTATACTTAATATTGCTTCAGGAACCAAAATCGGAGGCAGCAACGGCAGTTGCATATAAAGGCGCATGATAAACTCTCCATTTGCAGTTTTATCAAATCCAACATTTTGGCACTTTTTAAGTATGGCTTTCCAGTAATGAAAATAGTAGCCGGTTACCTTTACACCAGGATAAACCAATTTTACTGCTTAAATGGTTGCTATTTCGTAGTCGCATTTATAATTTTCAATTGTTACGGAAAATTGGTCCCTTAGAATAGTGAATAATCGTTCATAAGTTGCCTGCGTTTTATTAGGCAGAAGTATGAAAAGTACCGGAACAAAATTTACAGTATTTTCAACGTCAGAAATATTTAAATGAATACTTAGAGTTGATAGAAAGGACTGGGACATACTTTAAACGTGCCATCGCCGTAGAAAGTTTAATTTTTTTAAAATACTCTTGCGCCAATCTCGACCCAAAAAACAAAATTTTGTCTTCGATTCCAGGATCAAATAAAAAGAAACCACCCACAAGACTGTGCGGTAGCTTCAGAGATTTTAAATGTTTGCAGTTTTTAGTATTCATTTTCAGGTAATTATTTCTTGCTTTATATGTATAATATATCCTTTTTCTGTTCAAATGTTGGTTTCTCTTCATCAATCAATTCACAGTCGGCAGTGTCCATGATATCTTCAAATATTTTGGGGATTGAGTCGAGGTTTTTGTATACTAAGGCCTTGCATTTGTCCATTAAACTATCGACTGCGTTTTTGTTAAAATCGGGCAAGCACATATGACGGGACTCTCTAACAATGCGGTTTCATTTATCCAATGTGATGGAACTGCTGCATTCTGACTTATTTACACATCGCCAGTTTATAGTACCACATTTGTTTTTCCCCTTTCACTGTTAATAAATTTTAAATCCCCTACACCGGTACTGGAGCCGGCAAACTCCATTATTTCTTTAAATATTTTTATTCGTTTTAAAAAATGCCTAAAACAACAAAACAGGAAAACAACTGCCAGTGCAATTGTTTCAAGTTGAATAATATGTCATAGGGTAAATGACAATGATTTGAAGTGGCCTGATAAATCATGGAGTAGAACCTATTCAAGGAGTTTACTATATTTTAACTTTTATGTTCATGCAGGATTAACTCTGTCAGTGTGCCAAATCCATTTAGTATTTGAAACGTGATTGAGAAATAAACATTCTAACTCACAACATCACAAATATTTCACATTTTAATATAATTAGTAAGATGGATTTCACTTTATACTTTTAATCTTTTTGAGCACGACTGTTCATTTTCTGTCGTATAGCTAATCCGTCGAATCACAGAATCTGCCGAATCCACGAATCCGTCCAATCCAGTATCTGCCGAATCCACGAATCTGTCCAATCCCAGAATCTGTCCTATACCGAACAATTTTAGGGTCATTATTACCATAATAGTGTAGTGTGGTAGCATTAGCAAATTTTTTTTTATCCACAACGAGGAAGCTCTTGGCCTGTATCTCAGCTGATGGTCAGGCCGAAGGTGGAAGCGAGCTTCACCCGGAATCCTCAACCACGGAGGAACTGGCTATCTTACCTCTAAATGCCGGAACACAACAATGCTGTTAACATTCTTGTTATGGCGAGAGACTTAGGTAAGATGGTGGTAGCTAGCAAGGCGGACTTAGAACAAGCCCTACCACCAACCAAACCGAACAGAAAAATCTGCCCCCACTGGGAATCGAACCCGGGACCTCTGCGTCTGAATCAGGTGGTCTTACCACTAGACCACAGAAGCGGAAATAGGTATAATATCGTTGGATAAAAAAGTAACTTACGTCTGATCAGCGTCCGGATCCTCGGTAGCGATCTCCTCTTGAGGCGGTGGTGTTGTCGTCGACGTAGTCGAAGTGGTGAAAGGAGCTGAAACGTTAAAAACGAAAAATTTATTAACAAACAGAACTATTTCTAAATTTTAATATAAAAATACATAGTAATATTTTACCTTACAAATAAAATGCCTTGGAAATAAAATGATAAATTCACGTCGCTGTCACGGGCCCAGAAGGCTAGCTAAATAGTGCTTTTTAAAAACTAATCTTAGCTATAATTCAAGTAATCATCTTCAAAAACGACAATATGCGTAACTTTTTAAGTAGTACCTACTTTTCAGCATTTGCCAAAAATGATTGGGCGTCTGAAATGTTTAATTCTGGGCAATTCAATTTCATTTCTTCTCGGCATCAGCCACACTTACATAGAAAGTCGAAGAAATCTCGTTTCAGCCTCTTCAGGTGACCGCTGATGCCGATGTCTTCGTCCTTGACCTCGAGGAACTCGTTGGAAGCATCCTCTTCGCCCTCCCAGTACAGATCCTCAGATGGTGAAGCCTGGAATAGATTAATGGAATGCGTTAATGTTATCTTTTTATCTCTAGCATTTGCTTCTCCAACATGTGTTACCAAAATATGGCTGTCCTTTTAAAATACTATGCATTTTAAGGACTCATTTTGTAAGCTTTAAAACACAGGTGTTTTAAAAATTATTGGCAGAATACAAGGTGGATTCTTCACACCACTACAAATATCCGATGATACAGTCAATTTATCTAGCGCTTGCTGTTTATGACTGCCTGAGAAATTAATACAAAATGGAAACGATAAGTGATCTAATTCGGTTATATCTTAACTATACAAAATATCGAAAACCTGGTAACTGATCCTGAAAGTGCTTCACGAGCTCTATCAAAAGGTATCAATAATAGGTTACAGAATTAACTGGATTTATGCGAAAATTCAATTTTACTATCTTATTATAAAGTGATAACTTCTAAATGGCTAAATACTCTCAATTATAATGAAACCGAAATGCTTTTAAATGTACCACTTTAGACATATTTAAACAAGCGAGTTAAGTGTAACTGTTTTTGCTTTTGACACTGTAAAACTGATTGCTGCAATAACCTGTATCTATCTCTATGTATACTTTGTTTTCTTTTTTCTATATTTATATAATACTAGCTGACCCGGCGAACTTTGTTCCGCCTTAATGGCAATAAATAAGCAGACTTTTTTTTTATTTCGAACGGGATAAAAAGTATCCTATGTCCTTCTCCTGGCTCTAAACTACCTCCCTGACAATTTTCAGCTAAATCGGTTCAGCCGTTCTTGAGTTATAAGCGAAGTAACTAACACGACTTTCTTTTATATATAGGGGAGAGTTCGGTATATTGTACCGCCGGGTAAATTGTACCACCCCCATATTTCGTAAAGTATTTATTGAATGTCTGTAATTGCAACACTCAGCGATACACAACTAAAATCAATTAATATCGGCCATGTGGTTTTTGCCGTGACAACAAATACGTGTGTTTTATTTTGAAACGTATTTTTTCATTGTTTTCAAGTAACTTTTGACAATACATGTTTAGTTTGTAATTTTGTTAAATTTAATCACAGGGTGTTTCTAATATATTATTTAGAAGCGTAAATTAGTGTGGATTACAATTATTTGAAACATTTTTCGGTATTTATAAGCTATATTTTTTACCGATTTTTTAAAAGCACTATCACCTAGTCGGCTAAATTGTACCACATCAAGTTGTATGGAACTTTACCAAAGGATTTTGAAATTTTTTTTAGTAAATCATATTTTGAAGTTATAATAGCGTAGTTATGTTTGACTAACAATAAATGAAAGCAAAAGACTGGCAAAGTAGATTAGGTACAAGTGTGCGTTACGATAATTGGAATTACAAAACTTGTACTCAAAATCGTGATAACGTGTAAAACAATATCGATTGTCTATGTTATTAACTACTGTTCCTTTTCGTTTCCTAATTTGTTAAGAATGTATCGTATAATATTTTGCCATAGTTTTTTTATAGGCTTGAAATTTATTGAAATCTAATTTAGTAACCCTGTGGTACAAATTATCGAACCGGTTGGCTAAATTGGACCGAAGCTCTGAACTCGTACTTTGTTGATTTGTGCTAAATATACAACAATCATGTTAATTAATATTTATGAAATAGTAAGTTGAATAATGTATCTTTTATTATATACCATGGACATTAGCAAAAACAAAAGAAAACTATGTGTAAAATGGGATTGAAAAAAACTGGTCCAAATTAGCGGACTCTCCCTTATAGATGTATTTTTTGGGAAGTTGGTTTTTGGGAGGGGGCCTGATGACCTGAAATACAAGCTTCTTTTAGCTTAGTTTAGGCATCAGTCTCCCACAATAATCGAATTCTACTATAAGTCTAAATTGTACTAAAAATATTGTAATGATTGTTGTGGTGAGGAAATAAAGCACTTTTTTAATTGTTTCACCCTGTATAAAAGAACTTATATCATGGTAAATAAACATTGTTCGTGTAAATTAATTGTTATGATGTTAGAATGCGTCATTAATAGAAAATATATAAATGCATCAGGGTTTCTAAAAATAAAATTCCAAAGAAAATGAAATCATTGTTTTATGCTGACTCTCGTATTAAGTAGTCATTATTTTACCTACACACAAACATTTACATTGGAAGGGGCCAGTGGGCAACGTGATTTGAATACCTAAACTTCGTTTGGACCTCAGTTTTGGGAGTAACGCGTGGGTAGGAGTAGGTATTCCATTTAATAGGTGCTTAGCGATTGGCCAAAGGCTTCTTTGCCCCGCCCCCGTGACTTCAGTTTGGCAACAGAACAAGGTCGCGCGGTGACAAGGAATTCCCCAAATGAAATAAGCCCAGTGCTCCAATTCTGCCCCGTAATCAACAGCTCGTTACAGTTCGTGAACCATTAAATGATGCTCTTCCCAAAATTAATGTATGTCTAATTAAAATTGATTTTTTATTTCCTTTGAACTGTGTTTTTGCACTTTACCTACTTTGCTATCGAATGAGTTACCTATAGAAAACTCTATTATATTGTTATTATATTAACTTCCACAAAATAATATGTTGTTACTCTCACATCGTATTCACATAGGTAAAGTCTTAATTTTATCTGAGAAAGTGTAAAAAAGTGTAACTTGTGCTGTGAAATAGACAAAAAATCAAATAAACAGCCGAATTCAAGTTTTCAAAACCTTTAAACAGCAAGGTAATTGAAATCAATAAAGGAATGAACCTCCATTTTTGGCGTAGTGAGTACATTGTCAAAAGCTGACACCGCTTACTAGAAACACTTTAATTAATGTACCTATTTATCATAATAATATCATGGTTACTGGCTATACTGTTTCCTATACTCATTGAATGATCTCCGAGTTCTTAGTATGTAGACAATTTAACACTTTAATTTAAGGTAATGAATACGTCGAAATATTTAATAATATTATTCGGGTATCATTTACACTTATTAGTTCTAACTATTAACCGTAGCAGTTTCAGAGAAGTATCGTTTGTGTCTACTAAGTAAATAGGAATTGTTACTGGAAACGTTTTACGATTGACATAATCTAACATTTGGGTCACAAGCCAATACAAATAAGAGCGGATAAACTGGACAGTTTACAGTTTATACAGTATTCAACTGTACAGTTTAACCAGTATTGGGTATATTTGTTCATGTACTCTCGCACATAAACAAAAATGAAAATAGTCAAAGCTTGATCATTCTAAAGGTATTTTCGCGGATACCATCTCCACAGAATCCTCTTAAAAAAAGTATTGCTTGATAAAAATTATCAGTATTTGATTCGATGTGTTTCATTTAAATACTTATTCAAGTTTTTAAGCACTTCAATGTATTCAAGAGACAAATCTATGGCTAACGGACTGATATGATCTGATTCCAAACACTGAACTTACAGACAACACATTAACACAAAATGTACAAAGACACTAGAGCAACTCGTAAAGTTGTCATTAGCGCTCAAAAGGTCATGATTCGCAAATAAATCGACACTCAAGCCGCAATTAGGGAGGGTGGGGCTGTCGACACGACGAGGGATTTCTTTGCAATTCCAGTTAGTCCGACATGATCCTCGGACGGGTGCGGACGACGCGACTCGCAAGCTAATAGCCCTATTCTCTCGCTAACACAAGGCGACACACTGTTCGAATTATCACTCTTTTTGTTTCGGAAAATCAAGTTAATGGGACATTGGCTTAATACATTTTTCGAGACTTCAGATTCAGACACTTTTGTAACGCATTAAAATTAGGAAGAGTAGTCCTTTTTTATATCTTCTATCAACGCACAGCTCAAAATTTGCCATGCAGGTAGATTTTATGACGTAGGTGTCCGCTAAGAAAGGATTTTACGAAACTCCAACCTAAAGGGGGTAAAATGGGATCCACACGTACGAAGTCGCGGGCGGCTGGAAATACACGTACATAACTTTTTTTTTGCAGAATAAAATCTTAATCAACATGACAGTCGGATAATTTAACCAATACATACAGGCCTTAAATTACTTAAGTGATATGCCTTATTGGTGTCAATGATTCTCTTTAGTAATAAGTATTGTAATTCGATCGCACAATGAATCAGCGGCTGAATTTAACCAGACAAAACAAGTTTAAAAGAAAACCAGTTTTTAACATAACATAATATGTATTCAGGGTTTACGACAGTGCATCCATTGCAGGTGCCTGTTTTCATTACAAGATGATATCAGTAAAGAAAAAGTGTGGAAAGTACATTGAATGCAAATGTTTTATTCTGTTAAAGTATTCTAGTTTTAACCTGTAAGAAATAATTGGAAAAAGCGCCATCTATGAAACGTGTGACTATCTAGACGTGATCCCTAGTTTCAGAACCTTACGTAAGATAAAACCACGCATGTTTCAAGACGATTACTAAAAGAATTAACATTTTTACAGAACAAATTGCGTTTTAAATCCAATAATAAGTTCACTCTATGAACACCAAAGTCAAGTGCCAAAAATTCAATATTAAACCACATTTCAAAACCATCTAACCGTACATCTAAGTTCAGAAACTTTAAAATGGCTGAGTGGATGCACCCGTCTTGTTAGCGCAGTTCTCATCATAACAGAAACCAGTGATAAAAATGCAACAGAGTAGAAGTCTAAAGAAATAATTGTGTTGTAGAAATAACACCTTTCCGAGATAAAAATGTATAGCTGAAGGTGACATCTGAACTAGTTATTTGAAAGGAAATTCCAGTGGATGGAATAGTTAGAAGTAGCTTCAATAATATTGAAGTGAATAAACAGTATTTGCATTCGATAGAGGCTTAACAAGCAGTACAGGCTTTTACAATTCCCACATGGCAGGCACGTTAAGCCAACAGCTACGAGCCATTTCGGATGTCGATGATGGCTTATGAAGATTTTGCCCGAGTAGTGAGTAGTGCAGATTTGAAGCCCATTTGGCTACTTTATTGAACTTATTTAATAATGTATCGTCTATTAATAATATAT